CGCCGATTGTGCACAAACCATGTCTCAATGTTGGATCGGATTCTGAGACGCTTGTGTGATGCCTCGCCGGGAGCGTTTATGGTCGGATACAGCGATGGGATTTCGGGGATTGATGCAGGCACCGAGGTCATTTATTCGGGAGAGAATAGTGTCTTGCATCACCGCCTGCTACGAACCCAACAACAACAGTAACAACAGCAGCAGCAGGGATCGCATGCTGCGACAGGTGCGAATTTAGAACAGAGCATTGCGCTGGCGCGAGATAAGGGAGATTTGGATATCAATCAAAGGCTTGCAGGACTTGTCAGTCATGCCGAACATCCAGCCGCAGCGGTAGGTTCTGGCGATTTTGTATCAATAAATCGAAAGCATGCGAACAGCCCGCCGATGTCTTCGTCTAACAAGAGCGCCAAAGCCCTGAAGAAGAATGAGTCCGTGGTCGCGGCCGAGGAAGCAGCAGTGGTGGCAGATGCAGCATCGTCGCTACTGATGGTGAACGGTACGGAAGGGGCGTTGGGTGAGCATAGGTTGGATAGTAAGAAAGGACTGCACGACCGACTGAGGATTCATGATGGAGGCGAAGGAGGTGTGTTGAACTATGACTTTGGATTGCTGGATGATACTGACCAGTTGATGAATGTGCATCCGGCGGTCGATATCGATGAATTGCATGATATGCTTTGGGCGCATTGAGTCCTGCTTCTATTCCACAAATATTTACTCTTCTCCCAATGAATCGAATGAAGAGACACCTGCAGTTATCGGAAATTAATGATCTGTTGTTATTGTTTTATTTTTTATTGCGAGAGCATGATACAAGCGATGTACAAATGAAAAAAAAACGTTATGGCAACGCGTTCAAGCAAGGAGTATCTTGCCATTAGAGCGCCAAGAGACGATGACGAAGAAAAAAAAGTAGAAGAAAAGAAGACGAAGAAAAGAAAAATAAAGAAACAGGCGGTGACCTGTCCTCGTTTTTGGTATTATATTTGAAGCCCTTCCATGTCTTCAACCCTAGCCTTGCTCCTCCACTGCCCATCCGCTGATGGCGGGATGCACACAATTCACCCCAGAAAGTTTATTGCTTCTCCTTAGGTGTTTGCCGCCGTTATGGCAATACGCTGGGTCATCTCCTCGAGTTCTGTGTCCGAGAATCGTACCCTCAAGAACCGCTCCTTCATATCGCATTCACAAAGCTGAAAAAAAAGACGATAGATCACTCGCGTTAGCACACAGGCGATCTATTATGGCAACATACGCAAAAAAAACCGGCAAAAGCAAATATTGACTAGTTCTCCCTTACCTCTGTAATATGATCGCCGCACGTAACCTTCGGTCCACAGCTGCAGGCAACCTGGGACAGATAAACATACGAATTGCAGTACATGCACTGAACTTCCTCCTCGGGTCGATCCACCTCTTCCAGAACCACGCGCATAAACGGATACTGAGCCAATGTGCGTCTTCGCTGGGCCATCTCGCGTTCGAGCAGCTCCTTCATCTCGTATTGTAGCCATTGCGCTGTCTCGGGGATGTTGCCGTCCTTGAGTGCCGTCGTGATGATGAGCTCATCATGAGAAAAGACGGGGTGCTTTTTGTGAGCCTTGTATCGCAGTGCACATTCGATTCCAAATTGGCACCAGTCTGGTGGCGCAAAGTTGACCGCCTCCGCAAAGTTGAACTAATATGGCCATAAAAAAGAAATGATATTAGTCATCCGCCGTAGTATAACAACTTCATAGTATAAATCAAACGATCAATAGTGGACATACCCCATGGTTAAATCCAGCGTGGTAAGCTTGGGGAAAGGTCACGACGAACTGGCCGGGTCTTTGGTCCAGTGCCAGGACCTTAACACCATTTTCCACCAGTCTTCCAGGTGAGAGCATCGTCACGAGCTGGAAAAGAAGGTCAGGCTGCTGCTCAAACAGCTCAGGAACGGACTGCCTCATCGTGTCCTCAAATTTGGTAGCGTCTGAGGCGGGGATGCCATACCAGGTCTTGGTTTCGCCCCAATGCATATAGTTGATCGAATATGTGTAATGATCCTCGTTGTGCCAGCAGAACGTCGAGAAGCACATGCCGACATAGAGCCAAGGGATCATCATGCCTGAGATGTCTGATTTGATATGACGGAAGAGCGACTGTGGAAGCGTCGGCATGTTGTTCAGGTTGGACGGATCAGTCGAGTACTCGTTCAACGGATCACGCGTTCGCATCGGGAACCCACTATTTCATCGGCATCAAGTATGACCATGTCAGTACTCCGTGTCCGCAGTGCCAGGTAGGATTGACGTAAAAAAATACCCCACTTCAGAGAATTTACCTGCCGTGCTGCGAAGAGTGGAGGTCTGCGCCATACTCGACCTCCACCGTTTCGAACGCATTTTCGACAAGTCTCCAGAACTCCCGCTCGACTACATCCTCTGGAACCTCATCGTCCTTATATCCTTGGTTTTCAAACCACTCCTTTTTAAAGGCGTTGCACTTTTGCTGGAAGGAGCTAAGTGAATACTCCTCGCCTTCCTCGAATCCAAAATCCTCGCCAGCAATTAGACATTTGGGGCAATACCAGTCCGTCTTGGGGACATGCAGCAACGGTGGGTTGAGACAGAAGGTATGGTGTCCAAGCTCGCATCCATCGCAAATAAGCATCTTGTCAAGGTGTCCACCCACATGACACAGTTCACAGATCGCCTTGGCGGTATCGATGTCCGCGTTGCTGTCGGTGTTGTTCTCTGCTTTCGCTGAAGTCGGCTCCACCGACATTCGCTCCGGTCGAGGTGTAGCTGGAGATGAAGGCGCAGATTCTAGAGCGGACAAAATTTTCAATCACTGTTCATGGACATAGTCGCAACAATAGACAAGATAATGCGTTCATCGCGAAAATTTTTGCCGATAATGAAGAAAAGGAGGACGTAGAGTTAAGTACCTGCATAGGAGGTGGGCTCCTTTTTTAAACGTTTCGATCGTCTTGCCGGCGTAGGAAGTATGCTGTCGTTGCTAGGTGGAGACGCCGCAGGGGTGACAAGAGAGTCCTCGCTGTCCATGGTTGCCCCTCGTTTGGTGCCGGCAGCGGCGATTCCAGGCGAGCTTTCTGGGGAACTAGTTTGCTTGTGCTTAGCAAGGTAGATCTCATAGGGCAGGATGATATTGAGATACGCGGTCTTGAGGGCGTTCGACATTGATGTGCACTGCTTCCGCGTATAATTCAGTCCGCGTCCAATTTCTGCCCATTTTTTTCCTGCCGTCACCTATTCAGCAACAAAAGGGGGATCCCGTGGGGTGGATGAGTATGGGTCACAGCCATCGTAATGTTATCCTTTTGGCTAACATAAATACGATTGTACTCGTTATATGTCTCTCTCCCCGCGGGATGAATAGGGTCAAAGGGAATCAAATGTCTCCTTTTCGTGTTTTGCCTTAGCGTACTTTTTGGTATCCGCCTCGAGCCGCAACTTCCTTCCTGAGCTGAAAGAGATCGATGGGCCGCTTGTCCAGCTGCGGGATCTTGTAGACGGGGTGGCCTTGCTGGCGGTGGAATTTGTAAAGTTGTTCGAGGTAGTTGAGGTTGGTTCTCGTCTGGCCCTCCATCGAATTCAGTCTCTGAATCCTAGTCTTGAAGCGGAAGACCTGACAAAGGTATGAAGGAATAGAGGGACAGAAGAACGTCGTTAGATAGCATATTTTCCCAGATCGTTTTTATGATTCCCTAGTTTCTCTAGGTCTTCCTATGTTCTGAACTACGCCTCATCCTCCCGTAGGCTTCCATCCCCACACTCCACCTTCCTTCTTAAGACTTGCCGGTAGCGCACACAGAAAAAATAAAAAAATAATGGGTATTTGAAACAGTGCAGAGAATGGGGCGCTGAACAGAGGGCCACAGCATATAGCAACACTGCTCAGAATAAAAAAATACATTTTTCACTTTCACCTATAGGATGAAAGGCCAAGAACCATTCCCCAGTGTGCATGTGTGCGGGTATGGGATATTTGTGTGCTAAGCAAAGCCCTGCGCAAGCAAGCAAAAGAATGGCCTACACCTACCTCAGTGTCAAGTGCAAAAGGGGGTTTCCAGCCGTCAGGGGGGATGATTTTGCAGATGCCGGCTTGTTCAGCCTCTGGGCGGATGCGCTCAATATACTTGAGTGGCTCCAAAAACTCTTGTGGGGTCGGGTAGAAGCAGGGGGCATCCTGCAGACCAAAGATGCGCGTAGGAGGGTCTGTCCGCAGGTTCTCTGGCGGGGCGGTTGTAGCGACGGTGGACATGTCGAGAGCAGGGGCCTTTTGGATAGGCACATGTGGGATGTCTGCAGAGGAGGAAGACGAGGTGAAGAGGGTGGAGTCAGCAGCCTGGGCGGCTGGCCTAGGCACTGCCGATTTCATCATGGTGGGATATTGTGTAGACTCTATTCCTTGGGATATGAATGAATAAGTGAATGTTTATGAAAGAAAGAAAGAAAAGAGAGACAGAGAGCAAGAAGAGTGAGGTGAGAGGAAAGGGTGAAATAAAAAAAGAGAGAGCAGCAGGCGAAAGCGAAATAGGAAAATGAAAAATAAATCGTCGGTACAGTTATGCTTCATAGACATTAGGCCGCTCACAGGCTACTGCTGCTGAAGTGCCAGTAATAAAATAGAATCGATCGATGTTTATGGGAGAAATAACGAGGAAACGACAGAATAGGCAAACCAACGCAATGGGATGATGAAAAAAAATACTGTCTCCAGATGGTGGATCGCAATGATCCCTTCCTCTCCCTTCGCAGCTCACGATGGATGCCGCCAGGCGAGACTCACAAGAAAACCCAGGACCCCGAGCAGCTGTCTCCCTCCAGAAACGCCTAGGGTATGATACTTTCTGCCCCGCATGTCAAATCGATGCGATTGAATCAGACCCAAGTACACCAATTGGCACCACTTCCTCCACATGCAAGGCCTAAGTCTGCAGCTAACCTACATCCTTTTAAAGCAAGTAGTCTCAGCCGGCTCTTCAATTGCACGTTCCGCTCCCTACTTGCACGTCCCATTATTTTTCAGGAACCGCTGTGACATACACCACATACACGGTAAAAGGCTCACCCGTCAAACATGGCCGCTGCTATCATGGACATACTGACTATCCACTGTCCTCGCTGTGTGCCCTGGGTATTTTACTATTGCATGGCCACGGCATAGAAACGCAGGAAAGTGAGGGCGATATGGGAGAGAGGAGGACTTTCTGCTGAGGGTCACACAAAGAAACGAGGGCGGGACAGAAAAGGTTGAATTGAGTGCCTATTTTTTTTTTGAACTTCCTCTCTTGAACTGAACGCTCATCTGTCCTTCGTGGTCATTCTCTCCCCTCTTTCCAATCTCGTCTCATCAACCCACTCTCGCACTCGCTCATTCGTTACGTTCTATATCACTGCCCATGATGGAGTTCAGTTCCTTTCTGCCGTCTTTTCCTCCTTCGCGGTCCAATTCAAGACGGGTATCAGCCATGAGTGTTTCCTCGCCCGTCACTAGTAGTCCAGTCCTCAGTCCCGAGCCCGCACCTGCTCCCATGTCTCATCTCAGCGCCAGTCGTGTTCTTTTCGAGGAGGGCCTATACAGCGATGTTACTGTAACACTACAGGTTCCTGGATCGCTCAAAAAGACCTTACACCTTCATTCCGGTATCCTGGCCAAAGAGAGCGACTTCTTCGCAGCCCTCTTGGCGGGAAAGAAGAATCATGCTGAGCGGGCCATCACATTGCTGGATGAAAAGGACAGCCAGGGCTCCCAGGTGATCGAGATTCAATGCGTGGATGCGTCAGAGCTCTATGCGTTCGAGTCGTCCCTTCGATTGCTCTATACTGGCAGTTGGTGCTCTGACCGCGATTTCCAAACCAGCTCACTGGATTCCCGTATTCGCCGCGGTATGGATGTCATGAAACAGGCAGCTCGCCTTTCGCTCAAGGGAACGACAACGGCCTTGCTCCAGGACGAGATCACACAGATGTGCCAGGTAAAAATATACAGCCGGCATTGCAAAGCTGCTCTCAATTTTCACCAGGCCCCGGACTAAGCAATAAGCAATATCCATCGACATTTTTTTGCTTTCTTTAGACTCAACCAGAGCTGATGGAAAAGTTGAGCAGATCACTCAGACCTGAGGATCGCGAGGATGACCAAGCAATCCTCAAGTTTGACAAGGATGCGCTTCAGCAGATGTGCAGGGTGGCAGTGGTCAAGACCGAGATCAGGGATCACTGTGAGCTGGTTATTGCGCGCAACCTCTATGGTCCCAAGAAGTTCCGCGACCTGCGCATGGCAGAAGTTCAGCTGTCAGAGCTCAGACCTGGCTACATCTTTCCCCCAGGAGGACAGGAATCTATCTATCTGCTGAAAGGCGCCCCTTCTTTACCGCTTCATCCCTGTAGAGCATCAAACGTAGAGGCATTGCGCCAAGTCGTTGACCACTACACCGCCTACAATTCTCAGGTGCCGCTGCGAAGACGCGAATACTATGTTATCCCAAGCGAGGATGACGATGCGACCACCGTCCCGAAATCAGGTATTCCTACCTTTTATAGGGTCGCCTTCAGTACTGGATATCAGTGGCTCTTGGATCAGGTGATCAAGGTCAGGGCGCCCTTTGAGCTGGTTGTTCTCTTGCTCAAGGACGGTGTCGATGAAAACGCTGATTCGCGTAACAACGTCTACTTTGGCGAGTTTGCGACGAACTTGGATGGCGATGTCTACCTTCAGGGTGTCAATTATATCGCAGACGGTCTCTTGCACGCTTTCCAGGACCCAACACTGGAATCTTTCCGCAATCCCGGAGCCTCTGGATCACTGCTGAATATGATTTCATATGGCGTCAACTCCTTGACAGACCTGCCTCCTCTCAGAATCAAGCCAATAGGCAAATCAGGCGACACTGGAGCTGCTCATCACCACCAAGAGTATCCTGCTCTGTCTACACTAGTCATGGAATTCTTTTGGCAGGTTCTTCAGCTGGCGCTAAAGCGGCCACACCACCTAGAATTTGTTCAGCTCTTACTGGATTCTATCACCAAAATCGCACCTCTGACGCCTTTTGAAGTTATCGATCGCATCGAGGAGCGTCTTGCAGAGTTGTTGGAGGAGACTCGAAAGAAGATCATGGAGCAGCGAGGAGATGCACAGGACGAAGAAGCAGAGGGGGCGGATGAGAACGATTCGGATAACAAGTCAGACGAGGACAAGGATGACGAACCCGAAGTGCCTATTCGGCCACGCACAATCTCTGGAGCTGCTCGTAGCGAGATCTCCAGCGGACGAGTTGAAGATTTCGATGACAGGACATCCATGGTCAGCAGTGTCCTGCTCGCATCTGAAGTATCGCACGTAACCAAGAGCATCCCCATCACCAACGCAAAAGATGATGACGCGTCCTCGCTGCTGCAGGACGAAGAGGAGGACGCTGAGCCAGAGACTGAGGCTGAAGTTGAGGTCGAAGCACCATGGATGAGGTATGATCGCGCGCCTGTAGATCCTGCGGACCTGTTTGTGCTCTGCTGTTAGTTACATATGAAGAAGGTCTCACACTATTTTCTTCTCCAATGGTATAGGCCCGAGTACTTACAACCCCTCTGCTTGCAACTGCTGACAAAGTTCCCAATGACCATCCAATCCTCCTTGCTCTGGGCGATTCACGACTTGCAGCTATTGTAATTTATTCATCTGTCTATATACCCACCATGATACAATACAACAATAGAGAGTATATTTATTTCCATTTTTTTATTTGAAGGACAGGCCAACAGGAATTCGGATTTTATACTTTTAGTCGGAAACCAGTCGACTCTTGGTTCGCAAAGTTGAATATCCCGCCCGGTGCCTCGTCTTCATCCTGACCATGTCCATGAGCAGCCTGCGGCGCTGAGGGCGATGCATTGCGCTTTGCAGTCCTGTTTCATAATAATAGTGATAAGACCATAAGAAACATAGTTTCAATTGCGAAAGAGCCAACCAGCAACAGAATAACGTTGAAAGCTGGGACAAACCTTTCGCCTTTGGATGGCCACGTCGGAAACATGGAAGGGTGTTTCGGTGGAGGAGCTTCCCTAATATACGAATATTGAATCAGTTTTTGTTTGAATATACGATTCGAGAGCTGACCACCAATTTTGACGGGACTTACGAGAAATAGGGATGCTGAAGTGCTTCTTCTGCCGTAATGCGTTGCACAGGGTCGTAAGTTAACATTCTTGACATGAGGTCTAGGCCGTTTTCCGTTAAGTACGGAAGCCGGGAGCGGAGCAAATTATAAGGCTGGACAAAGTTCGGTACATGGCTCGTAAAGGGCAGTTTTGAATATCCTGGCCAGATCTTGTCATTTGGTACGCCAAGCAACTTGAAGATCTATGGAGCAACAAAAATATTGAAAGATGTGCGTTAGCTAAAAAGTCCTTCAAAATTGTCCAGTCCTTATCCACAATAGGCATCGCCAGCCATGTAGCCACCTTTTCTAGCTGCTCTGCTTCGCTTCGACCGGGTAGTAAAGGCTCATTATTGACAAATTCCGCAAAGATACATCCTATTGACCATATATCAATGGCGGTGGTATATTGCTTCGACCCAAGAAGCAGTTCTGGCGCTCTATATCAATGATCACAGATACTGACAATTAGGCGCAAAGTTTTTTTTCTTTCTGCAAGTGCCATACGATAGCCAGAGTGTGGGAAACATACCTGTACCAAAGAGTAACGACTGGCTGTGTCATCAATCCTTGAGGTTCTCCGTATCGTCTAGCCAGACCGAAATCTGCCACTTTGATCTCGCCTTGATTGTTCAGCAAAAGATTGGATGTTTTCAGATCGCGGTGCAAGATCCAATTCTCGTGGAGCAGCTCCGTTGCAGAGAGAAGTTGCAGCATCAATGTCTTTACTTCAGACTGCAGGAAAGGCTGCTTCATAGTGCTCATTAGCTCCTTCAGATCGTGTTCAATAAAGTCCATTACAATGAAGATCCTAACGGAGCAAAGATAAAGGGTTGCATTAGTCATTACTCAACGCTGTATCTACGTATGACCATAGCATATTGATCCAGGACAATTCTTACTGTGTTAGTTTGTCGCCTACAACGATTTCGCGCACGTTGACGATATGGGGATGCTTGGCCAACAAGAGCGTATAAATCTCGCGCAAACTGGTGATTGGAAACCCATTCTTTTCCTGATCCAGCTTCAACTTCTTGAGTGCCACAATTTCGCCTGTGATACGGTCCCTTGCCCGATAGACAACCCCATAAGAGCCCTCCGAGATCCTGTTTAGCTTCTCGTAATTTTCGACACTTCGGCATCCTGCCAGGACTGGGTGCTGAGGTGCATCAGGGATTGTGATTCGATACTCCTGCATCTGAGACGAAGACTCCAATACCGACTCTCTAGGTGTTGATACTGCTGATCCAGCGCGGACATAATTATCCACTTCAGCTGGCTCCACTGATTCGGAGCGCACAGTCGTCTCGTATCTGAGGGCAGAGTCCCGATGTTGGTCCGCCTCGCGTGGGGTGCGTCCGCTGGCCGAGGAGGTCGGTGTCCCACTGCCCTCACGGAATGCTGGCGAATCCCTTGACTTTTTGAAACGCTTTTCCCTCTTCTTCTTTCTCTGTGTTTCTTCTTCGTCGCTCGATGGTTGTCGTGCCCATTTTGATGCTGCTGCACCCTGCTCCATGGTATTAGCGAAGTGTGAATTGATGCGAGATTCGAATGTCCGTTGGTTGTAATCACTCGAAAGGCGGAATGCGAGTCCGTCAAATTTAATATGCACAATCAGTTATCGAGTTTGTTGGTGCTGGTTTACGAATCTAATAACTGGAGGCATCCCTGTATGGTAAACGCATAGACGATGCCCAAACATTGCCTTCTGCCATGTCGATTTCTCCAGACGATGCCGCCGATTCGTCAACAGCGAACGAGTCCGCTGGTGGACCAGAGCTCATCACGCCCCAAAACACGAAAATACACGCGAAGCCTATCCCACATATGGTCACGGAACAGCTCAGCCCGTTACCACGCTCGACAGCCCTACCAGACCTTGCCGACTTCAACCTGCGACCAATGCAATACAGAAACCCGGTCTTTTCTGCGATCTGCAAGGTCCTTATTTTATACGGGAATGCATGGCAAAGCGCATCCGACCTCGTAGGTGGGTTAGAATGACCTTGGTATTGACATCCCTTCTGAGGCGCGAGTTGATGCATAGTACACTAACGTTTTAGGGGTCGCGTTTTACGCGTTTAGATGGCATTCGGCATTTTAATCTCGCCAATCTTGGGTATGTTAGCCAGTCACTAGGATTTTGTGGGCTCCACAGCGTGTTTCTAGTGTGTCTTTCATCTGCGGGTGAAATTAACCAACCCGGATAAGTGGTTTTTAGTTTCTCCCGGGTTATATCTTTTCTTTTCTTTTTCACTCTGAATGATATCAAAAAGCTCTAATGCTGAGGGTGCGAGCAATTCTAGTCAAAATGCTAACAGGGCGGAATCACGTTGTTGTATATAGTGGTATGACACCCAGGGGAACAATTCAGGGCGCCATCTCTACTGGATTAGCCCTATCAGCCGCACTAGGGTTGTTCGATCCGATTGAAAAGCAGCGCGTTAATAACACAACATACTATCGAATGGACATTCGGGTGCTAGTGCCGCCTGACTCAGCTGGTGTGGCTTCTAACGGAGCTGATCAAGGTATTTTTTTTTATGTTTATTAACCCGGTCATATATGGAGGCTGTATAAAACATTGCTTCTCACACGACGTCGATTCAATGAAATACCATCAACTAAACAGTGGGACAGGCTTTGACGTCAACGGAAAAAGGGAAGGAGAAGGCTGCTGAGTACTCTACAACGAAAAAGCGGAAAGCCTCCACACTACATAGCTCTGACTCTGATAGCCTGGAGGAGGATGGTTCACAGGAACCATCAGACGGCCAATCAGGGTCGCCATCATCCTCAAAACACGAGCGAACAAATCTGCCTGTACCAGAAACATCTTCCAAGCAGGGGATGCATGATAATTCCAAGGACATGCCCGAAAATTCTGCTCCGGATGTGAAAACCAGTCGGTCCAATCCCGTGGATTCGTCCGCCGTTTCTACAGAAGTAGAGGAGTCTACGAAGTCACTAGAGTAGGTGCTATTGACCCAGATTCTGAATTTATATCGTTTGAAACAATCTGATCGCTGATTCATATAATCAATACAATTGATCACATACTAACAGCTCACTACAAATCACAAATCCGACTCATTATTGACCCATAGAAATATAAAGGACTCAGAGGACGACTATCCTGACGAGAGAGCAAAGTTCGGCGTGAATTTAACACAGGAGCCTTCCATGTTTGCGGTAAAGCAGAAGACGGGATACACACACTCCCGATTTAGGAACAGTGAACGTCTGAGGGTGCCAAAGCCAGACTGCGAGGATGGATTCGCTGTGGCGGATTTACAGTACGAAGGCGGGTTCCTCGGGAGGATCTTCTGCATCACCGATGGTCATGGCGGTCGAGCGTGTTCCTCATACGTGATCGCGACGTTCCCCAGGATAATGCAGGTGATATTGGGAAAATACAGTCCTGAGGATCTGTCGGTGCCCAGTGCTCAGGAATCTATCAAGAGTCAGCTCACGGAGGCAATTCATTTGATCGATCGGGAATATCTCGACTACAAAAAGAGACAATACCTAGACTATAAGGTCAAGAAAATCCAACATGACCCAGGAAACGATGGAGCGACGCTGGTTGCCAACGTCATCATCGACAAGTGGATCATTTCTGTGAACGTTGGCGACAGTCGCACTCTTCTCAGCACACGCGATTCTAATGGGCGATGGAATCTCGACTTTTACACCGAGGATCATATTCCGTCTCTGGAGCGGTTTGCGCCCAATATTCATGCCAACGGAGGAGAGTTTGTAGCGCGCAACGACACAGTTATCAGGTTTGACACAAAGATCAAGAATGACAAGAAGCAGCGCGAGGACCTGAAGGGTGCCAAGGTCCGAATTAGGGAAGGCGCCCTTGCATCGAGCCTATATGGCATCCCATACCGAAATCATGCCGGACGATGTGTCTCGATCAATCTAGCAGCCAGCATCGGTGACCTGCTTTATAAACTGGACCCTGACAGCCCAGTACTGACCAACCGCCCCGACATCAAATTTATCGACACTACGGCCATTGAACACGGCTATCTTTTTATGGCGTCAAGAGGACTATGGGATAATGTTCTACAGGACAAAGCAGTAGAAGATCAGAATGTGGCGGTTTGCGAGTACGTAGGCGACAAGCTGGATCGTGGATGGGGCCATCAGCGAATTGTGGGCAGGCTGTCGGATCGCGAAGGCAAAACTGAGCTATACACGGACCCGGTCGACAGATACGGCGATTTCACGGCCATCCTCGTGTCACTCAACAAGCAACATGGACAGCAAGATAGACCAGGATCAAGCACGACAGAGCAGGAGCAGGACATCTCGGAACCTTTAGAGAAATTGCAGATTCAAGGCGAACAGCAGAGCGAGCGTAGCCTAGAGCAAGACTCACTTCCAACTGTACAATAAATGGCACTATATAATCATAAAGGCGAAATAAACGTTGCGTATTGCGTGCGAGATTATCCTGCTGTAGTGATGTACTTCTGGTCGGATGATAGCAGGATAGGGGACCCATAGGGTCACCGTACAGGAATACGGCATTCTTTTAGTTCTCGGGTAATGCATCGCTCGTGTTTATGGGGTCGAACAACAAACAAGGGAAAGCGCAAAGGCACCATATAGAGCCAGTCAATTGGTATTCCCAAAAGAGCAAACGCTGCAAGGCATAGTATCCATCTCCACCGTTGCTGTCGAAAAAATAATGCTAAAGGATCAACCGATCAAAAAGGTCAATAACTAAAGTTCTCAGGAACGGTCAGTTTTCTGTTGAGAACAACGAGTCTCCGACAGTGCTGGTTATCAATGGCGCAGCCTTGCCAGCCTCCTGAACGATAAGACAGTTGATTTTCCGCACTCTTGTAGTAGAATGGAAGCCTAGGAATACTGTAAACCACGGAGTTCACTGTATTCAAATGGCGTGAGACAAAATCGTCCATTCTGCGATAGAAAGTAACCAACACCCTTTCAGTTAGCGCTGCATCCCATGTATCAGCTCTTGAGTCACTTTTGTGTGTGTGTGTGTGGGTGGGGGGCTCTTTGGCTTTGACTAAGGAAAGTCGTTTGAATGAGTTGATGTTTCTTTCGTTTAGCTTAGTTGATAGAGCATCGTGGCAATAACGCGAAGGTGCTTGAGGTCCTGTTTTATATCTGCTCAGACCCTGTATCATATCGAAAAATGTTGGAGCTCAATGCAGAAACTGCCGCCCGCGAGAGATGGTGAACCAAATTGAGACAGAATGAGAACCCTGTCATCCTCAGCGCTGTCCTCATCGTTGTTAACGTTAGTACGATTCACTTCATGTTGTGCACAGCAGCGATGGGAGGAGCATGGCCGTTGCGACTAAACTTTACCTTCCTCATAATAATCTCGAATAGTCCTCGAAAGTAGGTGTTGATCTCCACTATCATCGTTGCACCGCAATAAGACCATCGTAGATCCTCCGTCCGAGTCTCTGCGCTTGCAGTGTCTCTGCCTTGCCCGCTGTAGTTTTTTTACATTTCTCCTTTCAAGATATAGTTAAGAAAGTCAGTGCATCGACATGGACAGCGCCTATCCTGTCCTCAAAGTCGTGAAGTAGGGTACATATTGAAGTCCTTATTAAAAGGTGGTAGATTAAGAACAATCGTAGTGGCGGCAATCAGGCGAGCGTGAAGGTGGTTGAGCCTGAGAAGGTAATGGGAATCAGGAAGCTGTAAAAATAGCAAAGTCGAAAAAGTGGATTAGTCTCGCAGGGACAGTTGAAGGCAGATGGGCACAAAGAAAAGACGCGAAAAACCAGCATATGGGAATAGGAGTTATGAGAAGAGTAATCATGCACACACACAGTCGCACAAATCCAGGTCTTGTCCCAGGAGTGCGGGAATGGGCGAAGTAGGTAGCGTACCAGTACATTATGGCACAGAAGAAAAAGCGCGACAATGTGTTTCTGAAGAAACAGATGTGGATAGACAATTGAATGGTGTCACTTGTCTGGTAAACGAATGCATCTCCTCCCTGCCAGTATTGACTGTTACTGTGATCTTACAACGCACATGAACTTGAGGACAGAACCACTGCTGGACGCACAGTCGGCATTTGGGATGCTTGCTACTGTACGTGTTGCGGAATGACCGCCAAGACTACCCCATTCCTCTATGGCCCTGAGATCCTTCGATTAGTCTAGTCCACAAGCAAAGGCATAACAGCTGAAGCTATGGAGTAGAGAGGACAGTCAGAAGGTAGGCGGAGAGATGTATGGTAGAGTTGACTAGTGAGATAGCGCGTTCGTCGATGAAGCGAGCCGAGGTTTACTTGGAGCACAGTCTGTAATTTAAGGTTAGCCGCTCATAAAACAGTGTTCTTCTCCACAGTCCATGTAGCGCGACGGCGGCGGACAAAGGCGCTCGGCTGAACTTGTGAAGGAGTGAATAAACACAACAGAGGACATCAGCCGAGTTCTCTTCAGGATTCAAATACCACCGCATCGTCTTGGAATCTTTCTTTCTCCTTTTCTCTTTGCACTTCCCCCAAATCCTTCTCCATCCCATCAAACAACAGCCGAAATAAGTAAATAAACAAACAGTATCCATGAGCAAATCCTCATCCAAGTCAGCTGCGTCGGCTCCTGATGCCGCCGTCCGGGTCTATACTCCCACAACCGTGGACACTCAGCGAGGAGGAGCACTCTACGACCGAACGACAATAAATCTCGCGACATCGCGATACATCCCCCATCGACTGGTCGAAGCCAGTATCCTGTTAGCGGAGGTCTTCCTGCTAAACGTTCCCGAATGGATCCTGGGCGAGAGGCAGATCGGAAATGCGCCGTCCGTGGAGAAGAGGATTGATAGTTCGATCGCAGCGAGTCGAGCATTGATGACGGACACAGTGGCAAAGGGCGGTCGACGTAAAGTCGCGGTGCTGACAGGTATGGAGGTTGTTTGGGTGCAGCGGTAGCGTTTGTTTTTTCCACCTGGCTGTACGGTACAAGTAGGCCATGATGGATGGATGGCTGACGACATCAACTTGTGTGGATTGTCTTTGTATGTAGGAGGAGCAAGTGGACTCGGATACATGGCGGCGATGGCGATCGCAGAGGCAGGATATCATCTCATTATCGGTAAGGGTCGTTCTAGCGGATTTTGTCCTGGCAGGCAGGTAGTCAGGGTCTCGGCTCTATCGTCTAATTGTTTTTATTTACTTTCATAGGGGACCGGGCAACTGAGATGGGCATTCGAGCTGTAGAAGCGATCAAAGCAAAGACGCTTAACATGAACGTCGACTTCGTCTATCTGGACCTTGGCTCGTTCAAGGAGGTGCGGTCCTTCGCTGAAGAGGTCGCTCGGCGCACAGAGGTTGTTGACCTGCTCATCAACAGTATGTTTCCCATTTTACGAACGTCCATAGCAAAGGCCGTAACAAGCAATAGTATCTGCAGACATCTGATGTTCGGTTCACTTCCTTTTTATTCCTCATAGACGCCGGTGTCATGGATCTGCCAAATTTCCGACCAACTGCAGAAGGACACGACAGCCAATTCGGTATCAACCACCTGGGTCACTTCTACCTCACCCACCTCCTGCTTCCTCTGGTTCAGCGAGCTCCCAAGGCCCGAATTGTCATGACGGCGTCTTCTGCACACTATGGGACCTCAAAAATCAACTACCAGGGCATTACATCTGCGAAGGCCTACGACCGCATTAATAACTATTGTGGTTCGAAGCTAGCGACTGTGATGTATGTGCGACACTTGGCCAGGTGGTTGAAGAAGAACCATCCGCAGATTACTGTCAATTGTCTCCACCCTGGATCATGCCGAACGAATCTGTTCCACCACTCGTGGTTCCTGTATATTTTGACAACTATTGGATTACAGATCTTGTTGCGATCGCCAAAGAGGGGCGCGAGGACGATCTTGTATCTGGCGCTGAGCGAGGAGGTCGAGGGGATCTCGGGCGAGTACTGGTTCGATGAGCGGATTCGGAAGCGTAACCCTGCGTCGGACAATGAGACCATGCAAGAGGAGTTGGTTTGGTACAGCAACAAGGCTGTGGGATCGTCACCGTACAACGCGAGAATGTAGCTTGGACGCGGCTTTGCATGCAGCAGAGCGCGTCTTTCCCCTGTGACCAGTCGTAGTTTAAAGATGTATTTTCTGCCCCTCTGTTCTCTCTGAACTAAACTCACTTGCCCACACTCACAGATCCACAGCAACAATATTAAAACGCTTTCGTTCTTTCGTGCACTCGTCTTCAACGCGGCCTCGCCATTGTATCCATCGTTCGCATTACTGGCCACGCTCACTAGCACTCGATCCGCTGAGAACCCACTCAGCTCTCTCTGACTCCTTTCCCTTGTAAACTGAGAAACCTTTCTGCTTCTCGTCAAGGTCGTTTGTCGCAGGTGTGGCCCAGCTTTCTTCTCTGCATACTATCCACTCAACAATAACGAGCCGCACTGGGACGCATTCGTCCATTTGGGAGGAGCTTGCAGCTGATCAACTTTTGCCATTTTCGCTCTTGAATGCATAGGTCACGAATCAACCAGTTCACGAGCGCTCGTTTCTCATCGATTCAGTTTTCATTCTTCCCTCAGAATACTCTCCCGACAACTGCAGCCTTTCCCTCCCACCTCCTCAAAACATTCAACCATTATGGATGCCGCATGGGGACCCCGCAAAACGTAACCTTCTCGAAATCACTTCCTTCCTTGGATCGCCATGAGGGCGCCTGGCAGATCTGCTTTTGTGCTTGTTTACTGCCCAAAACTCTAAATTGGCGCTGACTTGTCGATTTTTTTTCCCACAATCTCATGCTAGACCTCGTGTTCAGAGCGAGAATGCACCAACAGCAGCGACAGGGAGTTCAAAGCTCGTTCAGCTGCAGCGTCAGAATTTGTCCTTGGTGTCAACAACTTCGATTTCTGCATCCTCCTCGGCACCTCTTTCCGCATCAATCATTTCCAGTACCAGCCATACTATCACCTCTGCGGACTTTAGCAATACCAGCAATAGTAACATCAGAGTCGAATCTGGGCATGGATCCAAATCAGGAGTGCTGTCTGTTGCAGGGAACTCGAGCGGGTTGGCCGCCATTTCAGGCTCGGGATCTGGATCTGGCTTAGGGCCAGGAGGAGGAGGCTCGCTGAGTGGATCTGCATCAGGATCTGTGGGCAGCACGGCCTTGGGATCGACGGGGATCGTGTCACGGCACCCATTGCACTTCAACTGGGTGTTTTGGTTCATGCATCGTGCTCCTGGCAGCAAGATTCTGAACTATGAGGGCGCGATGAAAAAGATTGCAACCTTTGGATCGGTGAGGAGGCTTCGATCCTTCAGCTTTTATTAATTTGAAAGCACATAGGGATCTACGAATTATAAGTACGACGACACTTACCATCAATTTTCTATTTCGTGCCTGCTAATGATCTAGGCAGAAGATTTTTGGGCAGTATATTCTCACTTGAAGCGACCGCATGAGCTGCCGACTGTGAGCGATTACCACCTGTTCAAGCAAGGTGTGCGTCCTGTATGGGAGGATGAAACCAATATCCACGGAGGGAAATGGATCGTGCGCCTGAAGAAGGGTCTGGCGAGCCGGTACTGGGAGGATTTGGTGATAGCAGTCATTGGGGATCAATTTGAAGTTGGGACCGAGATCTGTGGAGCCGTTCTGTCGATCCGTGGAAGCGAGGACATCCTGTCATTATGGAATCAGTCGGCGCATGAGGGGCGGATCAATCTGAAGATCCGGGATACGATGAAACGAGTGCTAAACTTGCCTGCGGATACAATCATGGAGTACAAGACCCATAACGATGCGCTGAAGGATAACTCGAGCTTCAGGAATACGGATGTCTTTAGGTGAACGAACGATAGTGCTATCGATCCACTCCATCTTCTTCCAATAAAGGTGATCGTCTCTAAAAAATTAAAAAATGCTGTGCTTGAAGCATCTTTTCCGAGATGACCGCACGTGATCAGTTGGGCCTTGAGGTTCAACGAGATCGCTTTGCTCAAGAATGCAATTGCTAAGCACCCGTCATCTCCATCTCTAATATCGAGTCGCGAATCAACCAGAATCGCGTTACCAACAGGTGAACCACAACTCCTTGGTTCTTTGTCTCGCCGTGGGTTTGCAAAATTCGTATTGACCAACTTTCAATTTGGTCAGTTTTTCAGGCACCTATCCCACTTTTTACACTTTGGCCCTAGTGTGCCCAAAACGCATCGCCCAATATGCCTGCCAGTACATACGACCTCCTGCCTGCATCACTTGCTTCCCTGCTTCAGAACGCATCCCCGGTATCAACGGCCCCATTGACCAATGATCCTGTGTCGCTTCAGGCGCAGCTGTCCCGGATACCGCGGTCAACTTGGGTTCACCTAGGGTCCGAGTGTCATAATGCCGGATTTGCCGCCGATATTGCAACAGTTCTCGCGAAGAAACCCGCCAGTGGCGTGTCATCGGTCTCTATGTTCTCAACTGCTGCAGTAGCCGCAAAAGCAGCGGCTTTACTCACGGAAACGGGGATGCCGCGCATCCTGAGAACCGCTGTCAAGCAGAGTAGGAAGAGAAGAATGGGCGATGCAATTGCGGAGAAAGGGGACAGTGAGCCGCTTTTATGGGAGTTGTACAAGTTCTATAAGCAGAAATGCACACCGGGGAGCACATCGGGCAGCAACAGCAAAGCAGCACAGCGGCACAAGCCATCACGACTGCGAACAGGAGTTCTGCCATGGCAACTTAACTTTCTGAAATCCGCGTGTCCAGAGATCATAGTTCTGGTATTCATCGATGCATATCTGGAGTATGGGCCGCAGCGCGGGTTCGACCGCGACTTACCGGGCGATTTGGTGGAAGCATTGGATTTTGAATGGCGGTCGAATTCCGCACTGGCAAGGCGGGCGGTTATGGCTTTGGTACAGACGCTAATCGCCTGCCGTCGGTATGCCAAATCCAGCAACAACAGTAGCAGCAGCAACAGTGGCAACGGTGCTCGAGAACTTGGTCTTAGCTCCTCCGCAGGCGGTGGTACTAATATGACGACGACAGCGACGAGTATGAACGACCATGAAGACGAGCAGGAGATTGAGAGATCCTGTCATCAGTTGGCGCTAACGCTTTCGAAGGCATGCATCGCTTTGGAGATCTTCTTCGAGACAGATCGTGGACGTAGCCTCCCCAAGCTGCAGGGTCTTTACCACCAAGAGGTTGCTGCCGACACTAAGTTGCAGTCAAGGTCAGGACAGGCTGGAGCAGGCGCTGACAGAGGTATCAAGCGAGCAGGAATTGGGGCCGGTGTCGGAGGCACGGTAGGCGCAGATTCACTAGACCCTGTGAGTAGAAAGAGATTTAAAAGTAGTGGTGGCATCGAATCACCGCTGGTAACATCTTTATTGGGAGCGACTGCGGGAGGTCAAGGATCGCCGTCGACATCTCTAGGATCTTCGTCACCAGTCTCGAACCTCTCAACTACTACAGAAGCAACATCAGCAGTATCAGCAGTAGCAGTAGTAGCAGGCAGCAACCCGGAGGCTACGCTCAGATCATCCTCTTACTATCTCGACCAAGCCCTTGCAGGATACCCCTCGCCAACGTCCTCTGCACCACAACCGACACCCGTGACATCCTCACTGACCAGCAGCGCCAACGCACAGCAGCAGGCGAAAATCAACAACCCACTTTGGTCTCCCATCATCGGACAGACCCAGCTGGCACAGTTCCCTGCTAAACATGCCGCTCAGGTCGAATCAGAGCTCGAGCGCTGGATCTCTCTCCTCGGTCGGATGGACGGCGCCGTATTTTCTGAAAAGCTGGTTGGTCTAATCAAAGCCGTGTATCCAAGTGATCAGAAGTTTTTGCTGGACCAGATGCTCATCGACTACATGTGTTGGGAAGGCAATCAGGGACGTGAGAAGGACACGGATGTGGAAGATCAGGCGCCAGGATTTGATCTGAAGAAGTTCTTGAAGAAAGCGTCAGCATCGTCGTCGACCGAGCTTGCTATGGGATCAAGCCGAACGGGGATCCGGACGGGAGGATGGATTATGGAGACAGTAATGGGCGCCCTGGTCAGCCTGGTCATCAAGCCAGAGGAAAGCAGCACGTATCTGGAGTCCGGATCGAAAAAGTGGATCGAGCCAATTGAAATCCCAGTGCAGGATAGCGAGGGAGTGAAGAATGCAAATCTTGTATCCATCGCCTCTAAAGCAGGCGTAGCCGGTACACCGGTGCTAGGAGCACCCGCAGGGACATCATTAGCACCGTTCTCTTCGTCATCATCCACAGCTCCAGCTCCAGCTACCATCCCAGCCACAGCGGCAGCAGCAACCGTGCCAGTCGTGGCATCCACTTTCCGTACATCTGCGGCACTTGGGGGTGCCAAGAAACGACGTGTCCGCAACCTATACAACCGCCGCGTGAGCCCCTTCTATGCGATCCTGGCCATGTTTCAATCCAAGCGGGTGGCCGGTCGAATCGCAGGCATGTTGTACCTGGAACCCAAGGATCTGGAGACGACGCAGCAGACGACGCAGCACGAACAGGAGTTATTGACGCAATCGACAGCGGAGACGGCTATGATGTTGGCTACTGTCGTCCACGGCAACGAAATTGAGGAACTGACGATCAAGACTGACCGCAAACGGGGGAAGAAGAGGCGCAAAGAGATGAAACGCAGACTGATACATATGATGCAAAACGGACACCACGCAGATGCAGGTGGCAGCGGCGAGACGCCAGGGGACGGGGATGTGAATATGGATGAGGATCCGAATAGGACAGGACGTGGACAGGCCAATAAGAACAAAAAGATGGAGATTGGCGGAGAAACTGCGACGAAAGAGGAGAAGGAGGATGACGAGGGGGCCGGGATCTCTGGAGAGGCTGGCGCTGCGACAACAGCTGCAGGAGCACCAACAGAGGCCGATGCGACAACTAAGCAGGAGCAGGATGAGAAGACGCCTATGGAAGGCGTCACTGTTGAAGAGCAGGATCAGCACCAAACCGAGCCACGATCTTCCGAGTGGGCCAAGGAGCCTACGGACGAGGAAGCCCTGGCATTGGCCAAGCAGGTGGAAGATTCCCGTACGATTTGCCATGCCCCCTTCAAGGTGCTTATTTTTATTCTTCAATACCTGACCAGAGCGAACCAAGCCGGGGCGCTGGACGCATGGATCACCGATGCTCTCTCTGCCACGCTTGTCAAACTGCAGGTCCAATACTTTGAGTGGATCCTGGCCTGCCTGATCGTGTCAACAACGATACCGTCACCTCCAGCGTCATCAGCTGCAGAAACCGGGAATGATTCTGGCGAGATTGTCACGTTTGAGGACGAGCTGCTCCGACTTGTGGGAGTCCTAGTTGTTGCACAGGGAATCGGGTATGAGCCCGTCAAGACCGCGTTCGAGAACGTTGAAAGAGCATATCAACATGCCGGTTCAGAGTGCTGGTTTAGAGTGCGAGCCATGATCGAAGCGCACTGAAATAAAAATGCTTTATGGCATTGCAGTTTACCTCAACAGGATATTATTTATGATGACAACGAAGAAAAACGGGTAATCTATCGAACGGTCTATGTGCTCTAAAGGACGGGTGAGGCCGAGTAGGATGAGGACAATGGTGATCCAGGGGCGGTAGTCCCTGTGGGAGAAACAATGCGCGAGGCCACAAAATCAAACGTCGGTTCGATGTCAAAATCCTGCAGCGCTGCCTCCTCAAAGTCAATCCCGTACTGTGCGAAATGAGTCTTGATCGATTCTGGGGGTGAAGGGGGCGTTAGCAGGACAGTTGTCAATCCTTGGCGACCGTTGAGGAACTGCTTGAAGTACTTGTTATACACACGCTTCAGATCCGGCACTCCGACCTTGTATAGGTAGCTACCATTCTTTGTCAAGGCTTCAATGGTGGTGTGGCCCTATATTGAAAGAAGGAACATAATGATGTGGATAGAATAAGAAGCGTTAGAACATGGGCTTTTCAATGCATCGTTACCAAAACCATCGAGCGGAGAGACCATACTACATACCCGAACAGCTCCACGTAGGAGCCACGAGAGTGCTCCACCGGCGGTAGCTTTTTCCATGCATGTCTGGTATGCCTGTGAGGCCATCGCGGTCTCGATTTCAAACTGGTCGCCAACAACGCCTTCCCAGTCCGTGTCCATCTGTCGAATAATGTCCAAAAACGCATCATACGCCTTCACAGGATCCATCGCCTCACGGACTTCGAATGCCATCTGGGCCGTCCAGAGATATACCGAGACCGAACATCCGTATGCATAACCCTGACCACGAATCGCAGAGTAAAGAGGTCCTTCGCTACGGGAGAGGATCTCGCACAGCAGTAGCGTTGCATATTGATCTATATGGTTCTCCTCTGTCGCCAAGTCTGGGTAATAGACAATGTCGCATGGAACGATCGAGACCAGATAAGAAGACGTGATGGACTTCATCGGGATAAGGACGCTGTTCGGAGAACCCTCACCCGCAGCTAGGGGCCGGTAAGGCGTTCTGGGAAATGGAAAGGGCTGAAGTCCAGAAATCCTGTTCACCGTGTCGTGATTTGAGTATTTGTCATCCAGGGTCAAATGCGAAGCCTTGATCGTCGCCTCTACTTCGTCCTTGAATATCCGTACGCTTGGCTGGTCCTGCTGTTGATGGAAGGGTTCAGACGGTTTCCGCTTCTTAGAGTTTACCATCGCTGCAGTGTTGTTCAAGGTCAGTCCGGAAGTGGCCTGGTAGAGTTCATGTGCCTGGTCCCAAACCTCAGATAACATCTTGACTGGATCACTCGTCTCAGATCCTGCAAAGGGTCCTGTACCGAATCCAATGGGGACACCGACCTGAGCAAAGCCCGCTGCAAACGTGTTCCCATTCCTTTTTGAGTTCAACATCACCTCGGACATGGACCCGAGCATCGCCTGTTTGATTTTCTCAAGCTTCGCAAGGATCTTCGGCACTTGATCCGTCTTTTGCTTCAACTCCTGGACTATCCTTTTCAAGAACGGTTCTTGACGGAAGACCGAGATCGCCATATCGTTGCCGAGAACTGCCGTTGGAGACTCCAGTTGAGAAGGTTGAATCTTAGCCTTTGGCGTCGTGTCCGCCTTTCGGCAATATCCTGTCGACAACTCAAATCCACGAATAGGCGTCGTCATCCTAGTGCTAACCATCGCCAACATATCTCCTCCATCGCGCTTCAGCTCCGTAATTTGTGTCACCAAGTTCTTGGCCACTGTCAGGATGCGATCCTCCGTAAATTCCGTGAACATCAAGACTCTAAGTAAAAGCTCGCACTGCTCCTTGAATTTCGATCGTTCAGCAGAACAAGCCAGGACGAAGAGCTCTGACAACCATGAGCACGCAAAAATGTCGTTCCCGAACCCAACCGCAGCCTCATGCGACACAAATGTATTGGCAACGAGTGTCACGACCGACTGATAATCCAGGTGCTCAAAAACGATTTCGTCTGATCCCTCCTCTGCATACTTGGGAATAGTGCACGAAGACTGAAAGACAAGTTCCTGAAATAGGACGAGATAAGGCCGGAGGTCCTCGTCCAGATGTACCAGAGGCAGACACAGCTTGACATGCGTAAAGAACGTGTTTGTCTCGACCACTTGAACCAACTTGAAGGGCCTTGAATCGTCCTTTTGACCACTTTTTGCAGCAACATAGTGGGAAGTGATCGGGATGGTTGGAACCTTGGATGCGTCCGGAATTGGAGGCATGGTAGCGATGATCTCTGGCGTCATATTGACCTTGTTTGCCTCTACAGCTTCTGCCACCATGACTCCTTGTTTTGCCAACCCCTCTTTGCCAAATGAATTCATGATTTCCCGCTGTTTCTGCGAAACAGTCGCCTTGAGCGCCTTGCCTAACCGACTATCCGGGATCATGAAAACCTCCACCATAGGCGGCTCCAGCAGCCAGGTACGAGCTAAATCTCTCCAAAACTGAGGTCCCACCGTCTCGAGTTCGTCGATGATGGCGAAGACACTAGATCGAGTACCGATCGACGCTGGCTTTGTCTTGTCCTTCTCCAAGTAGGCGTAAGCGAGTATATCGGGGACCAAGTAAGATGTCGCTGCCTCATGGGGGTCGTCCTCGATCGACTCGTTGATTTTCGTCCGATGTCTGGCGATGACGCGACTCATCTCCGTGATATCGGATAGACCGTTGTTGACAAAGTCACTCAGAACCTCCAAAACCTTTCCATGATAGAATCCGGCCTCGAATAGATCCTGGTTTTCATCCTCAGAATCCTCATCCTTCGATCCTGATTCCTGCGTTTCCCCGTCTTCACTCTGATCCTCATCTTCTTCGTCCGATCCTTCGTCCTCGTCGTCTTCTTCGTCGTCTTCCTCCTCCTCCTCCTCCTCCTCCTCCTCCTCCTGATCATCCCGCTCGCTTCCGTCTTCGACTTCATCTTCAGAGGCGGCTCCGTTCACACCGTTCTTGAGTTTCACCTGACTCGGCTTTACGCGGACAGGTACTCCCGAAAACAGCAGCAGCAACGACGCGTCGATACAGCCCTTCACATCGAAATCCACGTGGCTTCCTAATGGGTTCCGTCGTTCAACAAATGCCTGTGAAAACAGCGATGCCGAGGTCTCGTGCAAGAAGCGGAACAAAATATCAAGGGCAACCATCGTCTTGATGTCAAACGTGCTTGGTCCCAGCCATCCGTAGCCTATAGACCCCACATCCTCATCAGCCGAAGGAAAGTAGATCGTCCTTGATGTCAGCTTGGTATCCTTCGACATGATTGGTGCATCCTCGCGGCCCTTGGAGATGTCCATTTCCTTGATAATGTCAAAAGTGGTGCCATGATTGATCGCATCGGTGTTGTCGGTGAGGATGTGCTGCTGGATCAGAGTATCGAATATCCGCTCGGGCTGAAGACTATCTCCAGCAACAACGATGGTCATATTCGAGGGGTGGTAAAATTTCCTGTGGTATTCGCGGATATCGTCGTTGGTCATCTTGGGAATTTCGGGCGTCAAGCCTCCACACTCGTAGTAGTATGTTTGTGATTTTGGATACAATAGCCGCCGCAGACCTAGATCCAGCTATCATAAACAATCGGATGTTAGCAGCAGATACATGTCGACGCCGGATCGCGTGCTGGGCTTGAAGCAACATCCTTATCGATGCCTTACCAGATCAGCTTCCGAGTTCTCTCTGGCCGCCATCTCTGAGAATACAACGCCTTGCTGCTTGCCCTCGCCGTCGACATGGTATACTTCTGTGACATACTGGTCGTCTCTGAGCGTCGGGTGGAGTACATGGTCCAAGAAGACTGGTAGAATCTCGGCCATCCCATCGCGTCCTGCTGTTGCAATTGTGTATCCTGTGTAGTCCTCTGTCTACTCTCAGTAATGTGTTAAGAAATGTCAATATCAAGTTCTTGTGTGGGGGAAGAGGGTCAAACATGGGTCAATAAAAAAAAAAGTCTGAAAGGCTTACAGTATATGCATTAGTTCCGGTAGAAAGACATCTGTTGGCTAGTGAGTCGAGGTAGCCTCTATTAGGGTAATTTTTCGATCCGCAAAAGACCACTATTGCCAAGGCAATTGTACAAATGTTGACTATTAGAGATGCCTCTGCAGCGATTGCCATGTTTTCCATTCCCGAATGATACCGCTGGTGTTACTGCGCCTTACGGTGCTCTAATGTGTGAGGAAGACCACGCGAGTCTTTGACAACTGTGGGGACAATGATAGTGGCGGTGGCCTGCGGACCGGGGATATCGATAAAGACGAAGCGCATGTTTGTGTCGAGGTGCTTATAGACAGCCACGGGCGTTGGCTGACTGGGCCCTGGCAGCGATACCTGCGACTCCAGCTGGAAGTGGTTCATGACTTGTGTGGTAAATGAGATGTGCGGGTGTGCGACAGGAGTAGGATGGAGATGCGTCGCTCAAAGGGATAATAAAAAAAAAAAAAGATAATATTTGGAGGGGATTGACTGTCAACCTTGTTTTATTGTGGAACATATAGACCAACAATTTACATTCTGTCTGTAGCAGGACTCTCGCCTACAGGATAGATCCGCAGGTTGGCTGAAGAGTTGGACGTGACAATCTTCATCGTACTAGGTCCCTGACCATGCGTGCCCCGCTTACTACTCTTCTTGTCGTGCTCAAACTGCAGATTCGATCCTTCGACTGCTACGGGGCTATTGCTTGTCTCCAGATCGAAGTGACCCTGGAACGCCTCCGACTAGAGAATAAAACGATTCAAACACATACAAGGGCTCGTGTTAGCAATAATGAACGACTTTCAACAAAGGACGAATACAAACTGTAGTCAATCGACGCCATGAAGCGTACCAAGTTGACGGTAACAGAACCGTTCGACGATCGTGCGTGTCCCTTAAATTCTTGATGTACTGGTACCATGATCGAAGATACGATGCTTCCGTTCATCGTCTTGTTGATCACTTCCAATGCCTGTCCACTCTGTGAGGCATCCAGGTTGAACTCAATCTTTCCATTTACTGTTGTTGTGCTGATGGTAGAGTTCCGTGATGCCCTTCCCAGGAGTGTCCCAACCACTACCTTGCCGTTCTTGGTCGAGTTCTCCATCAAGAGTCCCTGCCTTGTCGGTGTAGCATCCACATGCAGGTTGATCGACGCATTCGATGTCTTGGTCACTACCGCGGATTGTCGACCATCCTGTGCATCCTGAACAAGCAGCTTTGCAGAGATGGATCCATTGGAGGTGTTCAAATTAATGTGACCAGCAACAAATGTTCCAGAGATACTCGAGTTGCTTGTGCGGAGGTTGATTGTATCAGCATGCAGAGACTGGATGGCGATAGTTGAGTTGGAGAGATCTGACTGTACACTGCTCCATGTTAGGTTGTCCAGCTTATCGGTCGAGAACGATGAGTTTGGTGCCTCCACGCGGAGGCTGTCCATGTATCTGGATGACTCTGGGATCTGAATAGTTGTCTCATGGTAGATGTTGAAACTACTGAAGCGTGTTGGACCCTGATATGGACATCACGTATGCAACAGTAAGACAGAATGAGTAATATGTTGATGGATGGGTCCAAAAAGGTTGCTAGGATGGATGAAGTAGTTATAACTGAGGTGTGAGAGAGCTTTTTTTTACCTGCAATGTGAAGGTGTGTGTCTTGTTGTCGAAGGATGTCCGAACAGCAACCTCGTCCTTGTCGCTCTCCTTTGTGACCCAAATGCGGGTTGAGATCATGCCGAGACCAGAGTCGTCCTCGGTGCCATGGATGAGACGGACCTTGCCCTGGACTTTTCCAGTGGCGACAAAGACCAGGCTGGGGTATTCCTTTGGGTTGAAGGTCGAGTCGTCATTGGGGATTCTGATAGCGATGCTGGGCTGGTGGATGAGGCCGACGAGTGAGGCGAACATGTTTGTTTGCTGGATCTGATGTGTTGAAGTTGCGTTGAGGGAGAGAGAGAGAGAAAGAGGCGGCAACGAGGGATGGATGAGGAAGGATAAGGGAAAAGAAGAAGAGAAGTATGGGTATTTAAGGGAAAGAACCCAAGGGTAGCAGAGGTCGAAAGAGCAAGCCAAGGCCAAGAGAAATCTTGGTACGAGCCTTGGCATTTTCTTTCGCTTCATTTCTTTCTTTGGCAATTCGCACCACCTCTTACCCTGGGCCAAGCAATACCGCCGCATTGGATGCCCAGATTGTCACGTTCTTTCCTTCGTTGACAAACAAGCAGCCCTATCAAACTAAAGGGCCGTTATCTCGGATCGCTGCTTTGACCGCTTCTCTCTCTCTCTCTCCTCTTCCCCGCATGCTCCCCCTGTGTTCAGCCTCTTATTCAGAATACAAAGTACATAGCTCACTCCCTTCTACAGCCCACCAATGTGAATACGGTACACCCATATAATTTATTAGGTAGGAGACCTTGGTGGAATTACGAAAGCTAGAGCGCCCCTCGCTCGAAACTGCCAGAGTGGTTGCAACCATCTTTTTGGTCATCCCTCCTCTAAAGGGTCGACAACAAAGCCAGCACTGCCGACACAACAACGGTCCATCCTAGCATCGCCTTCATGTCGCACATCTGTCTCATAGCGCTGTTCGTTGGTGTTGGCGTAGGCGAAGCTGTGGGCGTTGGCTTGACACAGGTCAGGTTCAATCCCGTCTTGAGCAGGTTGGGGTAATTGCTCTCGAAGTTCTGGAGTTCGTTTGTCTGACAGCTGGTGCCGCAGGATTTAGTCCAGTTAAAGTCGAAGCTCGAGTCACAGAGACAGGTCCGGTACTGGGGCGTGGACTGTTGAGCAGGGTCCGTCAGATTGACGCCGACACAGCTGGGGAGCGTGCTGATTTGACTAACGAGACAGTTGTTGCAGGGGACTGAGAGACCAAACTGTGCCGAAACTTGGTTCTGAGGAACCATCGTCAGGATTGTCAGCAAGAGGCATGTCTGTGTGGCTAACGCGAGGAGTGTGCGTAAGAAGGAATGGGCCATGGTGTTGTAGTCGATATATTCTCGCGGGAAGGTGATAATTAAGAAAGAAAAGGGCAATTGAACGATGGCTAGGTACTAAGGTTGTTGGCAGAGCGTGTGGGCGGTGGGGTACGTCGCAGGGTCAGTTGGGCTTTGTGAAAAGGGGGAGAGAACAAGAGAAAAGGGATAGAGAAAGAGATAGATAGGGAGGGCGTTATATTGCAGAGGTTCCTGAGCGATGAAGCACTCTGGGCTAAATAGCGTTTTTATATCGCAGAGCATGTAAACAACAACAATCAACCGGTATGTGGCCGGAAGGCATCAGACAGCCTCGTGGGTACGCCCTTGATCTGGCACCTCCTTTTTCCGAATAAACAAGCACCGACCTCGGCCCAGGTCCCGAGGACTGCTCACAATCGTGGTCATCAGGGACATATTTCCCAGTCAATAGATGCCATACAACCTTCCATTGTTGTTGGGGAATGGTTCCGAAGTGACCACTTCAAAGGCAAAGCTGACGAGAAATGACTGCATGGTTCGGTTTGGTCTATGACGTGAGTGCTCAGATAGTGCAGGAGCTCAGAAAATGTGGGAGTGTGGACAGACCTTCTGCAGGTAAAAAAAGATGATCTGTATTTCTTGGTTTTTCTCTAGGGATGTAGGGATGTCTCTATGCTGCAAGTTGCTCGGTCAAGCGCTGGATCACAACGTCGTTCTCCTCTGGCGTTCCGACTGTGATGCGTAGACAGCCCTCGCACCCAATCTCTGTGCCACGGAAACGGACAACCAGTCCCTGTCGACTGGCCATGTCCGCGTAGACCTTGTGGGCACGATCGTTCGATGGCTTTCCGCTCTCCTTGTCTAGCACCTCCACCAACACAAAGTTGGCGTCGTTCGTGCCCAGGACACGACCCAGACCAGGGATTGACTTGAATGCCTCCAAAAGCCGGTTTCTCTCCTCAACCATAACTGAAATGTGCTTGTGAAGAATATCCAATCCCTTAGGCTGAAGAGCTTCCTGTGCCACTCTTGAGGTAGTGCTCGCGATGTTGTATGGTGCCTTGGTGGCGTTCATGTACGATGCAATCTCGGGTGTGGTGATAGCAACTCCCAGTCTATTAGAGTTCAAGCAAGAGGAGATATTGTCAGTAAACCAGGCACACCATTTCATTCCTTGCTTCTAACACAAAAAAAACAACCTCATATCAATCGTTCTAACCTCACGCCAGCCAATCCGAAACTCTTACTCATGGTCTGCATGACAATGAGGTTCGGGTATTCCTTGACCCAGGTGGCTGTCGTTCCCTCCTTGCTGGCATCAATAAAATCAACGTATGCCTCATCCACGGCGACAATTCCCTTGTAGTTTGGCAAAGTCAGCACACGTCGAATGCTCTCGTGGGTCAAAGCCGAGCCGGTTGGGTTTCCTGGACTGCACAAGAAAATGACCTTGATATTAGGATGCTCGTTGATCTGCTTCTCAATCTAAATATGGTGAAAAAAAATGTTAGCCACACTTCACTAAGGTACGATTGTATTTCGATCTGCGACTTCATTCTATTTTGTAGACGAACCTCTTCCATATTCAATTGGAACTGTCCATCAAGGGTCAAGGTAGCCTTGTGGACCTCGACATCGTTAATCTGGGCGCAGACAGAGTACATGCCGTAGGTCGGGGGAGTGATTAGGACCGCATCCTTGCCGGGAACACAAAAGACACGGAAGATCATGTCGATCACTTCGTCGCTGCCGACACCGAGGAAGAAGTGTTCAGGGCCTGGAACATCCCTGAACTTTGCAATGAGGTTCTTGAGGTCGTGCTGGTGGGGATCAGGGTACCGGTTGATGTCGAGTCCTGAGCTAGAGGCTGCAGCCTCTGAGGACGGGTTCAGGGCTGGACCATAGGCATTTTCATTGGCATCGAGCAGGACTCCAGAGGAGTAGTCATCGCGAGCACAGCGATAGGGCTTCAATGCCAAGATATTAGGGCGAACGATGCTCTTGACAGAAAATGTGCTGGATGTCATTGTACAGGGGGTATGTAAAAAGGAGAGGAGAGGTGAAGGAGTGTGGAAAGGTGGAGGCAAGGAGGGGCCTGTAATAAAAGTGAATGTTTATCTACCGTGAGTTCGTTTGAGTCACCCTTGAGCTGCATTCCCAAGGTGACTGGCAATCTGCCACGGTCCCTGGACCAAGTAGGGTCTGGCTGGGGCTGGATCTCAATTGCAAGCCCGTCGGGGTAAGGGACACCCTAAGCGGTGCTGCTAAGCAATGAACAGCGACTTCAGCGACTTTGTTTTTTCTCATTCTTTTTATTGCCGATATGCAGAAAAAAAATAAAAATAAAAGTGACAATGCATTTTTCTGTTCTATGGTTTCTGGCAGATATTGTGTTACTCGTAAAAGAAGGGAATCGACTTGTATAAGCACTAAATATCGTCTTGCCCAACGCTCCTGCTGTCATCGTCCTCACTGGATTCTGGTGCGAATTGGCTCGACTTGAGCGCATCCAAGACCCTTCGCGTCGCCTGCTTCTGTTTCCTCGCTGCATCCAGCAACGAATAGTCCTCAGACGACGATGTCGCAGACGAGAGTGCCGCCAGCGACTCAAACATGTTGTTGATCTCCGAGGTGGAAAAAGCAACGTTAAGCATTTGCTCTGCCAGGTCGCGGTTGTGCTGCTGCTGCTCCATTTCCTGCTGACGCTGCATCTGTTGCTCCAGATCAAAGGGAGCTGAAGTCGAATCAGAGTCTACTGCCCGGTGATAACTCTCCGCATAACGTCCAGTTCCCTTAGATCTCGGCACGTGTGCGGTAGTCTGCTGCGATGACAGTGACGAAGACGTGGTGGGCGCATCTGCAGGCGCCTGCCCCAAAGTAGACTGTTGCTGTTGCTGTTGCTGTTGCTGCTGCTGCTGCTGCTGCTGCTGCTGCTGATATTGCAAAAGGTACGGGAACTGGGCCGACAATGCTGCAATGGCGGCCTGTTGAGCCGCGTTATTGATCTCTTGCTGCTGGAGGGTAGCGCTGGATGTGTGTGGAGAATGCAATCCGAATCTCGGCGAGGACCCTTCTTCAGAATCGTTAGTTGATCCAGGGCTACTCTTTGTTCGAGAATTGGATCCGCCCCGCCGCTGTTGAATCCTTCGTTCAACATCCTTCATCATCGGTATGATCACCTGTTGCAGCGTCATTTCCTTGTATCCCTCAAACTTGCATCTCGACGACATGAATGTCCTTGCAATCTGGTTCGCTGCGGGTACACGCTGCAGACTCGCCACAGCCTCCGCCTGAGCCGCAGAAACAGCGGCTGCCATAGCTGCAGAGGCAGCAGCAGTGGCAGCAGCCGCGCTATCGCCATGTTGGAGGTGTTGCTGCTTCTTGGAATCAAGTCGGTCGTGCGTCTGAATGATCCTGGCCAGCTGAATCGCATTTGCTTCCTCCACTCTGTCTCGGAGACGCTGTGCAATGTCGGCCCACCTGATATCCGTATGGTCTGTGTAACCGTCCTCTTGGATCATCCTGAGCACGTCCAGCTGCTGTTGAAGGCCGCTGCGGCGACGGATGGGACCCTTGGGTGCCTTGGGTACAATGGACGGGATCGGCAGCGAGGCTGCAAAGGCGACCGCGTCAAAATCGTCGTGGTGATCGTTAGTATGAGCAGGATCTACGAGATGACTCTCTGTGGACCCGTGCAAGTTGCTATGCTCTGCACTCTCCATGCTGCTTGATATGGCCTGTGTCCAGATCATATTATCGTTACTGTTCGTTGGGAGAACGCCTTGTAAAGCGGCAGCCAGCATGAGAACGTCCTGTGTTGCCGCTACTGACTTGCTGTCATCGGAGTTAGAGCTCATGCCGAGGCCGAGGTTATTATGGATCTGAAGCGACGCTGGCCGTTCTGGATCTTGTTCATGCTGGTGCTGTTTCGAGGGAGATGTCGAAGAAGACACATTGGCCGCAACAGCTGCATTGGCCGCAACAGCCGCTGCCGCCGCCGCAGCAGCGGAGCTAGGAGCTGTCCATTCTCCTCGCTCAAGACGTGGCTGCAGCGTCTGGGAGTACCGATGCCGGCATTGATGTCTTGTTCTGGTGCCCTCCATGCGTTCGGAAATCAGGGTCCACATCGGGCTAGAGTCCAAGATGTTGGCCTTGCCTTGCTGGAGCGCCAAATCCTGCATAATCGTTAGCAGCTTTTCGTCCTCGTGAGGCTGCCAAGGCCCTGTCACCATCGTGCTCTGATCCTTCAAATGATTGCGGTATCGATCACGGCAGCTGTCAGCCATGCGTCCGAGTTCATTTCCGATGGTCGTCCACTGACCCTTGTGCTTGGCGTAGAGCGCAATGAGTTTTTGATCGTCCTCCTTGCTCCACGCGCCGACGTTATTTTGTGGATGGAACATACGACGAACATGCAGATAGATGTTAAGCAAAGGCCGAGTTTGCAGGCGCACGGCTATTTCGAAAAGTGATAATATGGTAGTGAAATAAGCATTACTGATATGAGCTGAAAGACATGGTGGGCACCAATAAGTAAAGAGAATGACTCATTACCAATTTCGACCCACAAAGCCTTCAGGTCATTCTTTTCAAAACGTCCGCGACCGTTTCCGTTTTCGAACCAACGCTGAATGGCATCCTCTGCCATGTTATTGCGAGCCACGTAGTCTGTAATCGTCTGCCGGATCAACTCGTCCTCATGCGAACTAAATGTCCCCGTTTTGTATGCAATACCTGAAGAGAAGAATCATAAACGGTTAGCTGAATGCTCGATATGTCCAAATGTATGTAAATCCGATAATAATAAAAAAAACTGCATAGTTGATTAGGAATTTACGTTTTTCCTTGAGCGCTGTGGCCATGAGCCATTTGGTGTGCAATGGATTGTTGCTCGTAACCGCGCCTGGATCGTTCTTTGGCGCCGGAGAATCCGCACCAGAAGGGGAAGTGCTGGCAGTAGTGGTGTCGCTGTTATTGTTGTTACTGGTATTGTTTTGGCTGCCGGAACTCGACTCCTTGCTATCATGGCTCTGAATGGCCTCCCCGGGGAGATTGATGGTCGGTTTCAATGTCGCTAAAATCGATGGGTCGCCCAGGTTCATGAGAATACTGGTAGCATTGACAGTGGCCGAATTGGACGAGTTAGTACTCTGTTGCTGTTGCTGCTGCTCTGGTGAGCGCTGCTGCTCAACGGTACCGGTATCACCCTTATTGCTGGAGCCCAGATTGTTTTTCAGACTTTCTTCAATCAGCATCCGTATATCCGAGATGGAAGGATTCAGTGGAATCTGTTGCTGAAGCTGTTGTTGCATTTTCAGGATCTCCGCGCTTACTCCTTCAATGCTGTGCTGCTGCTGTTGTGGTTGTGGTTGTTGTTGATCGCCGTGTTGGTTCGGCTGGTTTGATTGCGCCGCCATGCTGGAGCTATCTCCAGCCTTTGCCAAAAGATCCGCCATCGTGGTCGTAATTGCTGCACTGGCCGCATCCGCCGCAGAGGTGCTGGCTGCCGTTGCATGGTCCAAGGAAAGATCTGAGATGGACCCGTGGTGTTTCGCCGTTGCAGTGTCGTCCTGGTTGGAATGGGCTGTGCGCTCAGCGATGATTTCTTTGGATTCAAGAATATCGAAGACGTCAGCTTCGCCTGCAGGAGACACGAGAGCCTTCTTGAAACCGGCATGCAACGCCTCTTCACTGTTCTTTCGCTTCTTTATGGTTGATGCCTGATTTTCCATATCAAGACACCGCGGGCCTCTCAAATGATGGTTGTAGGCGTGATAAAGTCAAAGTCCTGAAAGCGCTATGTGTTCAAGGAAATTGGGGCAAAGCTCGTTGCAGAAAAGCCTAAGACCACATGTACAAGACCAAGATTAGTCAACTGCGCTGTACATGACCTATTATCCCAAAACATTTCATGGCAGTTCAACAAGTTCAACAACCGCCTGCATCCTAGTCAGAAAGGGGGACAAGGACCGCTCTTCTTGTCGCTGTGCAGCAACATAAAGCTCGGGCGTTGAATCCGGACCATGCAAGTCAAACCAGCCAGAGATATGCTCTTTACTGATTCCGACTCAAACTGTCGCCAACGATTCGTCTTGTTAATTACAACAAGATGCAACCTTGCCGACTTGCTGATGCCATGCACGCTCTTGTTCCCCCACAGTTTGTCGTAAATGGCCATGACTACTTACACGCTAGGCTTAAGGGTAAAGGTTGCAAGGAAAGGTGCGCTTCAAGCCCAAGGAGGTCAACGAAAAAAAATATAACCCAACAAGACCGAGAGCAGAGTCCTTGGAATGTGGCTTGTCACTGGATGTATTTCTTTGAATCGACCGCTAGAATCGTATAGCTCCTCCTCTTACTTTCACTTTCGGTAATTGACTAGTCAAACTTGTGCGCATCCACCTATCCGGATATCTGGAGTGAGCCATCCATCCAACCTCGTGGTCCATCTATCCGCCAATCTCGCACCACTGCAGTCGGATTAGCAACAATGCATACCATCGCTCGTATCCACATGTACAGTGATACCATTTCGGCTGGATCACTCATCTCACACCGTCAGTGGCCAAAAGTCAATGGAAGCAAGGACGGATCTCGACCCTGATCGTGTCTTGTCGCTACTTTGCCATCAAATTGCTCTACCCTTCAACGGGCCAGGACTGGACCGGACTGGACTGGGATGGGAGCAAGGAGTCGTCTGTCGTCAGCATGCCACACTTGAATCAGCCCTCTAACGCCCTTTTGTTGTGATCTTTTTTGCGACGTTTCTCAAACACCTAGAAATGGCTAACCTTGCTCTTCCCGCTGGCATTGAGACCGATGGCGCTGTCCGCCTCTTCAACAAGTGGTCCTACGATGATGTTGAGGTCAAGGATATCTCCTTGATTGACTACATCCAGGTCAAGGCTCCCGTCTACTTGCCCCACACCGCTGGTCGCTTCGCCTCCAAGCGTTTCCGCAAGGCCCAGTGCCCCGTCGTTGAGCGTCTCACCAACTCCTTGATGATGCACGGTCGCAACAACGGAAAGAAGCTCATGGCTGTCCGCATTGTCAAGCACGCTTTCGAGATCATCCACTTGCTCTCTGACCAGAACCCCATCCAGGTCCTCGTCGATGCCATCATCAACACCGGTCCCCGTGAAGACTCCACCCGTATCGGTTCCGCCGGTACCGTCCGTCGCCAGGCCGTCGATGTCTCCCCTCTTCGCCGCGTCAACCAGGCCATCTCCTTGTTGACCATCGGAGTAAGTGTCAATTTCTTTTCTTTTTTTTCTTTCTGTTCAAGTTCACACGGCGACTCTGGCTCAACAACAGTGGCATCAAGTACCAGTGCAGTACAACTATATGGGTTCATGGCTCGTCGGTGGAAGTGGGCGCGTGGCTTTGGTCAGGAGTCTGTATTTCAGGGATGCATCAATCTATTTGCAACTGGACACATTGTGTACTTGCATGGAATCGTGATGGTCTTGACTCTGTATTTACGGACTGTTCTCCAATGCGGCTCGCTACATTTCGTCTGAAATCCATTGATCCCGTTGCACTGTGCGCCATGGTCCTGTTATCACTGGCGTTGAAAAAAGAGAGTCGAGTGGGCAATGAACCAAAAAAAAAAAAAAAAAAAAAAACGGAACACACGCATCTTATTAGAGACCAGTGTAAGAGGTTTCGCCCCTTACGGTTACTAACGTTCAATTGCTTTTTGTTCTGATTTTGTCACTTTTAGACCCGTGAGTCTGCTTTCCGCAACGTCAAGTCCATTGCTGAGTGCCTCGCTGATGAGCTCATCAACGCCGCTAAGGGCTCCTCCAACTCCTATGCCATCAAGAAGAAGGATGAGTTGGAGCGTGTTGCCAAGTCCAACCGTTAAAGCGCTTTTTTCGCCCTATATTTTACGGAATATACTTTGCCACACACTTTACAATGTATCGTTTTCGCTTTTTTGTCGTCTCCAATAAAGCATGGAAATTTGCATGTAGTCAATCATTCCAAATGCTGGGTGCTTCTGTATTGCTTAAATAAATAGTCTCGTCATTAACTCTCTGCTATAGTACAGGCTATTTGGGCTTTGCACTCTCTACGGCTTGCTGCTTCCAGTCAACTGCTGCGCCCAATGCAAGCGGCTCCATGGTCCGACTGAGGAATGGACCCTGTGGCGGCAACGATGATGATGACCGTGGTGGCTGTGCTATTTGTCGTATGTTGTTCTCGTAGACAAGACATGAAAGGCATTGCCCGAATAAATAAATTTGCCCAGATAAGCGCAGTGCGATACCTGCGACGCTCCGCCGTCGGTCGCTTTGGTACACAGCGCTTTTTCTTATCCCACTAGTCACTCGCGAGTAAAGAGGAACTCGCTTGGACAGAGGCTCGGATTTTCCCATTTCGCTCCCCATCTGATGCAGGACAAAGCTGCCAGGGTAACCCTGACTTGTGATGTGGAGTTTTCGAAAGAGAGTCTTGCACAGGGGATATCTGCTTGCTCTTTTCCCTTGGCATCCCTGAGTTACGAGTACCTTGTGGTCATCTCAAGGAGAGTAAGGACACGCTATGGAAGAAGGCGACATTGGATGGCGTAAAGGAATATATCAGAAACATCCCACAGAAAAAAAGAAAAAAAAAAAAAAAAAGACGTGTCAAAAGATAGGAACAAGTACACTCATGGACTGAAGGGTTTGTGAGGTGCTGGGAATATTCCTTTCTTCGTTTTGCGTACTGGACCCTCCCTCTGTCTATCATCATTCCGGATATTTTTATTCTTGCCATTTTGCTGCTTGAATAAATATTTTCGCATAAAGAAGTCTATTAGTTACTTGTGTGACCAAAAGAACAACGAATAATCGCTGTTTGGCACAATCTCGTAGAACACTAGAAAGAGTATCCACGCCATGGGATGTGCGGCTGTCTGTGGCCACAAAAGGTCGCTTCACTTTCGCTAAGACTAGCTGCATTGGATCCATACACGATTTCCTCGCATACCCGACGTACTGTTCTCCACACCAAAGTGGGAGCTCATGTTTTTTCGCGGCAGGCGGTCTCTCTGCTGGGCGATGCCGCCTACGCATTGACTTCCGTTGTGATTCTCCCCGCGATACAAGGTCGCAAACCTCGACACAAGATGAAGTTGACGTTTCAACATTCTTCATGGATCTGCGCGAGTCAAGGTCGAGCATGCTTGCTTCTGGCTAGCTTAAGCTGAAATGGCAATCGCTCTAGAGACTTGGCCGGTCAAGGTGAGGAAGAAACGGGATATTTCCAGGGCATCCAGTTGGATCATGGCTTGCTTTATTCTGCATAATTTTTGCACTCATGAATCCTGACGAGGATGAGTACGATATTGTCGATGACAACTGGAATGTGTTTGCAGGTGATGGACCGTCACAAGCCGAGAATGACGACGTTCCAGCTATGGTAGATATGGGAGGTTGCCATGATGATCTCGAGAGGCACAACGGTAGGGCAAAGAGGGACAGACTGAAGACGTAGGTACTCAGGAACCGATTTAGAATAGGGAAAATACAAGCGCCAAAGGCAACAGCAACAGCAATAAACCATTCATTCTTTTTTATCCCTCATTACGTCTGCGAGACTTTCATTGCTCTCATCTCCAGTTCCTTCTTCAAAGTCCTGTTCTCGGCAAGCAATTCGTAGTAGCGTTCTCTCTTCTGCTCCAACTGCAATCTCTCCTTCCTAATCTCTTCCTTCCCCTCTGCCATGTCTTTTTTGAAAGCCACCTTCTCCTCTGTCATGTCTTTCTTGAACAGCGCCTTATCCTCTGCCATCTCTTTTTTGAACAGCGCCTTTTCGTCCGCTATTTCCTTGTTGAATTGCTCCTTCTTGGCCACGAGCTCTGCTTCAAGACGTTGTCTCGCCTCCGCCTCAATTCGCAGCATTCTCTCTATGAGCTGCCATTTGCGTTGCTCGATCACTTGCTCCCGTTGTCGGAGTTCGCGCCTTTGCTTTTCTTGACTCCACGTTTGCCTATCCGCGGTTTCCTTCATCTCGTGCATTGACGCTGGGATGGCCGCTGCCTCATTGGTGTTGTTAACCCTTTGACGCTTCTTAGGGGGTCCCTCCTTGGTTCCGTTCGCCTGAGAGACCGTAAAGGCTATAGATAAGGACTCAGATTAGGATGCTGTTTTGAAGTCGTTATATTTTCAATTACAGGAGGACTGCACGCTTACGTACTTGAGACGGAAATGATATCGTCGTTGTCCTCAGACTCTTCAATCTCGCTGAGATAGCCTTCAGAGTCGGACGCGTCGACTTTGTCGTCCAACATCGCCGTCGACTGCCGATATGACGCGGGGCTGGCAGAAAAACTCGAGCTCATGACAGCATCAAGCCTTTCAAAGGGCGGACATACCTTCTCCTGCCTCGCACGAAGTATATCGCTCTCTTCTGGTCCAGTGACTCCTTCACCGGTCAATGACATGTTCTTGACTTCCTTGTACTTCTGCTTGACATATTGGAGCTTCGATTTGACCTGCTCATCAGTCCATGCGAGATTCTCATGCGCGTGCGCGTCGTTCACGTATTTGGCGATCTCTTTCCGCAAATCCTTTATTTTTTGACCAGATATTGAATATTTGCTGTGTAGCCGTGTATAGTGCTGTGGGTCGGTTATCCAGTCAATAAACGTTGCCATCCCCGGTGTGGTCCAAAATGACTTCTTTCCCACTGTTGTCGACGACTCTGCTTCGGCAGTGTTTAATCTCTCAGACGTCCTTGCAGACAGCACCGAGGATTCTCGGGACGGAGACGGTAACACAAAAGCCAGCGGTCGTGGCGGACCTTGGCGATCACGCTTGGTCATGTTTGGTAAGGTGTAAGGAACGGAATGCGAGGAGTGCGTTGGAGAGGATGGCGATTGATCTTGATGGGCAAGTTCTGGCGATGAGGTCGAAAAAGGGCTAGGAGAGAAGGGACTGTTGCTGTTGCTGTTGCTGTTGAAGTGGTTGTTGGCGAAATCGCCGGAATGAGTTTTGATGTCGCTGTTGATGGTATTGCCGCTGCTGATGAGGCTGCTGTTGCTGATGCTGAACCTGTTCGGTTGAAGGTTGGGTGCTGGGGTGCAAATGGGAATAGGGTTACACTTGGGGGGCAGACGCGTCAACGTTGTTTATGTTATTACGAGCCATATATGATGCAATGTAACATCCATCATTGATTGGGTGAATGAGAATTATTCAGGGAGTCAAATATTCATGTCCACGAATATTATTCAGTTCCACAGGGTGCAAGAGCGGGAAACTATGAGTGCATTGATCTTTGTCTTCTTTTTTTCCTTTACGTTTTTTCTCACAGGACTGCAAGAGTGGGGCTTTAAGCGCGCATCGACCCTGGTCTCTTTTATTCTTCCTTTTCTCATAGGGGCGCAAAGAGCGGGAAATGATGCGTTCGTTGATCCGGTCAGAAATTCACAATGGGTTCTGGAAATAGTTGCCAGCACCACGCAGGTGATGCTCAGCTTACATCAACTTGTCGCCGGTCGCGACTCCATCGGTGGCTTTGGCTCTACCAGCGATGTTGTCACCGTAACCTTGGGACCGCTGGCCAACCTTCTGGGCGTGCGAGCGAGTGTCCGCCTGAGCCTTCTCGGCGGTCATCTGTTCTGCTCCGACAGCTTTCCCAAGGGACTCTTTCACTGAGCCCATACCCTTGTGGAAAGAATTGCTGGTATTTGACATGTTGAAAAAGGTGTTGTTTGGGAGGCAAGTGTCGAGTGAAAGTGTGCGCTCTGCGATGTGGAAATGAGAATGAGATCTGAGACTGAGATTAACGAGAAGAAGGTAGGCTAGACACAGACAGTCAACACATTGGGCCACAAGGGAGAGATTGCTTATTTTATCTGAGGGTGGAGAGTATTGGCGAAAAATGAGAGGCTACCAGCCGATGAAAACAATACGTATTTGGATATTAGTAACTAGACTACTTTACAGTCGTAAAGCAAACGCTGGTCTGGAATTTATTCCCCTGGATAGTCTATGCTGATTAGTGCTGTCATGTGACGCTAGACGCGTCTAAGAATGAATCAGCTTCGCCCTCATCACAGAAAGCTCCATGAAGTGTAAAGATGAGCAAAGGCAGCATTGAGAAACGTTTTGAACCATGGATTACTAATCAGGACCTTTATTTCTCTGATGTATATAAGACAGCATAGATTATGTAGTAGAGCCCCCAGTTCATATACTCACAGCAGTCTAGTCAATAAACAATTATCTTCATCCATTCGTCTTTGTTCACTCACCTTGTTCACTCGCCTCCCTTCGTTTCCACCCTCGTTAGTCTCTCCTTCACCCACAAGTCTTACACTCCTCCACCCTTTGCCTCCTTGCTGTTGAAGATGTTGTCGTTTCATCCGTTAAAGATGTTCTCGATCGCGTCGTTGATCTTTGCGGTCTGCGAGCTGTAGAATATGATCTTGAGGTCATCGGAAGCAAGGACCTTCTGTTTTATATTTGGATATTTGGTTTGTTATTTTTGATCGTATTCTACAATATCAAGCACGCTTGAAAATGAATTCGCGATCGCGGTGGTTGCCGACCGCGAATTCATACTCACAGACTTTCTCGAAGCCATAGCGGGCATACAAGCGTTGTGCGCCATAGTTCTCAGACCAGACACCAATATACAGGGGACCGAACCCCTCATCTTCCAGCCAGGCTAACATTTTCTTGAGTATACGACTGCCAAGATTCTTGCCTTGGTGGTCCGGGTGCACATAGAGGCGTTTGATCTCGCCAGCGGTGGATTCGAGGTTAGGCACAGGCAGCTTGCACGCTCCGGCCCATCCGAAAGCCAGGGCCTGACAATTGTCGTCTTCCAGCAACCAAAACGATTCACGGGAATCAGTTAACGGGTTGAGATGTTGCTCAAGTGTGTAAGTGGTCGTAAGGAAATCCTGCAGGTCTTTGGGCGTGTACATGTGCCCAAAAGTGTGGGTGAACGTGAGGGCGCCCAGCTCGGCGAGCACGGGCGCATCCTCTGGAACAGCTTGGCGAAGGTTCATATAAGGCAACTTCCGACGGTCCTGATTCGTGTCCAGAGGGCGGTGATGAGGGAGGAGGGGGGGGGTTTGTCTTCCTGTAGCGATCTTGCTTGATGAGAGGATGGATGAAGGAAGGTAGGGATGGAGGATGTAGAGTTATTTAGCTGTGATGGTGACTCATAATTTTGGAATATGACCAAAGTCAAGTGCGTGACTTTATTGGAATTCAATCAAACCAATTCATGCAAGTTTCCATCAATGAGTGTCGACTGGTCTTGATCATGCGAGCTGTTTCTTTGTCGATAATGACAGAAGAGGAGTTGTCGGGTACGTCCCAAACATCCACATTGATCATCCGCCATCATTTTCCTTAAAAAAACTGCATCAAGATCACAACACCTCATGGCATACAGTCTCCAAAAATTTTGCGGTAACGCACAAGCAAACCTCCTTCCACTCGATAAGCTCCAACCAGGCCAAGGGATTCGCATACTTCTCCGCGACCCTTATCAAAACCATCCATGAGTTTGCAACGAACAGAGCGCCAAAAATATCTGGAGACATTTCCGGTAGAGACGGCCGGAGAAAACTTACGTAAGGGTATACGGGGGATAACATTCGTATTGGGGGGAGCGTCTTTTTTGTCACGTACAATCCAATTATCGTTGGCGGGGTCTATACATGAGCTTATTGCGCGCGCTACTTGGGACGTTTCTGGCCTCAGGCGCCATAATGAAGCGGTCGGTGCCTTGGAGGTCAAAATGCACTCCACTCTATATGACCAAAAAGCAAAAACGACGCGAGATCCTTTGGGGCGCGCGACCCTGTCGTTAAAAGTTAAATCTTGTGCGACACAATGGTTCCGCTTACACAAAATGTCCGAGAGGCCGCTGCTTTCAGCCCATCTGTCTGCAACACCAAAAACACATTCTCTTTCGCATATATGAAGCCCAATAGACTACTAGTGAATGCTCATTCACACATCCATGTTTTTCTTTCTTTTTTTCTTTTATTAGATTTCTATGAGGATGAATGCTTATGAGCGTCCATACGAGTGGTACTGTGCTTCCGAATGATGGTGAACAGACGCAGACGCCACAGTTGGAGAGTGTGTCGAGAGCGTGTGGATCGGTGGCAACTGGATCTTCTCACCTCCATGAACTGCCCTAGACAAAGAGGGAAGGATCGACGGCAAAGCTGCCATGTGCGGCGACATCATCATAGGCGACTCTCCCCGAGCAGCCGCAGCCGCAGCAGTGGCGGTGGCGGTGGCGTCTTGACCATGTGGGTGCTGCTGTGCGGATTCAGAAGGCGAGAAAGGGTGAGGCGGCGAAAAGTTGCCGTCACTGTGCTGGGAAGACATGGATGGCGTACGGCTGTGACAGAGCCCTTGAGGATGGTGAGCATGACTATGACCATGGCTTGGGGGACCAGGAGCGGGGGCCAACTCCATTTCTTGATCGTTCAACAACGCAGTCGGAAACCCGTGACGGCCAGCATGCACGAGTGAATAAGGATGAGGAGGGACAGACGAGTGGCAGTGAGGATGACGAGGAAAGTTATGTACAGACGAGGAAGGTGAGGAAGAGGGAGAAGACGAATGAGCAGCGCCCATTGGATAAGACGGAGCATAGGCATAGGAGGAAGAAGATCCCTCCGAATAGTAGCCATACTCGTGGGAAGGGTGGTGGTGAGGGTAACCCGGTCCGGCAGTGGAGGAGAGGCGACGGTGGTGCTCTAGAGAGTACGGGTGTTGCCTTGGACTGCCGGAGCAGTAGCTCGGGTGAGGATGATAACCGTGTTCATGACGGTAGTACGGTTGGCTGTCATAGTACGGAGGCCTGCTAGGGCTACTGTAGTATGGGTGCTGCTCTGAAGAGGAGCAACCGCCGAAGCGTCTAGGGGCCTCCTCAGGTGCGTAGGGGTTGTGACGAGGACGAGAGGGTGCCGGATCCTGAGCCAGATGTGTGTGTGGCGAGGAAGGAGGGCTGCGGTCGACGGGCTCTGACAAGGAGTAGCGCGCCTCTGTATGTTTGGGGCGTGCGGCAATGGCCACATGGTGCGTGCTCGCATGGCCCTGCACGGGGTATGCAGCATCGTCGCAGGCATGGACCGAAGGCCGGGACCGCTTGGCCTGGTGGTGTATGTCCATGTCGTTGTCGCTATGCTCGGCCTCGTGGCATGAGGAGGGGGGGCTGTGCATGGAGCCATCGACGGTGTCGCTGGCGATGGGCTTCTTGGGCTTGACGTGGTGGTCCTTGCGGATGCGGATGCGGACGCCCTGATCTGAGAAGCTCCTGGACAGGAAGGTGGATTCGGACATGCCGGGGAAGGTCTTGGAGGAGTAGACCGTGAAGGGGTTGGAGACGGTGGTCATGACGTGGACGACCTGGCCCTCAATGAGCTCAAAGAGCGTCATCCGCAGAGAGAAGCGGCCCTCGATGCGGACGGACATGTCGCCAAAGACGAAGAAGCCGCCGTCGGAGTTGTCGACGTCCTTGAGGCGGTTGAGGGAGGAGACGACGGTGCCGGCGAGGGCGCGGTGTGCAGGGGCGACGATCTCGCCCAAGGGATCGTCGGCATGGACGAGATTGCAACACATGAAGAGATACGGGCTTTGGAGATAGTCCCTGTTGATCCAAGGAAATGAAGAGAGAACGAGAGAAAAGGAAAAAAGGACGTTAGGAGACGTGACTTGGCATTCAGCATTCGGCACTCGGCCCTCTGGGCTGGCATTGAACCGGAGGAGGACATACTTGTTTCTGTCGGAGGCAGGGTCAGCCAGCTTGATCTGGACAATGGGGGGCGGGTCGATGGGGCGACGGTCGCGCTCCTTCATCCCACAGACCTTTGCGCGCTGTGGCTGTTGGCGGAGGGTGAGGACATATTTCGATCTAGAAGGGAAGGAAGGGGGGCGGTGTTGTTAGCGAGGGGAACAGAGTGTGGGCGTCATTCGTGCTCGGGTCATGCCATGGGTGTGATTTGCAGGGCGAAGGGAGGGTGCCATAAATGGATGCGAAGGTTTTGACGAGGCAGCTATCGACATTTATCCGGGGATACCAGGATAATTTTTACGTACGATGAGGCAACCTTAGATTTATCGGTCTGGCCACTGACGAAGCAGTAGGGTGTCGAGGACGCAGACTTGACCATTATATTTCCTTGTCCTCTGCGGGCGACTGGCGATTAGGAATAAGCAAGAAGGGGAAGAAGGCGAGAAGGCGAGCAGGCGAGCAGGTGAGCAGGCGAGGAGGAAAGATAGAGATAGAGAGACAGAGAGACAGAGAGACAGAGAGAGAGAGAGAAAATCAGCAGAGTCTCATGTGTAGGGAGGGGGAAGGGGAGGGGAGAGAGAGGGAGGGAGGGAGCAGTGGAGGGTGTGGGGGGCGTGGAGGGCGAGTGATCAGTGGAAAAGAGAAGAGGGAATGAGTGGGGAAGAGAGAGAGAGAGAGAGAGAGAGAGAGAGAGAGAGAGAGAGGAGAAAAGAGAAGGAAAGAAAAGAGAAAGAAAGAAAAGAGAAGAGAAGAGAAGAGCGGGGCGGAGGAGGAAAACTGCTCTTTGTTGGGATAATATATGGGGAGAGATTACTGAGTTCTTTCGGGCTAGCTGAGGGGGGAGGGCGGGCTGTCCAACTGACCAGCTTGGACAAATCTGGACCGCCTGGGTGTCCCTCTTTTGATTTTTACCGAGGATTGCAGTCGCCGAGGGTGTCTATAGAGGGGGAGAGCAGGGCGGGAGGAGTGCGAAATGGATAAATTGGAGCAGCAGGACAAAAAATAACCAAATCACCGGCGGACCAGTACAAACGCAAACAAAAGGGGGAGCAAATGAGAGCACCACACCGCACCACGCAATACAATGCAATACAGTTTGGGAATAGTCCCCTCTCCAGCCTTTGCTCATCCTGCCTGTCCTCCCCTCCCCTCCCCTTCGCAATCAGTCATCACAATCAAGTCAAATAAAATGAATGCAATATAGCCCGGACTCCTATTGGGACGGACCCAGAGGGGCTCGTTTCTCACCCAACCAGACTAGCGCTTTCCTCTTCCGTGCCAAGAAAGACCTTCATCCCACGATGACGACGAATTCGCTTCCTCACCCACCTCTCCTAATCACCCGCCCTCTTCGCTACAGCCTGTAGCAAACCCAGAGGGGCACCACTGCGGTCCTCCGCCAGCGCAACAAAGGGATCCTGGGTTCTGCGCAGGGTGTCACCAAGAAATATCTAAACAATAAAAAGGTGTTTGATACCATGGCTCATCAGAGATGTTTTGTGTTGTGTCTTTCGGATCGTTGCTCACATCTCTCCGCTTTTTGGCCAAGCGAACACAAAAATGTGGTCTCGTTTTTTTCTTGGTGCAGCACTGACTACATCACCAGCATCCTCGACAGACTCCTCCTTCTCTTCCGTGCGCTCGCTGTAGCTTCACGAGTGGCGATATGAGCACCGGTCAACACCAAAAGGCGGGGAATAAGCGTAAACGGGAGCATACTTTTCCTTTTGGCCGACCGTGGATAAATCCCTCGGTACCGAGCAACTGCATCATTATCATATCGAAAGCAAGAGAAAAAAAAAATGCCGCACCTCAAGAGGATAGTTCCAGGCTAAAACAAAAATAAACGTGAATATTATTGCTCTCTTGCTCGAACCAAACAAAACCCGACCCCAACCCAAAGCCCAGAAACGTTATTTTGTCCATCTGTCAAAATTTTCGCTTGGCTTATATTCGCTTATCGTGTCTATCTGCTGTCCACGAGGACAAGTTTACCCAGGTCTGTCATTAAACCTCGGGCATCTTTTCTGTCCATCGTTGTTCCTATCGACTATTTCTTAGTTTACAGGCTGCTTCTCGTCCTTGGAACCCTGCATTGGACGTGCTGAATTATGTATGCTTCGCTGGTGATGAGACAAACAAGGTTCGGCACACTCTGTCCATGCGAACACAATGGTTCTTGGCCATCTTCCTCCTCCTCCTCCTCCTCCTCCCCTCGTGCTTGCTACTCATGATCCTGCGTAGTGTGCGATACGTCAGAGGTTGAGTCGACCTCGAGGGAGAGAGAGAGAGAGAGAGAAAGAGAGAGAGAGAATGAATAGGTGGGTTCAAGAGTGTGGGTGAGTAGAGTACAGGCATCTGTCTGTCTGGGCTGTGGCAGCTCCTCGCGGATCTTCTCTGTTGTTGGCTGTCTATTATACTGTTAATACTGTTATACTGCAACAGCCTGGTCTCGAATGTGTCTGTACAGCGACTTTTCCGACACGCCTGCGCAAGAGAAAAGCACGACTCTCGGATTTTCGTTGCTCCCTGTGCGGTTGCTGACCCTGTCTCTCCATAGGGGCGGAACACACTGTTTATCCACAAGACCAAAAGAAAATGAAAAAATGAAAAAATGAAAAAAAAAAAAAGCCGAGGGTCCACTGGCCGTGTGAGAGGGGGAGGGGGCCCAGTGAAGATTGAGTCGACCTACTCCTTTTTCCATTGGCTGGAGAGAGGGGGAAAGGTAAAACTGGCCCATCGTTCCACTAATGAGGCACACGTCGGTCTCAATGCTCAAATATGGAAGGTGCTGTCCACGAGCCAAAGAATACGCACCCTCTGGAAGACTGAATAATGCCCAATCTCATTTTTAGCCTCTGCTCCGGGAGGCGAAATACACCGGCATGCACTCTCAGACACCTGCAGCCCCAAAACAAGGCACTAGACCCATGCCTGTGGACAAGACTCACATGCGCTCTACACGCTGACGCAAAGGCAGCGCAGGGTGCGCTGCGCCATCCAGTCTATGACCAGGAGAAGCGCACATGTGTCTCACATTCGTCTGGACCTGGTCGGATCAAAGATCTTCTCAATGGCAGTCGAGTCATGTTCAACCGGCCACGGGTCTACAAGCAGCAGAGGAATAAGATGTTCCGCTCTTTTTACGCATGGTAGTCTATGCTTATGACCAGATGCGTTTGGTACATTTCGTTCTTTTGTCCTTTTGTCTCTCTCGCTTTTTTTTTTTTTTTTTTAGGCGTCAGTGGTGTGGGACCATTGTTCGTAGTGATCCTGGACACGGGGTACCAGGTACTCTGATCAGCTCTCCAGTGTGCACGCAAGCCTATACACGCTCAAAGCGCCCTCCCTGAGCACCGGGAATGGGAAGAGCGAAACGACGATGAACATCTCGAGAATTGTCCCGCCATACAAAGCAGGGGCGGTGCGCTCGTCCATCGCCAACAGTCAGGCCTTGTGCTCTGTTTTTGATTTTACTCGAATACCCTCATAACACCATAGCGTTCTCCGCGCTCGTCATTCCGGGTCACACCGATGAAGTTCTCGCACCAGCTCCAGTTCAACCTGGTCCCCCGAATGTGCAGCCTACTAGTGCAAAACGGTTGGGGCTGCCGGTCAAATACTGCGCAAGCTCATCTCTTGTTCGCATTCATTCCACCAAGAAAAAAAAAAAAAAAAAAAAAAAAGTCAATGTCAATGTCAATGTCAGCATGAACTTCATCACCGCCTCATACTCATCGCTTCATGTCATTTTTGACGGAGCCCGGGATAGATGCTCGAATCTCAAAAAAATCATATACAAAGTCAAAAAGGACTTGGTGGCGTCAAAGGACGATATCGAATCAGGGCTGTTAATCCAGAGCCAGGAACCCAATGAAACGACGAGTCTGCTATTGCCAAACACACGCGCGAACGCCAAAGCACATGTCAACATCAATACGTCTTCACCATCAATTGGCGTGGAGCTGGACAATGTCGTGTCGTTTTATTACAAAAAAGAGAAGGAAATCTATGCGGAGGTTGAAGCACTGGTCTCGGACATCCAGAATGTGGAACATATTTTTTACTGCAGAGCAGACACCCTCCTTAATGGCCACAGAAGATCCTCGACAGGGGGTGACAGCACCAAGCGGACAAGGTCTCGATGGGACAACAGAGCAAGTCGTCGTTCACTCCAAGTGAGGTCAGGATCCTGGGGCCACGATGCGGCCCTAGCATTGGCCAACGAGGAAGACGACGGTAAGAGTCTTTGGTTTGAGTCAGAGGTGGAGGAGGATGGAATGCACTTTCGCCACAGATGCATTGAGATATTTATCAAACTCTCGGAGCTGCAAGCGTACGTTAAACTGAACAGCACAGGTTCCTCCATGGCCCTCAAGAAGTACGACAAAAGCTCGGAGAATGACACCAAGACGATCGACATGAACCGAGTCATCTTCCAGGCCTATCCGTTCTTGAGCGAGACTACAGCCAAGCTGCAGCAGCAGATCGATCATGTCACCGGCATCTATGCACGGATTTTCGCAGGCGGTGACCTTGAGTTGGCCAAGCGATCGCTTGGGACGTATCTTGAGGACCACATATTTTGGAAGCGCAACACGATCTGGAGAGATATGATCGAGGCGGAGCGCAAGAGCCAGGCCGTTAGCGTTGGCCCCCTGCCGGTGCTTCAGGAAGAGCCTGTCCCTTTGAGGACACAGTCTGATTTGATTGTGCTACCAAAGTACTTCACCGGGAACGTTCTCTTAATGGCTTTCTGCTGCTGTATCTTTATCGCTCTCCTCAACGTGAGTCTCTTTGATGAGCCCGAACAGCAAAACTGCTTTGCCATCCTCATCTTCGCCTCACTTCTCTGGGCAACAGAGGTAAGAGCACATCCCTCTGGCGCCTGTTAGATCTATCTATCTGCAATGGTGACCAACTAAACGGGCTCGGACGATTATGTCTTTGCATGTCCTAGGCTATGCCACTGTTTGTCACTTCGCTACTGGTGCCACTCTTGGTCGCGATGCTGCGAGTGATGCGGGACGATGGCGAAGATCATATACGACTAGATGCTCAAGCCGCTACTAAAAAAATCTTCTCGCTCATGTTTTCGCCTGTGATCATGCTGCTCCTCGGTGGATTCGCGGTCGCTGCTGCGATGAGAAAGTTCCACATTGCCAAGGCCATGGCTACAGTTGTCCTATCGAGGGCAGGTACCCGTCCAAGCGCTGTGTTGCTGGCCCACATGCTTGTTGCCACCGTTGCCAGTATGTGGATCAGCAACGTCGCAGCTCCTGTACTCTGCTTTTCGTTGATTCAGGTAGGGCCCCAAGAGCTTCTCCATTTTTCACAATGAGTTTGCTAGATACTTACCCATTTCTTTCAACAGCCCATCCTGCGTACCCTTCCACCAGGATCCCCGTTTGCAAAGTGTTTGATTCTCGGGATCGCTTTGGCGTCAAATGTCGGTGGCATGGCATCCCCGATCAGCTCGCCCCAAAACATTATCGCCATCGAGTACATGAGTCCGGCGCCAAGTTGGCTTGAATGGTTTCTGGTCGCCCTTCCTGTGTGTCTAGCATGCGATCTGGCGATCTGGGGTCTCTTGCTCCAGGTCTATCGACCATCTAACAGCACGCCCACGATCAGCATCATTCGCTCAACCAAGGATCCTATTACCAAGACCCAGATCTTTGTCTGCAGCATCACGGCAATTACGATCGTTTTATGGTGCTTTGAACATCACCTCGAATGGCTGTTTGGGGATATGGGATTGATCGCCGTCATCCCGCTCCTCGCGTTCTTTGGAACGGGCATCCTCACCAAGGAGGACTTTAACAACTTTTTGTGGACGGTCATCATCCTTGCCATGGGAGGCATCGCACTTGGGAAGGCTGTGGAATCGTCCGGGTTGCTTCACATTATCGCAATGGGTGTGCAGGACTATGTCAAGGACATGTCTGTGTTTATGGTCTGCTGCGTCTTTGCGATCTTGGTCCTGGTGGTCACAACGTTTATCTCCCATACTGTTGGTGCGCTGATCATCCTCCCGATCGTGGCGCAAGTTGGTGCCACACTGCCGGATCCTCACCCACGCCTTTTGGTTATGGTAAGCTGTATATGCAGTTTTTTTTTTTCGCCCTTTGAGGAAGATGCAATGAATTTCATTATCAGAATGTCTGCAACGGTCTAAATACTGACTAGGCCTTTATCTTTCATTTGCTATTTGCTCTTTCACGTTTTTTTTATCTATGCGCTGAATAGTCCGCAGCGTTGATGTGCTCTGGAGCCATGGGCTTGCCAGTGTCTGGGTTCCCGAATATGAATGCGATCATGATGGAGGACGAGATGGGTCAGCCGTACCTGAGCACCGGTGACTTTTTGAAGGTCGGTGTACCATCGAGTGTCGTGGCCTGTGTTACGGTTGTGACCCTAGGCTACACTCTCATGACGTTGTCTGGATGGTAGGCGGGTATGTCTCCCCCCCTAGGCGCGCGCGATAACCCTGGAGGGAAAACCCCCCTTTAGAATAAAGATAGATTTTTCTCCAGCTTACTACCTGTGCGCATGTATCATCATCATCATCATCATCACCATCTTCATCTTCGTCATCACGTCCCCTTCATAGGCTAGCCCCTCGAATGATCTTCTCACCACAAAGATAATGAAAATGAGCACTAAACCAATTTATGCGAGGCGGTGGGGGGATTGTGCGCGACGCCTCTCGAGAGATTTGAAAAAAAGCATAAAATGACGCGCGCGTTTTGCAACGAACGTCTCAATTCGGCCGGTTCGTCCCCCCTCCCTCGTCCTATTATTTTCGTCTCCCCAGCAACAGATCTGCAGGAATGCATGCACGCGGATCTGTCTCCTTTGTAATTTGTCCGAAAAAAATAAAAAATAAATCACACACACAATAGCACAATAGCCGTGGGCCGGCAAAAACCGACCAAACGCGGATAGAAAGAGCAAGTCCAAAAAAAAAAAAACGCCTTGATCGTGTCAACATCAAACAAATAACGATAACGAAAACGCTACCGCCGTAAAACGTGAAGGGTCCTCTCTCATCCTCACGAAGACACCTCTGGTTTTTCTTTTTTTTTTTTTGGATTTTTTTAATTTTGCTTGATCCAATCATCATTACCAAGCGATCATTGAAGAGGGGGGGAGGGGGATCAGCAATAGGACAGTAGCCCGGGTAATGTTAGCCATGTCCAGCAAAAAAAAAGACCATGTCGCGTCTGGGTCCAGAACGTTTCTTGGTCTGTAAAGCATGGTCGTTCATGGAAGCCGTGGAAGAACTCTTGAAAAAGACCAAACTCTCGTCCTTTTTTTTTGTACGTTGCACGCGATTACTGCTTTACTGGACCATTTTTATATCTTATTGGTTTTCTGGATTCAGGTAGAACAGCCCCGTCTGATATATACGTTTTTTTTTTGTTGTTGTTTTTCCTTGACACGGATCTGTCCAAAATAGAAACGTTGGTACATGGGGTTTGATGATCCTATATGGGGAGGGGTTCCTGACCGCGATCTGGATGGTACTCGACGGTCCTCCCAAAAAAGCGAGCGAGAAGGGTAAAAAAAAAGCCAGTTGTGATTGTTGCGCGGGATATGAATTCTTTGTCCAAGTTGTTGTCGTTTGCAGATTGGGGGGATTAGGATTTTTTTTTCTGGTTCTTGGCTCAGGACTCGTTTGAATTCGTTCGTATTTTTAAAAAAGATTCGCAGGCCACAAACAAAAAAAAAAAAAAAAAAAACCTTGTGCGAAATCCGACCGAGGACCGCGTACGGACGCAGGGAATTCTCAGGGTCAAAACAAAAAAAAAAAAAAACTCAAGCACAACATGGAAATACCAACCAGAGGGGAAGGGAAGGGTGTGTCCTTGAGAGCACAAACACACCATTCTGCAAAAGTAAAAAGAGAGAGAGTTGAGTATGCGCGTGCCTCGTGGCGTGTCCGTTTCTTTGTTCAAAGTCCTATAGTGCATTTGCATTATTATTATTTTTTTTTCTTACATGCCTCAGGGTCAATTGATGTGGGTGCAGGCAGCGGCTTTAAAATCCCAAATGCAATCCCAAATCTACGGAAGTACAACCGTCCGTGTACCACACGCAATGGCTCAGGAGGGGATGCACTTTTTTTTTTTTTTTTTTTTATCTTTGACTCTGGCTTCGGATCCGTCCTCACAATCGCATACTGAACCATGCACATGAAATTAATAATTGCCTCAACTCGAGAAAGGCCATTCTGCGTTTTCTACGGCTGAGACGTGAACCAACCAGTGGACACGAGCACCTTGTTCCTCTCTCTCTCTCTTTTCTTGTGGCTCCCAGTTGTGATCGTTTCTTGACAGGGCAGCCAGGCTGCTTTCTAATGTGTTCCTGCGCAAGGTTGTACATGGACTGGACTAAACTATACGCCCTGTTCTCTGTTGGTTGCTCTGCTCGACGGTCCACAGAGCAGTTTTTGATGACCTGATTATGGTAGTTAAACGACCGCGTGTAATATATCAAGCTCGCGCAAGATGGAGAGAAGGAGAGAAGGAGAGAAGGAGAGAGGGAAAGAAGGGAGGGGGAAAGACGAGAGGGGAGGATGGAGAGGTCGAGTGGAGTGGAGTGCTGCATGTAGAAGGAGCGAGCGAGTACGAGATAAAACAATAAAACAATAAGACAATATAAATAAATATTCTTCTTTGCGGGGTTCAAAGGATTATGAAGAGATAAACAAACCACCGCCTCTGCCGCGCTGTTTTCCCCCCCTATGCCGGGGACATGAGATCGGCGTATAAAAAGCGGGCCCCTGCCACCATCTCCTCCGCTTTTTTTCTTCCTTTTCCTTCTCCCTCACAGTTCTTTCTGTTCATCCATCCATCCACCCCCCCCTCTCGAGTCCACCACTCACCAAACCACGCCCAGAGCACAACCCACAGCCTCTCTAACCCACCTTTTCTTTAGCCCCCACCTGTTCAAGCATCCTTCACCCCGCCAGAAAAAGGATCCTCAAGCAACACTCGACTGTCACTCTTTCTAGTCAGTTTTCCCCCTTTCACCGCTTCAACTCTGCTAGACAGTTCACAACTACACCGTTGTCTGCTCCTTCCTTTTCGTTTTTTCTTTAAAAAACACCCCCCAAAAACCTTTTCTCCCTTAAAAGAGATCCCCGGGCTTCCACCCATTTCCCACCCAGGCAGGCCGTTCACCTTCGGTTTGCTATTAACATCACGGCGCTACGCAACAGTAACATCCGGTCCATTCTCTTTCGGCGATCGCCTCCCTGGCTTCCCGAGAACCAAGGTCTTGTCTGAATTACTCTACTGTCTTCAGGCACACCTCTTGCAAGATATCCACCCCGCCTTTAAGCACCTCAAGCAAACACGCCTTATTGGGAAGCACTACTTCCGTCTTTTCAAGCCGTCCTTTCTTTGTTGTCAACCCCCTTTCTCTGCTCAACGAACGCCCCGTCCAGGCAACCTTTGACAGAGTCCCCCCTTCCAGTCCCTGCAAGTTCAATCAACCCTGCCGTCGACCGCAGCTGTCCCTGCTCCATTTTCTTTTTTAAATTTCCCTCCATTCCATCACACTCTCTTCCAACCAACCGATGATCGATATTTCTCTCCAGCAGGACCAGTTCGAGGTGGTCCCCACCTTGGTTCAGCCCACCTTGGTCGAGGTTCTCAAGTCCCGTGTCAAGGCCAACCTCGCTCGTGAGGCCCAGCTGCCCCAGGTCCACACCCTCCCCATTGACCAGATGCTTCATGCTCGTCTTGCCTCCATCGATCCCGAGAGCGAGGATGCCGAGGCCGACAATGCGTTCTATGTCGCCGATCTGGGCGAGGTCTACCGCCAGCATCTGCGATGGAAGGCTCTCCTGCCCCGTATTGAGCCTTTCTTTGGTAAGTCGTGTTCAGTTGCTTCGTGGGAAATGCCAGAATCTGATTTGTGGCATGAAAATAATTTTTTTTCCAGTGGCACACCGTACCTGACCGATTTGGTTGTTTTTATTTTTTTTGCTAAATAGCCATGAAGTGCAACCCCGATCCCATGGTCATGCGCCTTTTGGCCTCGCTTGGAGCCGGTTTCGACTGTGCCTCCAAGAACGAGATCCAGTCTGTGCTCGAGATGGGTGTGGACCCCTCGCGCATCATCTACGCGAACCCCTGCAAGCAGAACTCGTTTGTCAAGTATGCGTACAACAACAGGGTCCGCATGATGACTTTTGACAATGCCGAGGAGTTGCACAAGATCAAGCGCTTCCATCCAGAGGCCCAGCTCGTCCTCCGTATTCTCACGGACGACTCCAAGTCTCTGTGCAAGCTGGGTCTCAAGTTCGGTGCCCCTCTGGACACGACCGGACATCTGCTGGCAACGGCTCAGGAGCTGGGCTTGGACGTCATCGGTATCAGCTTCCACGTCGGAAGCGGTTGCTTTGATGCCAATGCTTTCGGAGAGGCCGTCATCCGTGCCCGCCGTGTCTTTGACCAGGCCAAGGATTACGGTTTCGAATTCAACTTTTTGGACGTTGGTGGCGGTTTCCCATCTGCTCATGTGACTGAAGGGATCACATTCGAGAAGGTTGCCACCATTTTGGGATCGACCGTCAACGCGTTGTTTGGCCCAGAGGTGCGTGTCATTGCCGAGCCTGGTCGCTACTACGTCGGATCGGCCTTTACCCTGGCCACCCAGGTCATTGCCCGCCGCACCATCCAGCGCGATCTGGACGAGATCTTGTCACACGAACAGAGCCAGAACCCCTCGCACATGTACTACATCAACGATGGTATGTACGGCTCGTTCAACTGCATCATGTTTGACCACCAGGTGTGCGAGCCCAAGGTTCTGCTCAAGGAGGGAATGTTTGCGTACCAGCAGTCCCTGGTCAAGGAGCTGCCCCACGGATACGCCTCGGTCTGGGGCCCGACCTGCGACAGCATTGATTGCATCTCGGCCAAGTCGAGCCTGCCGCTGATGGAGTCGGGTGACTGGCTCTACTTTGACAACATGGGAGCCTACACCATCACGGCCGCCAGTCAGTTCAACGGCTTCCGCAAGAGCGAGATTCTCTACACCACCACTGAGGCCGAGGTTTCGCTTCACTTTTAAAGGAGAGGTGAATTTTTTTTTTGCGAAAAAAATCAACGGGACGTCCATGTGTGTGTGTATGTGCTTCTTGGTATCTGAAGGACGACGACAACAAGGACAGTTGTCTCTCGTCGCGAAGCGTCTCTTATCTCTTTATATCTGCTGTTGATCAATCATGAGAATGATCGGTCCGGTTTTTTCGTTCTTTTGACTCTTCATTCGATCCTGTTTGAACCTGAATTGAAAATAAAAAGAAAAACTGTACTCTCTATCCACATATTGACCACGCATTTTACGCATTGCGGATTAAATTATTGCTAACGTTTGTTTGCGCCCTTGGGGGGGTGGAGAGGATCGTCGCGATCGTCGTTTGACGCCCAAGGCTTGAGTCCCTCCCCCCATCCCTGCTGCATTTGATGGACTAAGTGCTGTTCATTGCAATTTTATTATCGGGTGCAAAGTAATGGGAGGGCCAGTGCGTAAACTATCAGCAGCGCTACGACTGGAGGTTGAACATAAAAGATTCTGGGGAAATGAATTGGCTGCGCACACGCGCGTGGTACAAGCTGCTAGTGAAAGATGTACCCAAAGAAGTGAAGAAAAAAAAAGTGTGTGCGTAAGGCGTGTGTGCGTGTGTGTGTGTGTGTATGTGTGTGCGTGCTTGGACCCCCCCTCCCCCCAATGGGCTCGATCGGGGGGTTGTTTTTATTGAGCAGTTCCCGCGGAATACTCCTTGAAAGTCACTCCAAGGTTCCCGATGCTCCTCAAAACCTCAGGTTCCACCACCTTCGTGATCACCTGGCAGGGTTCTCCAATGTCCATGTAAGAAGCCAGCCTAAGTTATCCATCGAACCGGGTGTCAGTCCGTCTCCACCACCACCAAAAAAAAAAAAAAAAAAAAAAAAAAAAAAAAAACTCGTGTCAAGCACACCGGCAGCTGCAAAAAGGGGAGCATGCGGGACTTACATTTCCAAGTACCTGCCAGGGAAAGGGTATGCACCCGAGAGGTTCATGATCATCCCCACGGTGTTGTGCAATCGTGAATGGAAAACGCTGCTGATGACCTGCGAGGTGAACAGCAATCCGCCAACCAGTTCAGTCGACTCTGCCATCTTGGCAATTGTGTACTAATTTTTTTTTTTTTTTTTCACGCCATGCGGATGAACCGCCAAGGAACGTTTAAAATGTTATTGGATTGAAAACGCCCCATGAACACGCAGCAGCAGCAGCAGCAGTAGATCTGAATCCGTCCGTGTAAACATACTGCGTCTGTGCGTTCAGCAAACTCATCTCGCAGCTTGTTGGCCTCCGTTTGGTCGTGACAGATCACGACCGCCATTTTCAACTTGCTTACTTTGACTGCGTGATTCAACGCGATCTCTGTCAGGGCATTGTCCGTGTAATAAAAGTGCTTCGAATTGTCGATGTGGATGCGATCCATGCTGAAGACAATGGCGTCCTCTGAGAAATCAAAGGCCTCCGCAGCACGAACGACGTCCTCGGTACCATCATGTGTAGAGAGTACGACCTGACATATTTGGAAATCATTCAAGGCTGATTGAATCATATCGACATGGGCGGGTGTGCGCAACACATATTCGGCTTCGTACACGACCATTCCCTGGACAAACATCGGCTTGATAATGTTCTCGGCCCTCAGTCGCCGCATCATCTTGGGAGTCGTGACAAAAACAGTCGGCTTGTTGGGCGTCAGTTTTGACAACGGACCGAGATCGAGGCTCAATTCCTGTGGGACCACATGGATAGCGACCTTGAGATCGGCGATATCAAGGTACTTCTGGAACGATGTCAGGAAGCTCTTGCTGCTCATGGCGTCCAGCCGGCTCATCAGGATGAGGACCTGGAGCTCCGGCGCGGCCTTTTCAAACAGGTCCACAAGAGGGTAGATGGAGAGTTTCTCGAGCTTGTCGCCTCTGATTTGAAGGATAGCATCGTGTCCTATGTGGGAAATCGGGTGTCCCGTGTCAAACCATAGAAAAACGTCGTCTCTAGCGCAAAGTTGATCAAGCTTAATAAAACACATTTTTGTAAAGAGACATTCACCCGCTTTTACCAGCACTGAGCTTTTCAAGGATGTTCTTCTCGATATATCCAGCCTCTGTGATGCTGTTAAAGGAGCACGCAGTTAGAAAATGATGCGATCTTGGCAAAGGGATCCATGTCCAATCATAAATGATCAGGAATCAGCTCACCCGTCCTCCTTCAGGCACTTGAGCGTCGACTCCTTTATTTCGATCTTGTCAAGCGACTCGACCGGCTCTAGACCATGGGGATCAAGCACCTTTGCACGAAAAAAACCCCCCCAATAATGGATGATGCTTGAGCCGTTACTGGACAACATATTTATATTCCATATGGATGGCGGGAAGTAAGATGGAGGGGTTTTTTTTTTACCTTCAGGGTCCAGTTGGGCTTTCGTGATGAAAACGGCCGTGCGTAGCGTCTTCCACGAGGGCCGGCTGAGCGAGTGCTTCCGCGATTGTTTCGCTCTCTGATTGGACTCGGCAAATCCAAGGACGAGCGTCTAGTAGGCTCCGTGAGGGTGCCTTCGGAAGCCACGACCTCCGTGTCCCTCATAGAGGTTCCCAGACGCTCCACACGCTGAAAGACTTGCTGTAGGATCTTCTTTATGTCGAAAAGCTCGTCGCTGACCACCTTCCTATACTCGACCCCACTGGCAGTGGCAGACGACGAGAGCTCAGCATGTTGGATACTAGTTGCAGAGGCTTCCGCAACCGTGGGCTTGTTCTCGCTGTTGTCAGAGACTTTTTCCTGAGGAGGCGCTGGATCCTTCTCGGCAGGCAAAGGCGCGTTTTCAGGGTTCATTTGGTTGAAAGCGTAAAAGTTGTAAGCTGCTTGGGTCGATAAAAATGGGCCTTCTGTGGGCACTTGTAGATATCTAGATATCGTATATGTGAAGATCAGAAGAGGTAGAGCAGGAATGGATGGCAAAAACGAGTAGATGACGAAGGAAAGAGAGAAAAAAAAAAAAAAAAAAAAAAAAAAAAAGAACGATCATTGATGATGGTATATGATGCGTGCGATTTTTATTGCTATGCTTTCCATGTGTGTCTCATGTGGATCCGTAGTTCAGCACCCAAATGACCGTGAAAAAAATGGCCACCTTCCAGCCTGGCTGCATCCAGAGACGCTTGAATGCATCTGCAGATGGTGGCGCTGCTGAAGCGACAACGCCGCCAGACCGTACCCGGCCTACCCTACTGGCATCGATCTGGAGGACGACCCCGTCCTGCGTCCTGTCATCCCTGCTGCCGCTATCGCTGCTTTTTCCGAATGCGCTTGTTGGGCTCTGCCCTGTTTTGGTGCCCTTGGAGTGGTCATTCGGAAGCTGGACTTCAATTTTTTGACCCATCCTTCCAGCCTGACTTGTGATGGCATTGGATTCTCCCAGTTCGAGACTTGCTTCCATAAGACTCTTGAGCGTGGCCGGCCCCACAGCTCCTGCCGAGGCTGCAATGGGTGATACCATGACCGACTGTCGTTTTACGGCAACGGGAAGACCGGCTCCGCTTTCGTACTCTTTATCGCTCGTATTAGTAACCACTGTGAGAGGTACTGTCTGTACGGCAGGGCGTCCCTTGGGCTTTGGCTCGCGTCCTGTGATCAGCCAGTCCGAGAGCTCTCCTGTTGCACCACTCAGTACGTGCGCTATAGTGAAGAACAGGAACGTTGACAGAGCGAGGTTGATAGTCCAGGCTCCTACTCCTTCTACCCATGGCGAGATGACCAGGATTCCCTTGGTATCGGCAGCGAGCCACATGTGGAACTGACAGATGAAGGTTTCTAGCGAGCACTTGCCGACAAACGTGTAAAAAGTCGAAACTGTATTCCGGAGAGGAGCAGTGCTGTTGCGTAGGACCACGAAAGAGAGGATGGGAATCCAGGAAATGTACGGGTGCCAGTGATTGTACTCGAACTTCTGTATAGAAGCCGCAAATGAGAAGTATCCTAGGAGTCCGATAGCGGACGCAATGATCGAGGTCTTCCTGATAACGCTCCACTGCGGGTGAGTCGTGATGGACACCTCCTGGGCCTTAGTGAATCCATATGCAAAGAGCGCTCCGATGAATACGATCCATACATCCAGCTGTAGTCGGAATCTCCACTCCGCAGCTGACCAAGTGACACCAAACACAAAATGCAGGAGCTTAAACATCGAGCCCAGGACTAGAGGCCGATGGATAGCTGTTGCGGTCAGGATGGATGTGACCAGGATCTTGCTGAGGATGAACAAGGGGTTGTGGTTATGCGAGTGACCGATATACATCATCCCGTAGATGACCAAGTAGAAGAAAGAGACCAGCGGTGCGAAATAATAAGCCAGATAGTCCGTGTTCATGGTGTATGCCAATAAAATGGTGAGCAGATTCAAGCGCACCAGGATCGAGGCAACGCGGTTGAATCCAAAGTCGGCCTTTTTGTAGTAAAACACAAAGTGTCCGAATCCAGTCATGAAAAGGTAACTGGCAACCAGCATCCGCACTGGGTTGTAGATAGCAGATATCGAAGAGGCACCGACATAATGATAGATAAGGATCATGACCTGCATCCAGCCTTTCCACTCGTCTGTCTGGTCCCTGTTCAAGAACGCCTGGTCCTTTTCGGATCTCTTTAATGTCATGGAGCCGGCCATGAGGCACAAAAAGACAAGGTAAATGGATGACGGCGCGGAAAACATCTTGCTACCCTTGGCGAATAGACTAGTGCGATCGGCATAGTACATGTACATCACAGCCGCAGCTACCACCGCGAACGAGTGCAAAATGCCCACACTGGGAAAGAAGCGCGACACCGGATGGCCATGGTAGTCTGTGACACAAGAGTAAGCAAAAGGGTTGTGTCAGACATTTTCTCTGTCAACATTCGTGTCTGGATATCATTTCGCGGGGGAATGGATTGTTACATGTTTGGAGAATGTATCCTACTGGGAGCCAGATCAGGAAGATGGCCAGCATCAGTGTCTGATACCAATGATTAGAGGGGTAACTGTAGCAGCACGTGGCGCTCATGGGAGCGATCTTGGGAACCCTGTTGTTGCAGACGTAGTTAAGCAGGACGTCTGCCTCGACTGTCACAACCTTCTCAACGTAATGCAGACCGTCGTTTGTTTGATTGCCGGCTGCCTCCCTCATCTTGTTCCAACTGAAGGGCACTGAGACTGGAGTGTCCTTGGTCGCATCTCTGAGATAGTTGTTCATGTTGTCAATATCGACTGGCAAGAGTGTATGGAGCCGCTCTTCAGACAGCTTTTCAGTGTTGACCGTTGGAATGGGTGAGATGAACAGATGTCGCGCCAATGGCTCCAGACGCGAGCTGCCCATCTGTCGAACCAAGTTCTCCATGACTTGCTGCCACCGCTCGACGCCTCCTGACCACTCTGGATAGCGTAGATACCACAGTCCTGAGCCGACTAGGAAGATCGTTGGCGTTTGTACTTCCTTGCCCAAGACGCGATTGCTTGATCCAGTCAAGAGAGAAGCAGTCTTTGTCATGTTCAGTACCGGGTCCCAATAGAATTCGAATGATGTTCCTGAGGTTGGATCCTGAAAGTAAATGTCGGAGTGCCTGTTGCCCTCGGTATTGGCATCAGGAAGGACTTTCTTGACGATGGCATAGTAGAGTTGACGTGCGACTGAGTCGCCAATGACAACGACCCTTGATCCACTCATACATGTTGTTATGTGCTGGATATCATAAGTCCTGAGCATGCATCCCTTTGGCTGCCAATGAGTCCGCTCGCTGTCCAGCCACGAACCATGGTTCAAGAGACTGCTGCACCGTGTCTTGTCTGCTGGATCTGTTAAAATGATTTCCATGGTGTTCAGCGCTCGTTAGAGGCAAATTGAAATGGAAGCTGATGTATGATTGCACCGCCATCTTTCAGATTCATTAAGATGTGTCCCTCACCAAATAATCCCCGCAATCCAGCGAGGGAAACGATCGCGATCGCCACAACCCAGAATAACGGTTGAAGACTCCTTCGAAAGGCGGCGGAGATCTGCATCACGCGACCAATAGTTATTTAATTAAAGAGAAGAGTACAGAGAGAGAAAGGTGTAGGAGAGATGCAGTGATGGAGGCGATGAGTAGGAATGAGGTCGAATGAGAACGATGACAGAGTTGAAGAAAGAAGAGTTGTTTGGACAAAGCGGCCCTTTACGCAGACACAGGGGTGTGTATCTTTGGTAACCAATAAAATAGGTGTCCTCAGTTCATAGAGTTTGATTGTATTTGATTGAATTGGGTATTAATCTTTCCCCTGTCATGTTGGTCTCACGACGCGCCTTGACCCACGCTATTTGTGGACGAGTTGTCTTGAACCGTTGGAGACAAAGAACAAGACACACAAAGTGGCCTTTTTTTTTTTTTTTTTTTTTCAACTGACCCTTGTCGGCACCCCATTCATTATTTTTTATTCCCATGTGCAGGACACTACGATCATGGTTCGCATACTTGTGCCATGACATGGATCGATAAGCAAAAATCTTAATAAAGAGAGACGTTAATATACAGTTTGCGAAACCATAAGACAAAGTTCTTGAAATAGCCATCTTTAATCGTAGCTGGGGAAGGTCTTTTGCGAAACCAGTTCTCCATGGGCTGCTGTTTGACACCATGACTTGTCCAAACCCATCAAGAGTAACTGCAACAACAACATGAGCAACGACAGCAACGGATGTTTGAGGGGGGGGGGGGGGGGCACTTGCTGGTGTTGGTGGATGGTCGAAGAGGAGGAGGAGGCCTGTGTGAAGCTCATGGTGGGGGAACGATGGGTAGAGAGGAGCTGATAGGTTGCGAGAAGTTAATGTGGTCGTTTTGGAGATGAGTATAGATCCTCATCTTCACGGGCTGTAGTTGAGGATCCATCTCCAACTTCGCCCTTGAATTCTCATTTTCGTGTAAAAATACGTTTAGGCAAATTTCTAGCGTAAATTTTACTCTAGTTAGTGAATTGAAATTGGGTTTCGTAAACTGCCTAAATGTTTAGTTGTGCGCAAGCACTTTGCTTCCACCCCTTAGATCTCTTAGTAAAGTGGTTCTTTGGAAGCAGTGGAAACAGCAGGGCTTCATACTTCATGGAAGGTCTGGATTTCTTTCTTGTTGTTGAATGGATGTTTAAGGTTCATGGCATGTTCAGTGACGCATCTATATGACATTCACGACCCCTGTCAATTGAACACTTCACGTCTTTTGTGTAACCCACGGTCGTCCATTCAACTGTTAAGAAAGATATATTCAATAAGCACATTTGATTGGCCGTATCAATGGCCAATAGCAGTCTTCAGATAAACAGAGTTGGCCTAACACAGCAAACCACAAAGACTTAAAAGATACGATACAATTGAATACCCGGCGTAATAGTCGCAATTTTGACCGCTTCATCACTTCTCATTGACCAACAACCTCGTCTCGTATACCGTTCATCAGCATCATGGAGAAGTTTTCGCGCTGGAGGGCAAGTCATCACCATCGCATCTCGACAGTAATCAGCATAATAGGACAGGAATGCAACTTGGGCTAACATCAACACTAACATCAACAGTGCTCTTGACGTGCCTTCCGAATACTTAGGACCAAGGAACAGGCATCCAACCGTTTTTGCCACCAGTGGTAATTATGGCTCCGTTTATAAATATGGACACTAGATGAACATTCTGGATATTCAGCTCGATCCAGGAAAGCCGATCTAAACATATCTGCGTTTTTTCTTATTTTTTCAGCCAGCAAATGCGGATCACTCCCCTATCGAAAAGGTCATAACAGCTATCCTTATAGTTGTGAAACCCATTACGGGAGCCGTAAAATTTGTCGTCGTCTGCGCTCTGGCTCTTGTGCTAGTGACATTGGAAACACTAGGACTAGTCTTGGTAATAGCTGTTACAGCGGGATGGCTATTTCCCCATTGATTGTCCTGCCTCGCTGACGCTAAATTAACAAAGGTCATTGAACCTTAATGGAATAGTCCCCTTTTGGCCCGGTACAAAAGCTCTATCACCGTCTAATTTCGACCATCTTTGTCCGGATGATCCTGGTACTACTCGGCTTCTTTTGGATTAAGCACGAGGTTGTTACCCTAAAGCGAGGGTATGTACAACATGGCGAGCCTAGCCTAGTCTAGCTTTGTTGTGTAATAGCGTCAGGTACCCCGCTCTTACCCAGCATTTGCTCACTTAATTTAAGACGTAGCGCAGGAACAAACAAAGCACAATCGCTGAACAGGAAAGCTACGGCTTCAGGGGATCTGATAATCTGCAATTGGTCATCGTATATCGACATCCTGTATTTGGTTTTCAGGTATGAACGTTGTATCCGATCGACAAGTGATTCTAGACTGCCATGTCGTCTCTCTGTTAATACAATCGGGATTTAACAAAGCCTTTCAGATATGACCCCGTCTTCACTCAAATCTATCCCGCGACACTGACTGTCCGTCAGATCTCGTTCTGGGAGGCATTGCGTTTATCAGGAAGTTACCCAGAGTCGTCGCCGCCAGAGGGCGTCGAGACGTTACCTATCCTGGACTTCGTCAAAGCCATGCATAAAAAGGGCGCTGGGCCTGTCGTCGTTTTTCCAGAGGTAATTGACACAGAATTCCGTGTTTTACGCATGATACTAGGCGGACAATGTTGAATTTGCTCGTGTTCATTCGGTGAAAACATCTATAATAGGGCACAACAACGAACAACAGGGCGATTTTGAAATTTGTGCCGATCTTCACGAAATGCTCCGTGCCCGAGACGTCGATCAACATCGGCGTCTTGGCACTCAAGTACGACTACCACAAATTTGCTCCAACCTTCACCGTTGGACTCGACAACTCGTATCGCCTTGGACATTTGTTCCGCATGTGCGCTCAATTATATAACACGCTTTCCGTGAAGAGTCTCGCACCTGAAGAGTCTCCCTCAAACGCACACTTTTCGGCCATTGACGGTCTTTCTAGCACACCCTCAGGCGCCGCCATGGGCGTAATTGAACCAGTGGAAGAGGATCCTCTCGGCGGTGTGATTATCAATCTGATGGGACGCATGACACGGTTCAGAAAGCTAGGGCTGAATGTTCAGGACAAGGCCGATTTCTTGGATTACTTTATCCTCCGAAACAATGGAATTAGCAGCGCAAAGAAGACTCCAGTGCAGAAAACAAGCGCACCTACATCAGTAGGAACTGGCCGGCCCAAGAGGCATTAGACTTCTCCCCTAACCACTCAGCATCAAACAGCTCAATGTCTTTAAAACAAACGCGCTTCAAATAAAACTTGCACCGCATCTATTCTTTGACCTTTTTTTTTTGTCAACGTTGATTGATGTCCAAGAAGTGGATATGACCAGCGACGAGACATCCGTCAGGCAACCTAGCACACCCCGCATTCTGGAGGGCGGTTCCAACACCAGTAAGCTTTGAGGCTCACCAAATATGGAAATCTATGGTCGCCCCCTCTGCTGCCCTTTGTTAAACTTGCTACACCCCACCATCGCAAATACCACTGACACTGACGCTGACACAGACAAGATGAACCGAAGACGCATGCAACTCGGCGGAAGGGCTTACAATGAGCGCCTCAAAGCAACGAACGTATGTCTTCTACTGCATCCTCAAAAACAGCATCCTCGTAAAGCATTTGTTCAAGGAATGTGCAAACGGAATCATCAACGTGAACTAAGTCTTGTTACTATCTTTCTGTGCTTATAACAGGAATCGTATCAACGGGTCGGCCAGACAATCTCAGACAACCAACTGGAGCAGCTCCAAAGCCAGCTGGATACGTTCCGGGCCAACCTCGAGACATTTGCACGGCTGCACCGCAAGGATATCCAAAAGGATCCCGTCTTTCGCATGCACTTTCAAAAGATGTGCGGGAACATTGGCGTCGACCCATTAGCATGTACGTAAAGATATAAAGATGATTAGCGGAGACAAGTGCACTGTCTTTCTCTGTCTGGATGCGGAGTATCGATAGCGCTCGCTCAACATTCCTTTCTCTGTTCTGGGATTTTTAGCGAGTAAGGGATACTGGGGAGAACTTCTTGGTGTGGGTGATTTTTACTACGAACTTGGCATACAGATCATAGATGTATGTCTGTCGACTAGAGCCTTGAACGGCGGACTCATGGAATTGTCGGAAGTCAAGCGGCGAGTGGAGCGTATGCGTGGAATACGGGACAACAAAGGAACGAATAATTACAACAGCACCTTCACCACCACCACCGCCGCCGCCAGCAGTAAATGGGCAAGCATAACCGGCAAGGATACCAGTATGGAGATTACGGAGGACGATGTCTTACGGTCGATCAAAACCTTAGTGCCGTTGGGAAGTGGATTCCAGGTGCTGCAGATTGGGGACAAGAAAATGGTAAGCTCAGTCCCGCGCGAATTGAACCGGGATCAGTCTGTTATCCTGGCACTCGTTCAGGACACCAATGGACATGTCAACGTCAATATTATCAACGAACGACTTGGATGGGAGCACGGCCGCATAATGACAGCCCTGGTAAGCATTTAGGAAGATAACCTTTTCTTCTACGCTACGTCGGATCAGGCTCCAGTATGTGTGAGCTCTCCATAACTGACAACTTTCAATCGTCCCTCACTAGGATACACTGCTGGACGATAGTCTGATGTGGATCGATCAACAGGCGGATCCGTACGAATACTGGGTGCCTGGATTCTTTGAACCAGAGGACGATGACATGTACGGAACATCGGCCTCTTCATGACGCAGGAGAGTGTCGAGTGCTTCAAAATGAGAATAAATTAGGGCACCAAGCATTTGTATATGCTCCAGAAGTTTTATTTGCGCGGATCTACTCGGACATGTAATGGCTCATGCTCTGTTTGTTCAGAAAGCCCTGATTCCACTTCAAGAGGTCATTGATATCCTTAATCCAGTCCTCGCCTGCATGGACTCGGTTAACACAGGGCATAGGGAAAGCCGACATGCACACCTGTAAAAACTCGTTCTTGTCCAAGAAGAAAGTCTCCTTGCCATCCAGAGAAACCTCTGCTGGACCTCGAGATTTTTCTCCGATCTATGATATGTGGAAGCAAAATAAAAGGGTCAACATATGCCCAACGTGGCAGCTATATGAACCACTTCGAAGGGTAACCAACAAGTAAGTATTCATGCAAACCTTAAGCTGGATGGTGGCGTTCGGAGGCAGCAATACTGGTCTGAACGACAATGATCTTGGACAAATCGGTGTCAATAGCAAGGACTGAATTGATGGGTGCACTATAGATCCGCCTGCCGATAAAGAATAAGCTGTGGATCCAGTCGGAGATGCAACGATAAGTCCATCCGCGACAGCCTCGGTGATCAGGTGTCCATCGACATAGCAGCCAATCCAGGTCAAATGCGGATATCGCCCACGATGCAAGTTAACCTCATTCATGACCGTCAGATCGTTGATTCGTCCTGAGCCATCTTTCGCCTGCAGGCGCCGTCCATCCGCGCCGTGTAGAGTGCATTTGAGTCGCATACGGAGTAAAAGAGATGCCTGTCGATTGTCGATCAATTTAGTTAATGCGGCCTGGTAATTGTTGATATCTATATACGACAACTCAGTAGTACCATTAGCATGCGCTGCTTCTACAAAATAACAGCGACAGTTCGAACTAAAGACTTACGATATGGCAGTAAGAATCCCAAGGTACCCATTGAGAAAGAAATGACTGGCGGTACTGCAGAGTTGAATAGCGAGGATGTGTGAAGGATCGTTCCATCGCCACCCAAGGTCACTACCAAGTCTGTCACTCGCGTGTATTCGACTCGCTTGTTATCTAGACAAAGGGGATGAAAATGAATATCCCTTTCGCTGTACACTGCACCGGACCTTCCTGCCTTTTGTCCCTCTGCCTTACCTGGGATGGTATATAGAAACGGTAATCGTCCCGCAAACTCGTGAGCGACTTCTGGCTCGACCACTACATTCATGTGGGGATATGTGGAGTGGATCCATCTGCGCGGCAAGAGTTCCAAATTTAGTTCCCATCATGTCTTCCAAAGGCATCATTATACCTGCTACGGATATAGTTGAAACCACACGCGAATTACGTTGCCACATCGACTAAGGCCTTGTCTGTTAGCTCATCGTTGGGTTTCTTGATGATGAGTATTGTCCTCGGTGCGTCTTCCCATTGCAGCATGTAATTTCCCCTGTTCGATCGCATTTGCAAATGGGCTGTCAGTGGGTGCCCTTGTCCCAGTGGTAACATCCATCCGTTGCGCATGCATGCTCGAGCCAAGCTTTACCCATAAGTCGTCCCAAAAGATTGTACGATCTCCCGGCTCGGTTCCTTATCAGTATTGGGCGCAAGATCTTTCGGAAAGACGCCTGTGACAGAACAATAATAAAATGTGCTTAGCCAACGCTGTCTGATCAAAAACGTCACGGAAACATCAAGCAGTTGACAGAAACATGCTGACGCTACCTGGCGTATCTAGGATCATCTTGATTCTGGTTGGCAGTTCACTGGTTAGTTTACCGGCCCCTGTCGATCCGCCTTCTGATCGTGCCGGGCGATCTATTGTGATATCCTTGCCGCTCTCTGTCCTGTCTTTCTGATCCTGGTGGTAAGGTACGTAACTAGAGAATGATTTGCGCCCACGCTTCGTCGTCGAGACATGCATGTCTATATGCTTTATGGTGCTCCCGATAATACCAAAGCGGCGACATGGCGACTGCATTCCGCATCGGGGAGTCGTGTAGAATCTTGTCCCAAAGACGGCTGCAGTTGACGATGTGATGCCAGAGAGGTGTGAGCGTGGAACGCATGCGTGGAGCTGAGTGACATGAGGAGCACGGATCTGCTTCGAAACGAAGGCCTGGAAGGACTCCTGAAAGGCGTGGAGATTTGCTCTGCGCATGGTCCTTGTAAAGTGAAAGCGAAAATGCGGCAGTATCTTCACACGCGTGCTCAACCAGATCGACTGATCTGAGACCGTCTTTTCCAACCTGAGAGTGGCTTTGTCAGCAGCCAAAAGGATAAAAGGAAGCGCAATTCATTTTTGCATCGCCCTGAAGAGGTACACCTCCGTTGATTCATTCATCCCGTCAACCATCAATCATTAGCCATCAACCACCAAGTATATTCGTCCGATATTCTTCGATCCTTCATCTCATACCATCGGCTTTTCGCGCTGCCCACACACCATTACTCTTTCATAACTTGCAGTTTTCTATTATCAAGCTCAGCAGCACCTACAATAAGCGCTCCTCAAGATGGCTATGACATATTCTATTCTCCCTTCCGAAATCGGCTTTCAGGACTACTCGTTCGACTTTGAGGAGTATGTCAGGAATGAGGTTGGACTTGACATTACCAACATGGCAAAGAAGAATGGAGGTATGCTCTTGATTAGAAAACAGAGCGTTTTGTTAAAAAAGCGCGTGTATAAATCGGCTTTTTTTTCGCTCCCAGCACCGCACCGGAAAGACCAATTATGCTGGACAGTGGATAGATGGACTATGGAAAGCTCAAATAAAGAGCTCGTTTAATGACTAATCAAAGCTTCCCTCTTATTTTAATCGCTGTACTAGAAAATGGAGATAATATCTGCAGATTCTTCTTGAAAGGACATTGCTCAAAAGGAAACAACTGCCCGTTTAGACATGTCAGGACAGATCCGTCAAAGGCGGTTGTCTGCAAACATTGGCTTCGAGGACTTTGCAAAAAGGGTGACAATTGCGAGTTTTTGCACGAGTACAACCTGAGGAAAATGCCTGAATGTTGGTTCTACAGCAAGTACGGAGAATGTAACAGCGGCTCCGAATGCATTGTAAGTATCAAGTATCATGGAATTAACATTGGTGAATAAGTTTGAAATTTTGCCTATGGATCGACCTACTAAGCTTGTTTCTGCGTGCTGTTGACATAGTATCTTCATATCGATCCGGAAAGCAAGATTAAAGACTGCCCGTGGTACGCGCGAGGATTCTGCAAACATGGACCCAATTGTCGACACAAGCATACCCGGAAGGTGCTCTGTCAAAACTATGTCACAGGATGGTGCCCTCAGGGATCCAATTGCCCGAACGGACAGTAAGTGTCTGCTTTTCAGGCGGATGTTATACATGTATAATGGCTTTCATAACAACCACATTAACACAGGAATAATAATCTAATATCTTTTCTTCCTTCAGCCCGAAATACGAGTTGCCTCCACCAAATTGGGACGATGGTCAGGGAGCACGACCAATGCCTCAAGAAAGATCATTTGAGCGCGATGAGGTGAGCTGGCCGTACTAGGCATTTGCGGTCCGCAAAGCAACAACCCCGCTACTTTATTTCTATGGAGATTAACGGACATTTCTTGCGATACGCCTTTAGACACAACAACGTCCAAATGGTGAATCATTTCCGACGCGGAATCTTGAGGATGTTACCTGTTTTAAAGTAAGCTGCCAATTTCACAGACCGCGTTATACCGTTATAGAACCTCGCGGACTTAGAACTGCTATTAATCTTCTTTTTTTTTTTTTCTTTTCTATCATTTGAACTTTAGTGCCAGCAAAAGGGACATTATGCAAATAGGTGTCCGCAAGGAAGACAGCATGACATGCAGATGTAGTAGTGGAGACCTTTTGCAGCCTGGATTCTTCCCTCGCATCTTCTTCAATCCTATGTGCTACGAACGCCGATTCCCAGCCCACTACTGTCTTTCGCGGCCCCTACCACTTGTTCTGCCACCTCGACTATGGCCTCTCCAGCTATGTATGACCGAGGATATGATATTCACTTTGTAGTAACTTTGTAGACATAGAATACCCAAATGTCATGTCGTCGCACAATAAACATGGACTTGAACTTGAATGTTGTTTATCCCCTATTTTTCATATTTGCGTGTTTATGTTATTCAAAAAAAAAATGGGAGCGTCGGGCAACTGACTTCAACGTTTATATGGTTTCCTTTGCAACCCCTTTCTTTGTCCCTTTGTCATATGTTCTGGTTTGCTGATCTTCAGCAACAACATGCCTTTGTATTGCGGCGAAGTACAAACTCAAGCAATGGAGTTATGCCTCATGGATATCCCATGATACAGGGGCGTCTGTGGGGGGCTCGCGATATAAAAGACAGGTATCCTACCTTCTGTCCAGACCCATTCGCTCCCTCACGTCCGACACCCCACGCCAATCACACCAACGACTACCAGAGAGACCGCAATGGCTACCGATAGGGATTTGTGCTGCTGCTGCATCAGACTTCGACTCGCTGTGGGAGTGGTCTCGTTAATCTATCTTGTTGTTATCGCCGCAACAACCTATCAAAAATATGTCGCCAATAACACTGGTAGCGTACATTAATGGACGCGAATATCACCACGCGTCAGCTTTGCACAGCTCTTGCGCGCAATGTGTTAACAGTTCAACATTTCTGCTTGCATTTTTGATAGGCGATCATGTCGCTAAAATTGTGATCTATGTCTCGGCGGCCCTCCAGGTGATCATCGCGTTGCTCGGTCTTCTCTCTGCTATCACAAAGTCCGTCGGCATCACAAGAATATTTTCCTTCCTTTGGTGGTGCCTCACTGTCGTAGTTCTCGGGCTCTCAATCGGAAACATCATTCTGGTGGCCAGGGACGACAAGGCTGCTATTGAGGACGTGTGTCGAAAGGATCTCACTCCTTCTAATGGCACATTAGTGACCGACTCAGAAGTTACCAGTTGCTACCGCACGACTGTCATCATTTCAGCTGTAGTTCTGGGAATCCAGTTCCTGATCATGTGCTTGTTTGGATGGGTGATCCAGCGGTTCCTGAGAGAGGTCAAGCAAGACGCCGCCGTGGCATCAGCTCTGAAGGCGGTTGATGATGGAGACGTTTAAAAGCAACCCCCATCGCTGGAGCTCGGTGAGGGAGACATCCGATGAGTCTGCAAGCTTTGGGACCCAAACTTGTTATACGCCTTATGACCTTGCAGTAGTATCTAATTATCTATAATACATCACGCCTAACTTCTCTGTAGTGGGCCTACAACGGTTTTGATGACTGAAAACTAAATCAAAGTGTTTGGGTGCAATGATTCAAACCAGGCTGGGCCAACGGATTATCCAGCAAGATCATTGCTATTGTTCATCTACGCGTATGCCAATCGTATGAACAGGTGAACCAGTTCGCATAATTTGCTGTCAGTCGTCTTTTGATTCTTGAAAAGTCAGTGCAGTGAGTTTGACGGACATCTAATCTATGCACACATAATGCTCGCACAGCTAAACTCCTGATGTTCTTTCAATCCTTGTTCCTTTGCCGGATTGTTTCTGTATCCAATCCCTCTCCAAATATTCAGACAGCATGGATGCGGTGGGCGCAATTGCCCCTCTTCTTTAGGAATAATTGTCCAGCCATCTACTGTAAGCGGGCCCAAAATGCTTATCCAGGTTAAACTTGCTAGATCTACTCCCGGCTACTGTCCTTTGAAGTCCGTATCGCTCCGTCATTGCGTATAGTCCATGCGCCATAGTTTCTCAGAAATTGTGGGCTACCTTCGATCTCCCACAGCATCGAGGGCACCATTGCCCCTGCTCCTGCCCTCTATAAAAAAAATGAACGCATTCCTCTGTGGCTATTTCACATTATCCCGATCTCGGATCTGCGGCTATCTACTGAACGACTTCTCTGCCCTTCATGGCCCTCGTCTTGCTCTTATCCGTAAGCAGCATCTTTTTTTTTCTTTTTTTGGCGACCAAAAAAAGGGACAGCCTGCGTAGCATGCGCCAGAATGACCTACTCCAGGACAGCAAGTACTTGTCTGGGGCCTAGGGCCCCAATCAGTTAAGCGAGGGCGGTGCTTCTGATAGCCAGCATCTCTCTTTCGATGACAGGTCGTCATGTAATCGCCCTGTGACATGCACAATATCGAAGTACGACAGTCAAACCAGATTCCATACCAGGGACAACCCGCAGCCCCAGCCTCAACCTGCCTACTACACAGCCAAAGCAAATCCTCCCACTGTTCAGTTTCGGCGCCTTACCCCGAAGCGTTCCTGAAGGAAGCTCTTGTTCGCTTAAAGCAGATCCTTAAAGGCAAGAAGAAGAGCATCCGCCTGCCTCTCTGAATTAGAAGCCTGCAGCTGCAGCTACTAATTTATTCGTAATTTATTTTTATAAACTCTCCTTCCTCTGCTTCGCTATTTGACCCTTTGGTTCCTTGTCCTTGACCTCGATTCGCAGCCGCCTCGTACATTCGCTTCCTCTTCTTCCTCATCCTCATCCTCATCCTCATTTCGCCAGAATTAATGAATTCCAATCCACAGCGAGATGACTCCGCGTCAACAGCTGCAGGAACGTCCTCTCCACGAGCGACTTATGCATCCCAGGAACCACAGCCACCAACACCAAGGCCACAGCCCTTTCCAACGACTCAGCCCACGCTCTATAAAGCACACCGGCATGCATCAACACAGCTCTCCAAGTTCGGAGGCCTGCCACACATTCGAACACAGACCGCTGGTCAAGATCACAACCACTCAGCCGAGGATACGCTGCTTAACCCCAATCTTACATGGACCCAACGGCTCAACAACATTGCGCACAACCGAAATATGAGATCCCAAGGCTTCATTTGGGACTCACTTGACAGCACGTATGTGATCTATCTACATTATAGACAGATGATTCCACTAGCACTGTGGGATACTAATCTGTGAACTACTTTTGGGTCCCTTTTAGTATGCAGGATGTACAAGAGGTGAGGAGTGCGCGCAAAAAAGGGCCCATTCGCTTGATCACGAGCCGGAAGGACACATCATACAACACGATTCGGTCAACCATACGGCTACATAATGCCGAGAAAAGGTATGTGTCAATGTCCTAGGCATCTCTACCGAGGAACCCCCTGCTTTCATGCGTTGTTATCATCAACTGACAGGTCATACACAACAAGACGCTATCCCCTGGATGCAAAAAAAATCTTACCAAGAACTCTTTGACATCAACATTTGCTTGGCAGAGAAAGAGAATTCCGCAACATTGTGAGCTCAATTCGACTTGGTCTGGACTATGATGTCTACAAGGCCAGGGCAATGGCACTCCTCAACTCGAAAGCCCGGATCATTTTCTTTGTAAGTAGAACACTACAAGCGAGCAACGAAAAGAGTTTGAAGGCGATGGCGAAAGCGCTCAGTCTCTCATTAACCTCTATCCCATTCAATGTAGATTATGATGGATCTCGTGGTTGACGCACTGTTCTGTGTTCTATATGTGGTGGAAGCACAGTATCTGGTCAACAAGGACTCGACAGACTATCCGAACCCAGACTGGCTCTTTGTCCCGCGACCACGGGCTATCTGGATCATTGCTGTGGCGATGAGCAGCTGGAACTTGATGTCAGCGCTGATCCGGTTTATATTTGCAGACAACAAGTACGGCATGGTGACCCTGACCTGGGTTACCAGTCATAGTTTTTTTTTTTTTTTGTTAGACTATTAGACTATCACTCCGCTTATGATGAAACGATCAAGCGCTAACCTGGAAAACATTTTAACTTAGAACGAGGTTCATATTTTCGTTCCAAACTTTGCTTGATGCAGTCACCGCCATCCCCTTCCTTCTATCAGGAGCATTCCCCAGTGGACAATGGCTTTACGTGCCCTATTTCTTGCGAAGCTGGAGCGTTATTTCACGTCTGCAGCGAGCCCTCAGCATTGGTGTCGATATTGGAATATCTGGTACGGAAACTTCGATATCTCACTCCGATATATGCACAGGGTGCGTGTGATCTGACACAACGTACTATTGTACTTTATGCAATTATCTTATAGACCAGCCATTCGATCCTGTCAAGGCAAAACTCATCGCACTCGTAGCGTACTTTGTCGCCATTCTCTATAACGGCATGGCCGCATTTCTCTACTGCGAAACTATGTTTGCGCCCGAGACCGAAACACCGCACACGGTTTGGGATGCATTTTACTTTATCCTTATCACCGCCTCCACAGTAGGATATGGAGACATAACGCCAAAATCATACGAGGGCAAGCTTGTTGTCATGATCTTCATTATCGTGGCGCTATCTGTAGTACCTGGACTGATTGCCGGGACAATTGAGGCGTTGAAGTCGTCTCGGTCTGGAGGTGGATCCTACATCCAAAGTAGAGGGGCCAATGGTGCTGCGAAGCAGTACCTAGTCATGATTGGTGATTTCCAGGATGCTAAGCGCGTCGCAGACATGCTGAGCGGGTTTTTCAATAAGGTAAGAGAGACTCCTAGCTGGACATGGTTGTGTATTATGTATTTAGCAGAAATAGAGTGCTAAATGGGGGGTTTTTTATTTTCGTTTTCTGTAGGAATTTTCGGACAAAGACGTACGTGTCGTTTTCTTGTCGCGAAATAAGCCATCAAAGGATGTGAAGACTTTAATGGATATGCCAATGTACAAAAACAGGACAACCATGCTCGTAGGCAATGGTTTGGACGAAGTCGACTTAAAGAGGTGTCAAGCACGAGACGCTGGAGCGGTCTTTATTATCCCAGGTGAATAGCTATGAGATGCATTAAGCTACAGCATAAGCGACAGAATAATCTTATTGTTATCTGCGGATCCTAAAATCCTAACGCCCTTTGGTGTCCATTCCTTGTAGACCGAGTCGCCTCAGATTTGGAATCGCAGGATACAATGACGACTCTTCTCGCTTGGTCTCTTCACCTCTATGCACCAGATACACGTGTCTTTACCTACAACCTGTTACCGGAGACGGAAGCCTTTCAGTGGGGCATGGTCGAACAGTCCATGTGCATCAGCGATGTCAGGCAGCTTTTATTGGCGTACAACTGTCGGCATCAGGGAACTGCAACCTTGATTCTCAACCTCTTATATCCTTCCGAACCCGCCAACGTTTACAACGACGGATGGCAGGCGCAATACGGTGACGGAACTGGCAATGAGATTTATGTTAGCTCGGTCCCTGAAGTGTTTGTTGGTTGGACATTTGCCCAAGTTTCCTGGTTTGTGTTTCAAGAATTCCAATCGATTTTGATCGGCGTGGATATTTTCCTGAGGCCTGAAACATCCTTTGCGGAATCTGGACGTGATGGCCCTCACTTTCATGATACAAGCAATGCACAGCGAGCAAAGTCATCGAGTAAGAGAAGATCAGAGGACTACGATAGTTCCAGGGACTGTCCGTCAGGACAATATCATTTGACACTTAATCCTGGAAACAGCTACCGATTAGGCAAATTCGACCAGCTCATTTTTATTGCTCAGTCGCCGGTTGATTTGGTGGCCATCAACAAGTTTACAGTGGAACAGTATGACCGAATGTCCAAAGACGAAAAAGGGCACTTGGACGAGTCCCGGGCGGATTTTGCGGCAGCTATGAACATGTATTGCCGCCTTCGGGAATCAAGGAGTGGGGCTCGTGCAGCTGCCAAGCTGAGAGCTGAGGCTAGGAGGAATAGAAAAGCCCGACAGACGGGGGGGGCTCTAAATCGGCCGCAAGAGGACGGCTGCCCAACAGAGATACCGTCATCTGAAAATCACCACTATCAAGCCAACAACACCAAGGAATTGTTTTCTTCAAGCGCGGCAGGATCTGCTAGCTCACATCAGACAGTTTCTAGGAAGGCACAACCAGCTTGGAACAAGGCATTGTACGACGATGACGATGACGATGACGACGAATATATCGACGATAGTACCTTACAGCGGACAAAGAGTGCTAGCACTTCACAAAGCGCCCAAACCTATGAGGGAAGTAGCCATCGGGGTAGCAAGATCAGCTTTAGCAGACTTCAACAACGGTCTCCAGAGAATCGCAACAAGGAGAAGGAGGTCCTAATTGGCGCACTTGATCGGGAAGAGGCCCTTCGTCCAGGTCAGGAAAATATACCTTTATCTGAAGCGAGGTTTTGGACTAAACCTGGAGGGCAAGGGCAGGCAAATCTTAGAGAGATGTTCCCTTCGGTCACCCCAGTGGCGGACAGCGCTTTGGGGTTTTCGTCGAATTTCGATCGCAACGCGGCAGCCGCTGCGGCCGCTGATACGGGCAGCCAAAAGCAGAAAATCCAATACACGGATGGGTCGGCACCAAGGCAAGGAAGTGTAGCTACAGTCGATCCACAACCACCGATACTCATACAAGAACCGATCCCCATGGCCGCTGTCAAGAAGCACAAGAGTTCTCGATCTCTCGAACCACCACAGTATCTCGACACAAACCGAATCCCGGACTCAGGACTTCATAACCATCACTCCGTGCTGGGATCCTTTCAGGAAGCGACCTACATTGGACAAACATCGATTACGCGGTCGGAAACCAAGGATCTGCCTTTATGTCACCTTCTGGTCCATCCTCCAGAGAACATCAAGCCCTTGATAAGAGATGATCTGTCATGTCTAAAAGATCACATTGTTGTTTGCACAGATGTCGGAGAAAACCTTTATCGCTTCCTGGCGACCCTGAGGTTGGCTCAGATTTCAAAGGAAGACCTCAAAACGGTGGTGGTTTTGACCCCAAATCCGCATGAGGCTCTAACTTCAGACAGTATCATTATAGGAGAGATGAACGAACATAACAGCGATGATGGCGGTATTGGCACTGAGGAGTGGTGTGGAGGAGGAGCATGGGATGCCATCCTGTCCTTTCCGAGCGTATTTTGGGTAGCGGGCAACTGTCGCCACCAACGCGATCTCGTACGGGCTGGTATTTTGGGAGCATCAAGCATTGTAGTTATGTCGCACAGCACTAAGGAACTGGATCGAGATGAGTTTGCAGACAGTACGGCGATTATGACCCATCACATCATTTACCAGACCCTACAGCAGCGTGGTCTCCTGGGTCGACAGCATATCACTGTCGAGATCTGTAAGTTCTCATTTTATTACAGTCTGGAGTACTGGATCCAGAGATTCGATATGCGCGATATGGTTCTAACCTGCCATACCGCTTGTGCCTCGGATTTAGTGGAGAGAAGCAACATCCGTTTCCTGAATATGCGGGACCTATCCATGGTAAGGTCGTATCACGGCGCGCGTCGTCGTGGCGGAGGCATTGGATCGGGAGGCTATTGGATGGCACCGATTTTCGCAAGTGGACAGGTCCTAGTTAGCAGTCTGGTCGACAATGTTCTCTTCCAGGCGTATTCCAAAACCCACATCCTGGATCTCGTGAAGTTGTGCTGCGGGGTCCGGTTCAAGCAGGCTATCGAGCTGGACCAAATTCTTGGAATCGATTCCTCGAACGTGTGTCTAATGAAGGTGCCGCCTAGGTTTGTTGTAAGTACTCTGCGCCGTGCTTCACAAAATTGAAACCATTCTATCTCGTCCCTAACGCGTACCGTCCTTTGTGTCTGAATGCGGATTGCTTAGGGTAAATCGTTCCTTAGCCTGTTCCAGGCGCTGGCGCTTTTGAATGGGATCATACCACTGGGATTGTATCGAGCTCCTGATCGTGAACTGAACAACGCGCTGCCCTTCGTTTTCACTAATCCATTGCCAGGAATATTGCTGAAGCAGACGGATATGGTTTATGTGCTCAAGTCATAAAATATGGACATAATATTTATTGAGGGCAGAGACTAGGGTGATATTGTTTAAGTTCCATTTGCTTCCTAATAATGTTTCCGAAAATATTCCCGCTCCACTCCATTAAAGTTGCCGGTACTTCTACCTCCTCTGTCGTTGCTGCCGTTGTTGCTCGTGCGTGGCCCTCTGTTTCTTCCTATCTCGTCTCTCAGCAGCGATCCGGTCCCACTCTTCTCGATCTTGTGTCGATGGGAAATCTGTGTCCCAGAATCCTGGAGGAGTCAGGCGCTCCTCGTGATGAACTCGATGTCTTGAAATCTCCTGTATACGACCTTGCAGCCTCTCCTCAGCAGATTTCTCCCAGACCTCTTTTTCGCCGGGACGGGGTGCAGGAGTGAAGAATGCGTTATGACCATCTGGAAGTGGCAATGGCCCTGTCAGCTCATAAAACTAGGATTTATAAAACAAAAACATGTAACAAAGTGTTGTTAGTTTTCGCCTTAATTGGCGAGAAAAAAAAAGTAGTTTTGTACGCTGAGAGAGGTTCGAAGTATTTACTCGGCGACAGCAGGCACAATCGTGGCCGTGCATATGCTTCCTCTTGTCTTTGCGTCGTTCAGTGAAGTTATATATCCTTTGTTGCTGCTGCTGATGACCCTGCTCATGCCGGTGGTCCGGGTCGACACCTCCCTGCTTGTGCGAATTTTCGCCCGCGTTACCGTCACCTACGACAGTATGCGCCTGGGTTATCGACTCCTGCGGTGCCTCGTTTTCTTTGTTGGGTTCGTCAACCCCGCTCAAAGCACACGAATATGTCGAGTCGTCCGGATCAACCGTGAGAGCCTGCATAACTGGCTGAGGCGGTCGGCTGCCTTGGTCTGATGTTTCCTGTGCAGCGCCACGGGGCGGTGACACAACAGATAGTGAACGTCTCACAGATGATGCCGCGCTTTTTTTGGGAGTGCTACCCTGCAGCTCCAATGGGGTCTCCGGTACAAACACTTTACGACTGTTATAAGGAACATGACCGGCGGACAGAGCCTCTTCAGCAGTCCTAGATGAGGCCTTTGGGGTTTGTGGGAGCGCTGCCTGGAGTTCGCCACTCGAATGCGTTCCAATTTTGGCTGGGCCATTTGTAAAGTCGGTTGCTGTATGCTGGGTAGCCCTGGAAGTAGATCGAGACGTCTCAGAAACATCATATTTCGCCTGCTGGTTGTCCTTGGTCGATTTGTTCTCGGATGGGTGCAGAGATACTGCCATGAGATCCTCGGAATCGGACAGAGGGGAGGATTGATTGGATTGTATGTTGAGCATCGCAGATGCGTCGTCGGTAGTGGTATTCGAGGCCTTTTGCTTTTGCTGCTGAGGCGTCGGTCTATTGCTGCTGACGGCCGGTATTCGCTTTCTTCGGGCCTCTGATGCCCGAGTTGTGGGCGACACACTTGTGAAAGTCTTACGTGGCCCAAAGCGTCCGTGATTGCCTTTGTGGATATCGTTATCATTGTCATTGTCGCTATAGCTCTTATCATCGTCTTCGGACTCTGAGTACCATTGACCACGTCGACGGAGAGCCAAATCTGAAGGGAATGTGAGTGACATTGGTTGAGAGCCGACATCAGTGGACGCGTCGTTTTCTTCTGAATCCAGGACAAGCGCTTTCGGCGGATGTCCTCTCAGATCGAAGGCCTCGCTCGCACTCAAATCGTCGTCCAAATCGTCAAATATCATATGTGGCGACTCAGCAGAACCCGTAACAACATGAAAACGATTTTCTGAAGCGGAACCCCTGCGGCGAGAGTGTTGCTCACGATGCACAGCGCTGAATTGGTTGAGAAGCGTGTTTCTTTCAGTCGTTTTCTGCCTTTGTTGCGACGTCTCCCTCTCCTCAGTGTTAAATCGTGTTCGTTTGATGTCATTACGATCTGTATGAGGATCCTGTCTTGATCTCTGCCCCTGCCGTTGCCGCTGCTGCTGCTGCTGCTGCTGCTGTTGTTGTTGTTGTTGTTGCTGTTGCTGTTGCTGTTGCTGTCGTGGCTGATCGCCCTGCGAGTTCAGAGACATAAATTGAGCTGCCTGCGGGGACATGGCTGCCTTCAGGCGGCGCTGGTATTGCTCACGTACGACCGCTTCCTTCCACTCGACCCATTTCGCCTTATATGCGTCCATCATAATGATTGTTCGCTCGCACCGCATCTCCATTAGTGTGACTTGGTTTTCAGCAAAGGCGCAGCGTGATTTCCAGGACTTGAGCTCCTCCTGGCACCCACATGCGCAGGCAGATGACTTGGATGAGGTCTTGAGTGCTGAGCGCAGCAAAGGCGCAGCCTCTCCCTTGATATTGTTGTTGCTGTTGTTTCCAAGCACGTATTTCCCTTTGCCCAATTGTGGTAGGCTTGGTTCTCGTGCGGTCTTTGAAGGCGCCCTAGATGTAGGAAGTCCCAGTTGTTGTGATGTTATCAGTTAGCTAATGATCGGAGCAAAAGTGGGAAGAACGACCCCCAAAATCACAATGTGCTGATCATACATTTGATCCAGAATCTGCGATATAGACTGACTGACAAAGTTGTTCAGTTCAGAGCCCTCGTCATGATGCCTGGCGGCTGTTGCGCGACCCTTGGACGTCTCGGCAGTCGCCTGCGAATCGTTAACATGCTGTTGAGCTCTCTTAGCGATCTGCAGTTCTAGTTCAGCAAGTCTAAGTGCCATAAAGTTGCGGTCCTGCTGATAGCTCTTGGCAAGGGAACACCAATCCAGAGCACTGGTGCGGTGCTGTCTGATTAGCTGCTTGAGCTTCTTGTTTTCCGTCTCGAGTTCTATGATGTCACATCAGTCAATCATGAATCTAGTATCGGTGGCGGACGGCAGCACGTAAAGGAATGGGGAAGGACTTTCGTACCTTGGTTTCTGTTTTGCACATCCCGGGCGTAATGGGCGGCTTGCAGGAGATGTTCCTGAAGTCGCGGTCCTAGCAGGCTGGGCGAAGCGTCAACTGAGAACGGATGATTCGACTGAGACCTATGCCTCAACGCTGGTGCTGGACCCGACGCTGGTGCTGAGCCTAATGCTGGTACTGTATCTTCTGCGGTTGCTGCAGAGAAGGTAGTGTCGTGGTCAATTCCGTTATGGTGCTGTTGATCCTGAGGGATGCGCGTGTTGTTGTTGGAGCTCGTGCTGTGGTAATCGGCATCCTGTCGAGGTGGTCCACCGTGGCCGAGCGGTGGTTCGGGCGCGTGGATCGCATCGGCGGTCTCGGGCTGCGAATCGAGAGGGCACATCAGGTTCCAGCAGACTGGGGATGAGAATGAGGAGTGTGGAAGGATGGTGAAGGGCGTGGAGGAGTATTGAACGCACGACCGCGCAACAATGGTCTCGTTTTTTTTTAAGCTGTGTGAGGAACAGTCTGATATTTCAACCTTGCTGCAACTCCTTGGCTAGCTCAAAAGCAACAACGAGTACAATGTTTCTACTGCGGGCTAAGAGCAAGAAGGGTCTACTGACTAACCTGGGCTGCCAGTGTTATTTGACGACCCCTTAGGGTAAACGAGCTACATGGATTTCCTACGGGAATTGACTTGCATGCTCAACGTGGCAAATGGATTTCCGCATGGCAAAAATCTGTTCAAAAAATAAGAACCTCAGACCATCATACTTGATGATCTAGAGTCATTGACAATGATCTACGCAGGGGTCGAACCTGCAATCTCCTGATTCGTAGTCAGACGCCTTTCCATTGGGCCAGCAGACCTTGCTGGAAGTGCTGGATTCTAGTTATATTTTATTTGTCAAAATCCAATTCGCTAAATCCTACCATTACTACTTTATTTCCATGCATATCTTGTATTTCTATGTTGAATTAAAAAAATAAAAATAAAAAAAATAAAAAAAAACCACACGTGCGAGGAGAGCCGAGGACAGCAGCCAAGCACGAAGAAAGAACCGCAGTTCGCCACACTGGCAGAGACGACCATCTGAAGGATGCTTGAGAGCGAGATCAAAGGAGCGACGACCATCCGATACGCGGACGAGAACCTTGACGAGATAGACGAAAGCAGGCACAGCAATGAAGCAAGTTGGACCGTTCAGGATTTGTACCATGGACTGATACCAAAGAACTTTACTATGGAATGGGCAGAAGCGTTCAAAACGTCAAAGTCAGTCGCAAGGTACATGGTCGCGCGCTTTGTCAGGGCCATCGAGGAGCTAGGAAGGACTGAGGTCTGGAACAGACGTTGCAAAGTCACCGTGGACTGGGAATGAGAGCGTGGAATCACTTCTGTGAGCAAACGCGCCGGAGGACGCACTTGTGGCGGAGGGCACAACCGTAGCAGAAGTAATATCATGGGATCAGCCCATAGTCAGAGACCAGCAACAGACATGGAAGAGATCAGGGCAGAGGCGGACAGGCGCCTAGTACAGGGCTTTTGCCAGCAGCTGGAGCTGACTCTGACGGAGCGACTAGACGGATGCAAGTTTTTGATGACAGTGGATACTGGCTAGAGGATGACCTTCGTGCACAACAGGCCAAGTAGGGAGCAGGGCTCCTCGAGACACCACTCATGCTGACGAGGATTGTGAACGGGACTTAGCAGCAAAAGCTGTTTATTAGACACCACTTTTCTTTACGTCTCTAGCAATAGGGGTCCCTAGAGGATAGTACCACGCTAATAAAGCCCACACGTCCCCGTGGGTCCTAGTTATCAAAAAAAAAAAAAAAAAAAAAAAAAAAGCATATTTAGTGTCTTCTTCGATTGCACGACAGGCCATCCACAAGGTTGTCAACTTTATTGAGACGCAGACAACGGAACTAATCTGGAAACCACGCTGCGACGCGACCATTGCTCAGGAGCAAGAATGGGGAATTAAAGCCAAGCTGAAACGCGCGTCATACAAGGGCCTTCGAGGAGACTGGAGTGAGGACAACGGATACATTTGCGGCACTAACCATTGTCCTTGTGGCGCGTTGCTCGTCGATCATGCAAATGGGGGCTGTCCTGGCCCTGCCCTGGATCCTGATACTGTGGATCGGACGTTCCTGGACTGCCTGCAAAGGAGGAGGCGGTTGACAACCATGGAGGGGATGGAGAAGATACCCTTTTTGTAACAGATAGTCTGCAGCCTTCAGCAGACTGATGAGGCGTTGCCAGTTGCTGCACAGGCCTTAGGGGCAGGTCCAGAGAATGACACTAGTCTTTTGGCGGCTGTAGATCGGTCTCGCTTTGGTGGAAAGATGCGCTGTAGTAGATCATTGCTGCAGTAGTTAGGTCTGATAGATTTGCAGGGCCAATCCTCACGTTTCAAAAAAAAAAGATATTGGTCATACAGTTCCTTCATAAAAGAGAGTCGACGTTTCATTTGACCAGTTACTGTCAACGGGCAGCTTCTTTTATCAAAGCAACGGATTATTTTGTTGAAATTCAAGTGCGCCAAACAGCATAATATCGATATTTGTAGAGTACAAAAGGTTGAATATATTGCGATATTTTTTGAGGCGGAGCCATGTCTCCTAAGACAAGTTTGCCGTGCTATATATACAGAATTACTTGACTTCCTCCAACTCAGTCTTCTCTCCATACTTCTCATGTGGAGGCTTGACCTCCTGGAGATCCGAGGGCTGCTGAGAATGAGAGTCAACATAGGCAGCCCACTCAGCCTCCTCCTGCTCCTTGCTGATAAACTTGACACCAAATGATCCGACACGAATCAGACGACCAAAGAAACGGATGCGGGTGAATTCGCCTTCGACCTTGGGCGTCAGGCGATCACGGATCGAGGTGCGCACGAAAACGACGACCAACATACCCGCGGCAGCTACTCCGAGAAGCCAGTACAAATTCTTAGAATAGATCCAGGCATCCTTGACGGTGTAGCCGGATCCGAGCAAGTTATTGTAGATAGCGGTGAAGAGGAGACCGCCGCCCACTCCGGCAATGGCCCAGGCAGTCAGGATAATACCGTGGAGGGCTCCAATGTTGGTAGGTCCAAACATGTCGCAGAGGAAAGCGGGAATGCATCCGAATCCACCACCGTAGCATGCAGTCAGAATCCAGATGAGCGCGAGGAATGCGGGGTAGTTTCTCGCCTCCATAATGGTGGGGAGCGAGGCGAGGATGATGACCTGGGTAGTCAACATGAAGATATAGGAATTCTTGCGGCCGAGGCGATCGGATACCGTCGAGAAGAACAGGCGACCGGCCAAGTTGAAACCTCCGTTGATGGAGACAATGGTAGAGGCAGTTGCCTTGTCCTTTCCGAAAATATCTGCGGTAATGTTCGCGAGACGGGACAGGAACACGAGACCAGCGATGGAGTTTCCGAAGAACATGAGGTAGATCAGACGGTACTCGCGCGAGAAGATCGAATCGATCAAGGAAAGGGTCGAGGCGGGGTTGCGAAGAGCGGCGGCAGCCTTGTCGCCGTTGAAGGCCTCGACATCTCCGTTTTCATCAACCTTGTTGCGATAGATATCCATGCCATTGACGGTGAAGCCGGGAGGGGGCACACGGAAAATGAGACTGCAGATGAACATGATAACAAAGTAGCAGCAGCCCAATGTGATGAAGCAGTTGGTCAAGCCAACAGCGGCAGTGAGAGGATCAGGGACCTTGGCGAGAGCGATCGAGCCGGCTCCAAATCCACACACCGCAAAACCGGCTGCCACACCACGACGATCAGGGAACCATTTTTGAAGAGCAGAGACGGGAGAGATGTAGCTGAGACCAAGACCAGAGCCGCCAATGACACCGTAGCCGAAGTAGACCAATCCAATGATCTGGTTATGAAAATAGGAAGGGCTATGTGTCAGTATATATCAAAAACAGGCTTCTGCACAAGACTACATCGCGCTAGCTGCAAAGAAGGGACGTGTTCCTTGCTTACCTTGAAGTGGATACCGATGGATGCAACCATGTTGCCGATGAAGAAGAGAATAGTTCCGACCAAGGCCGCCTTACGAGGACCGACACGCTCCAACCAGGGGCCGTTGATAGCGGCAGACAAGCCGAAGAAGCCGACGGCGAGGTAGAATGTAATAGTGGCGTTGTGCTTTGGCGGACTCTTGCCATCGGCACCACCTCCGTACATGGCGATATCAATAGGGTTGTTGAAGACGGACCAAGCATAAAGGGAGCCGCAGATGGCCTGGAAGATGAAGGCTGCAGGGAACATGAGCCAGCGGTTGTAGGCCATGGAAAGGGGGCCCAGTCCAATTGTCTTCTCCCTCTCGACTTGGTCTGAAGTGCGACGGAGGGTGGTGTCGCTATAGTGCCATCTGAGGAAGCCAGGAATGCCGCCCGAGGGCTTTCGATAAGTCTCGGTCATGATGCGCTGTTGATCCTTGTAGATGTGGGGCGAGTCCAGATAGTTGTGATGAGCAAGGGGGAAAGAGCAAGCAGCAAAAAAAAAAAAAAAAAAAAAAAAAGAAAAGAAAAAAAGAGAAAGAAAAAAAAGAGTGGGGAGGGCGAGAAGGTGAAGCTGGGGGGGAGGACGAGAAGGTGAAGGACGACTGTCGGGCACAAGGAAAAGAAGAAAAAAGGCAAAGTGGGAGGGGATTGGACGTATTTATACGAAAACGGAGCTGCAACGGGAACCGCGACAACTGTGGAGGGGGGGCCGTAGGCAGAAAAGCACGGCCCTGAGAAACAAAGCTAAAATAGCCCGCTGGTGTGTAGGATAGAATGGGCGCCATTCAGTTTGGTCGATTGCTGGTAATTTACACCATTGGCTGCAATCAAACAGAAACCTCCCCCCAACAGAGATAACTGAAACTCTAATGGGCCTACTTTCGAACAATACATCTGGGATGCGGCGATAGCGAATCCCTTCCCGTTCTTAATCCAAACCGCCCTGACAGAGGCGGGCGGTCTTTTTTTATTTATTTTTCGGCAGGGGAGGGGCGGAGCGAGACCAGGGTGAAGAAACAGACGGTGAGACTCGTGGTAAAGGGCTGGAGAATGTTTAACAGCATCAATCCCCTCTCCTCCTCTTCCCCTTCTCCTCCACCATCACCCATTAGCCCTTGTTTTTCAAGGCCTAGAGCGAGCAGGGTACCGTTTGCGCCAAGTACCAGGGGATGTAATGAGGTGGTGATCTTCATCAGTGACGCAGGGCAATTCCACATGTTAGTGCTGGAGAAGCTCATGCGCATGCCGCCTTATGAAATGACGCTGTTCTCTTTCTCTTCAGAGAGACTTGTGTCTATCTGGAGATGGAGAGTAGTAACAAAAGACGACAAAAGAAATGAGTGTTCAACCAATACTGACGTCCTAGCCCAACGGAGGTACGGGGAGGCTAGGCTTACTGTTTATCCTCCAACAATGATGCACAGTCAAAGAGCACACCGGTGGTTTATTTCACCTTGCGAGGAAGATGGATAGAAAGTGATGGGTCAAGTAGTTGATCAAGACGGAAGCGCCATTGCTGTTCACTTTCGCATGCTGTTCGTCCTTTTAGATTGGTCTAGACAACGCGATGTTGACGATCGTATCACCGCACCCTGTATTTCTTTGGTCATCTTTGTCCAGCTGCTCACCACTTTGTCTGTCGGAAGCCAAGCGTTGTACTCTCAGATCTTCAATTCATTGTATTGTCCGACCTCCTGTTTGTGGTGCCGCGGTTCTGGCACGATCCTTTATGCTGAGGGAATCTCGACTTGATGCGCGGGACATTGACATTTGCATAGTCCGTGTGTGCTGACTACATAAAGAAGCCATCATCCAATGAGACAATAGAAAGAAAGATATCATGTCACACCACTGAACCAGTAATGCATAGGCCCCATAGCCAGGAGCGGTGTCTGGATTCACCAAAGGACTACATGGGGCACCATTGGTACATTTCGACCGCGGGTTGTAAGGAAGACTGTTTGCCCTGGAACCGTAAAAGAGAGCCACATGCAAAGAAGAGCACTGAGAGCACCTCGACCCTGTTTAGGTGGGAAGATAACTTAAAGTCAATGCCTAATAGGCTACACCGTCACTGTGAGATTACCGAGAATTCTCTGAGCACTATTGGGCTAGACAAAGCAAAAATCACCGAGCGATGTTAAAACAGGACTAGGCGGTAAAGTGCTCCAGTGACAGGGGGGAAAGCGAAGAAAGGAAACCGCCCCTCTTTCCCCCCTTCCCCTACCCCCTTATCACAGCTACCGGTTCTTGTTCTGCAAGGATGGCATGGTTGACTGCAGTCGCAGGTCCATTTCGGATTCGTCAGCATGTCGCTGCATTCGCCCCATGATACCCTCAAATCGTAAAAAAAGGAATTCGATCTGCCTCTATGGGGGCACTACCTCGTACGATGTCTCAAACTCTGTTATCCTTGCATCTCCTCCCACACCAAAGAGCACCGAAGGTGTGGAGCTGCACAACAACGGAAGGCGCCGGTGTGGGTTATGAAAGTTTAATGGTTGAGCATTCATTTTTATTCGCTTGCCAGGCCCGGTTTTTAGTTCCGTGGTCAGCTGGCTGTCGACCAATGGCTTTTGCTGCTCGTTGGCTGTTCTTTGCCGCAACCATAACCCTTTCTCGGCTTTCCTCGATCTACGCGGACTGGCTATCGGAGGGGGAAGCCCGAATGGGATGATCGGCATCCTCGTTTAGCATTTGTTATCGTCTGTGTTTTGTTTTTCTATCGTCCCTCGGATTCATCGCGCGTGGGTTGAGAACCTTATGCTCCCCCGTGCCTCGGTTTAAGTTGGCTGTTCCAGGCAGAGTTTGCGAGAGCGGGACCCAGTATCTTTGTGCCCTTGTGCTACGGAGCTAAATCTTTGAAGATTGCCAAGAGCTTCAACCTTCAATACCTGTATCCAGCCCAACAACCTCTTCGTCATCAGGTCTTGCCCGTCTCTTCTTCTCTCCCCTCTCTTCCTCCTTCTAAACGAAGCCCTCCCACTGCTGTTAGAACAGCGCATTCAGCCTGCATCTGCTGGAGTTTAGTCGCGAAGCATGAGGGCTCGGTCTAAAAATAAATAGACCCGGGAACGTGGTTTGAGGCATGCGGATCGAGATTCATAATGTCTTCATGCATGAAAAACATTGCCTGGGTTGCATCGTTGCCAACAGTAATGCCCGCACAAGTTTGTGAGCGCTTCCAGACCTGTTACCGTCTTTCCATGGCTGATTGTACCACCTAGCCCAACTTTGTGGTCGTGCTGTTCGATTGCATTTCGCCCTCTGGCCTTTCAGGTCCGTTAACGGGAACTATATATGTTTAACTGGCAAACCCAACGCACTCCTAAAGAAGATATTCGTTAACTCTTATCTCACCTTCTAATGCATCCTTTGTTGTTTACTCGACGATAGTGCCTGCGCATAGCCCAAACAAAAATTCATTTGTATATGTTGTACGACTTTGGTTGAGAAGCACTACAAACAAAGACTAAAATGGGTATCATCAACACACAATCGACACCATCCAAAGGCTGGGGAATAGAGGTAAGAGATATAGCTAAGCCTCATGTCTTCATTTCTCTCTACGCGTTAGAACTTGTAAGGCAATCCGATGTTTGGTCTATGTTGTGTTTGGGTTGCACTGCCGTTTCTTTTGATTACCCGGTGCACGAGTACGGAAGGAAGTGCGTGTGATGAGCAGCAAGATTAAGGTTCTGCGCAGGGTCCATTATTGTCCGAACAAAATCATGCACACGGGGACTTTAGTCGAGGTTCGGCTCAGTTTACTCTGTAAATGGACCGCAGAAGGGGCGCCAGGATCTCAGAGTTATAATAGAACTACCCTCAGCACCGCCTTCCGTCGAAATACGCACGTCTCTTACCTCCCTAGTCGTATCCTAAGCTACTACAGCCAAAGTCAATATTAATATAGTTCAGGCACGTCACTGCAAAACACAGGACATCCCGCGGTAGTCCTTTGAGAACATTACCAGAAACGCGTGGACTCTAGACGTTGGCGAACAGTACCCCACATCGAATATCTCGATAGGAAGCCGATTTGTAAGAATTTTTTTTTACATCCGATCTATGCGGTGAACTTTGTCGATGTAGCCTTTGGCCAAAGTTCGCACTGAATCCGCAACCCCACAACTCTTACTCTGATTCACATTGAGCTCAGTCATCTGACCGACCGACTCTACTGACCAATAGTGCCCCAACACAAAGAGACATAGTTTTGTCCAAGTTTACACGGCCAGCTTGGCGAAAGACAGCTTAATCTTCAGGCTCTAATGGTGTCACCGAGAAGGCAACAACGTTTGAGCAACGGCAAGAAATAGTGTGCTTGCGAACACACAAAGAAACTGGACATATCTACAACTGCGCGCGCCTTTTTCACGCCCCTCCCGTCCCCCCTACGTTGAGCTGGCTCTCTTGCGGCCAATAGATTGACCTTGGCTCGGCATGGCACTGATCGAAGGGGTTTCGCTGCTGGTGCTGACGCTGGTGCTGCTGGTGCTGCTTGTGTTGATAGACGTGGTATTAGTGATGGCGCTCGTTGCTTGACCAGATGACCACGGACCACGTTGCCGATATTGTGGTAGGCCATCACATCCCGGTGGATGGATATTTTACAGTGAGAGCAATAGAGTCAGCGTATTTCAGCCTGTGCGACGAATTGCTCGCATACGGGGAAGTATAATACTCATTTACATCGACCACAATCTGCGGGTGTGAATTAAGGGGTGGTTGTCAAACACGTCCTGCTGAAGTCATACGACATGGAAAAACGACACAGGCCCAGGACGGGAAATCTTCAGTTCATCACCTCTCTCGCCAGGAGCATCACCTCTCTGGCCAGGAGCATCACCATCTTTCGTCAGCCTGCCATATTTATCGCTATGCTTCATAATGGCCGACCAAACCTGGACTTGCTCCAAGTGTACATCAACACGAACCTGATCAGTGTCGAGCTCATTCCTTGAACTATCATGCGTCCACTTTCACCGTCACCGTCCTCACAAAGGCTGGCTCATCGAAACAGGCCACTGTCACGCAGATTGATGGTGTTTACTCTTGTCCTTTCTGCAGCGTTATATTCAAGACCAAAGTAGGATGCCGCAAACACCTGGCCAACTTGACCTGTGCCCCTGAAGAGCAAGACAACGACGAGCCTGGCCAACAACCACCAGTCATCGCCATGCCGAGCCACCTTCCAGTCCCAATAACGGCCGACTCAACACCTTAGATGCGAGAGTACAATGATGCGGTCCTGTGCAGCTGCAATCAGACACACGTCTCTGACGCGGAGAAGCAACGGATACTGGGCATTGTCGATGCACTCGAACTGAGGCCTTTCGCCATGAAGGATTCTGACGGAGCAGAGCAAAATGGTCTGGCCCATATCTCGGTCATAGTCAAGCTGTCCGCTGGTCAAGGTCAAGTCGTCCCAAACATGCCTCCACCCAAAAAAAGGAAGCATGCCCATCACGATACCTGTCCCATTTGCACTCCAACTCAAGCACCTGGACTGGAGAATGTGTTGTCGACTTCGCCCTATGCAGCATTGATACAGAGGCGAAAGTACATCGAACTCGACAATGGCGTTTGCGAGCTTTTCAACCGAGACTGGGAATTTTCTCCCCATCTCCAATTTGCCTGCGCAAAGATTCTTGCTGGATGCCTCCTCCTCAACAACCAGAACGGTCAGGTCATCATTGCCAACACGATCGAGGCTTATGGCCGGACAAGACTAGTCGATGCCCATCGAGAGCCCTTCGTCGTACGCAAGGGTCAACCTGTTGCTAACTCTTTGCCGCCGTCGTCAAAAGATCAAGAAGCGATGTCCCTTATGAAAACCAATTGTTTCTATTCCCTTTGCCACGTCTGACTTTTTTGCTCTGCTCCCATATCTGACCTTTTTTCTCTTTGCTACATCTGACTTTTTTTCTTTTCATGTCCTCATTAGCTCTTTTCCTTAACTGACTTTTTTAATCATTTTTTAATAGACCGGCATCAGGTACGTTATAAAACTGTGCTAGACACATGTCAAAAATCCAACAGAAGCGAAACAAAGCTCAGCGACGGTGCACCTACTTTTTGGACGAAGTACGACATGAACGACTCATGCAGCGAGGAAAGCCTCGCTTTACCGGAAACCTACCCAAGACCAATCGCAATCACGACCTTGTTGATTTCTTTTCCTCCCGGGCCCTTCGGGCGTTCCACTTGTGCCTTTTGAAGCGCATGTTGTCATCATTGTAGAAGCCATCGAGCCGCTGCTCTACTTTTTCAAGGACCTCGACAAAGCTCACGTAGCCGGCGTCTTCGCCATGAGAGGGGACAGATTGCTTTCAATGTTGGATATGGATTCTGTTTCGCCCTCCTTTTTGCTCCTCCATCCAGTGACGATGCTTGAAGATTGGTTAATAAACAGCCCTCTGCTTCACAGCCAAATTGTAGAAGATAGCAGGAGGAGGAGGGGGGGGGGGGGGGGGGGGGTTGACGGCCCGGTAGGAGTAGCTGCGGTAGATGTACTGCATGGTCCTTTTATAGCGACGTCGGTATCCGTATCGGAACGATCCCTTATTTTGACATTACTGACTGGGCGAGCAGCCTCCGGTAGCAACGCGCTCGCACCAAGAACACATGCCTGACCAAGATCAACACCCAGAGTTATGATGTCCTCGGGCCTACATTCCGGCCAGAGCTGTGCGGCGTCCTCCTTAGTCTTGATGACGTTGCGGATCTTCGCCAAAAAGTAATCTGTACTCCCCTTGGTAGAGGTAATCCGAGGAGGCAAGGCGTTGTTGAGTAGCCGCCTGTATCGAGCCGACTGTAGTTCTTTTAGCTTAAAAGTAAGAAGCTAGATGCGAAACCCGTCCGTTCGAATGGAACCTCGTAAGACATAGCCTTTCTTTCTGGATCGAATAGGGGTTGGCAGAAGGGATCGATGTGCTGTTTGATCTGCTCCGAGGACATCAGCTTCACTTCAGCCCTATGTCCTGCTTTGCCCCGCTGGCGTATAGTCAGACCCTCTTTAGCGACATCCGAAAGTAGGCGCTTGATGAGGGATCCTGGCTCCTTGGTCCCAATATAACTCGTCACATCTGCGAGTGATAGTCCGCTAGCAGCGATGTCAGGGTAGTCGGGTGAGGCCATATCTTGGAGTTTGACCCTTAGCAACTCTTTCTTCCAAAAGAAGGCCGCCAGCTCCCTCTCTATGAATGACATGAATGGCTGTTCCGGAGGCGACATAGGAGCAAGTCTGCGACTGTCCATGCTGATCTTGTTCAAGCCGAGAAAATTCTCGATTGCAGATTTATCCTTGCGAATCTCGATGCTGCAGTCCTTGGATAGGAAACCTTTCTCCTGCTGGCGTTTGAGCTGTGATAGAAAGATTGTCAATGCAAGTACACGCTATTATGCATACTCCTCAATTTCAGTTTATTAATGTGTCAAAATGCGTCGAACATTGATTTGTACCTTTTCGTGAAGCCCATAGCTACCGTTCCTGTAAGTCCTCTTGAGCTCGGCAGAGAGTTGCGAGGCAACAGACCGTACCAAACCAGACGGTGTGTAGGCCATCGTCCTTATCGTGGATCTACCACCCTTGTTCAACAGCTTCAAGTCCTCTAGACGTGCAATGAACGTGTTCACCACGTTCCCGACACCTTGAGATTTCGGAAGAGATATCGTAAAAGCCCAGGAAGGAACTGCTCTTGTTTGTCGCCACCCCTCCCCAAGTCACTGGCATTCTTGTCCTGTTCGTCATCGTTGGTACTGTCTGTAGCGGGGTCTGTCTTCTTTGGCGCGATACGTGGACAAATACGGTCCAACACAGCTGTAGCAGACGGCTGGAGTACATCTTGCACAGTGAGACGTTCAAGGTGCCGGATATGACCACATCACTGGGTTCGCAGTCGCCTCAGGTCCCGTCATTGATTTTGGGATTGAAGCTGATAATGACACAGACGTGAATACTGTCTATCTCTCCATCAATAAGGGCCTCATGGCCCTAAAAGCGCTACTATTACACTTCTCCATCGATGAATAGTTGATATACCGTATTAGTTTGCAAGTGAAAGTGCGTCCCTGTCTAAAGTTCGCTTCTTTTGTCCACGTCTACATATCTATTCGGATGGAAAAGCAGTATGTCAGCGAAGAGACTGAGCTTAAAATTTGATAGAAGGGATTCGACTAGGATAAAAAAATATATGTAGGGATCTGTTTGGCAACCCATACAAATCCTCAAAAGAGAAACTGCTTCAACTGGGAGTGAACATAAGGCGAATAGTAGAATTCCTGTAAAATTTGTATGAGAGGGTGCGAGATTTCGTAATTGGAATTTCTCCGCTAAACTGGTGTCTCGGCAGAGATCCTACACTGGCCAGATAGGCGTCGAGAGCGCATAGAGGGCGAGAGTGGCCGCGTCCTCGATTTGGCCTGATCGCGACAAGGGATGCAGGGCCGAGCCGCACGATGTGCTGCTGGAGTCCAACGATCAGCAGCAGCGACTCAGCAATGCTTTCGCACCAGCGGAGTGGGTGTTGCATGTCACTTTGGGCGAATTTTTGCTGAGCAAGTCCGAGTCAGCCAGAAATGAAAATCAAACGTAGACTAATCAACAAACCTGCTCCAGGGACGCAGTGCTGGGCCGAGCAGCAAGGACGCAGGTCCAATAAAATTCAAGTCCACCATGCGGGGGAGGGCCGAGCGAGTGAGCGAAGAGGCGGACGTCCCGCTTGGCCAAGCCAGCCGGCTGGGCTGCTGCGAGCCCAGGTTGCCCCGCTAATGCTCTCAGTGGCAAAGATCGGGTTGGCTGCAACTTTGTTTCGCGGTTGCGGGTCGACCCATTTAATTAAATCGCCCTGGCTCACACACCCGTTCGTGTCTGTGGCCGTCGGAGCGAGCCGAGGTAGTCCTCGATATAAAGGATACCCATCGCTTTCTCTTTGCTCCATTCCTTCATTCCATTCATTCCTTCGGTCATCATTGGCGCTCCAGCACACTCTCACTCCATCCCCCTCCCACACCGCTTCGTACACACTTTTCCTAATGGGACTCACAAAAACATACAAGGACGGAAGCACACCCGTCGTCGCTATCATTGGTGCAGGGTAAGCACAGCCGCCACCGTAAACGTGATAAAACACCTGTCATTGTCTGCCCGACCAACACCTTTATTTCTCTCTGTTAAAATAGATTCTCGGGCCTCTGTGCTGCGATCCGTATTCAAACGCAGCTGGATTTGAAGACCTTCCAGGTCTTCGAGCTGGAACCCGATCTTGGAGGAACCTGGTGGTCCAACACCTACCCTGGAGCAGCCTGTGATGTCGCCTCCATCAACTGTAAGCACTCCAGTGATTTTATGCTTTACCACCCCTCTTTGTTTATAAGTATATAAGTTTATAAAGGGCGTCGTATTGACTCCTTCATAATGCACAGATCAATTCTCTTTTGAACCCAACTACGAATGGAGCCATCGCTTTGCCCCTCAGGCCGAGATTTGGGCCTATATGAGACGCGTTGCCAAGAAATACAACCTATATGAGAAGATCCGCTTCAGGACCGAGGTCACTCGCGTAGAATGGAATCAGGACCGTCAAAAATGGATTCTGAACTACATGAACTTGGCCACTGGCGAGCAAAGCGTTATGGAAGCTGACATCGTGTTTTCAGGCACGGGACCCCTGCGCATCCCTCAGATCCCAAAGCAATTCGAGAACTTTGAGGGACCGAAGTGGCACACTGCTCAGTGGAATCATTCTTTCGACTTGACCAACAAGCGTGTGGCCGTTGTAGGCAGTGGAGCGAGGTAAGAGACAGATTCCTTCGTAAATGATATCAGTTCAATTGCATTTTGACTATGTCTTGCAATCGACTTACGCTCTCTCTTGACACTTCTGCAGTGCAATCCAGGTCGTACCAGCCATTGTGGACAAGGTCAAGACACTGGAGTTCTACCAGCGTACACCTACCTACATCGTTCCTCGCCGGAACGGCGCTTACAGCAAATTGTGGAAGTTCATGTTCCGATACGTCCCCTTCTTTCACTTCATCTACTTCAAGCTAAACTACTGGAGCTCGGAGCTTACAATCAATATCTTCAGCAACAAGTTCATCCACCTCTTACCTCGCACGATCGCCACATGTTTGGCTTGGATGTACCGTGTCTGGCAGGTCCGAGACAAGGTCCTCCGCGAGAAGCTGACCCCCAAGTACGAGATGGGCTGCCGTCGCGTCGTCGTTTCCTCGAATTATTTCCCAGCTCTTACCAAGAAGAATGTCAACGTCCACACAGAGGCCATCACAGGCGTCAAAGGCAACACGCTGATTCTGAAGGATGGCTCTGTGCAGGAGGTGGATGCACTGGTCTTAGCCACAGGATTCCAAGTTCAAGAGATGGTCCCGCCCAAATTTATCATCGGCAAGAACAGTGTCGACCTCAAGGAAAAGTGGGGCAAGAACCCGTTGACCTTCTATGGCCTTACCACCCCCGATACCCCCAACTTGTTCTTCTTGCTTGGACCTAACACTGGACTTGGTAAGTCATTCAATCGCGCTGCGATACTAATGGGTGAGACTTCCTACTTGTAAGACTTCTAATCTCGATCCGTCTCTGGAATCATGAACCATTTACAATATAGGACATAATTCGGTGCTGTTCATGATCGAGACTCAGGTCGAGTACGCTATCAAAGCCATGTCGTACATGATGGCCAAAAACCTTTCTTCGTTGGAGGTGACTTCAAAGGCATGCAACGATTTCATCAAGGATCTTGATAGCAGAATGGAGGACAAAGTCTGGTCGTCAACCTGCCAAAGCTGGTACCAGAATGACGAGGGCCGTGTAACCGCGCTTTGGTGGGGATCTTGCGGGCAGTACTGGTGGCGATTGCGGAACTTTAACTCCAAGCACTTTGTGGGTCTCCGGAGGATTTAAGGACGACACACACAAAAAAAAACCAGCAAGATTCAGAAAGAAAAATACAGATGACAACGCCAAGGACAACCAGTCATCTCGATACCATTTTTTTTTTCATGCACACAGATTACATGATTACATAAAAATAAAAATTCATCACGAGAACTCAACTGGCATGCGTCTTTAATTATGAGAGGAAACAAAACGAATCTGTTGGATTTTTTTTTTTTTTGCGACGTGTGGATTGGCCCTAAGAATCTACCACTTTTTTTTTTTTTTTTTTATTAACATAAATCCCCATGAGCACCCTAGGAATCTACCAGACCTTACTACGGTAGCAGTGATCTACTACAGCCCGCCTTTCCACCAAAGCGAAACCGATCCACAGCCGCCAAAAGACTGGTGTCATTCTCTGGACCTGCCCCTTGGGCCTGCGCGGGAACTGGCAAATCAGTGTGCTGAAAACTGCAGACTATCTGTTATAAAAAGGGTATCTTCCCCATCCCCTGCATAGTTGTCAACCGCCTCCTCCCTTGCAGGCAGTCCAGCAGCGTCCGGTCCGCTGCGTCTGGGTCCAGTACGGGGCCAGGGCAGCCCCCGTTTGCATGGTCGGCGAGCAACGCACCACACGGACATTGGTCATCGTCGCTATTTTTTTTTTTATTTTTTTTATTTTTTTTTTTTTTATAACAACTTGTCTCTCGAGTCAATTGACTCTGCGAATCTATCAGACTAACTAGCAAAGATCTACTATCGCTGTCCTCACCACCAAAGCGGAACCGATCCACAGTCGCCAAAAGACAGGTCACATTCCCCGGGCCTGCCCCTAGGGCCTGCGCAACAATTGCCACACCTCATCAGTGTGTTAAAAGCTGAAAACACCTTGTTACAAGAAGGGTATCTTCCCCATCCCCTCCATGGTTGTCAACCGCCTCCTCCCTTGCAGGCAATCCAGCAGCGTCCGATCCGCTGCGTCTGGGTCAAGCACGGGGCCAGGGCAGCTCCCGTTTACATGGTCAGCGAGTAATGCACCACACGGACATTGGTCATCGTCGCTAATGTATCCATACCCATCACTCCAGTCCCCTCTCGGTCCCTTGTATGGAGTTCGTTTCATCTTGGCTGTGATCCCCCATTCTCGCTCTCGAGCAATAGTGGCCTTGCAGCGTGGTTTCCAGATCAGCTCCGTAGCTTTCTCCTCAATAAAGCCGACGAACTTGTGAATGACCTGGCGCGCAATCGACGATGGCGAGGTAAATAGACTGCCCCACTCCTTGATAAGGCTTACGGGTGTGATGCCACGGCATAAATCGCTGATGCTCCAGGTCAGATCCGGAGAGCGGTCATAATACTCGTCGCCTTTGAGCATTGATCGGGTCCCGGCGATACAGGATAGACCTCGGATGTGGGTCTCGTTGTTAGGACAAACCCATCGAATGGGTTTCGGTGCAGCAGCGGCGGCTCCAGCGCGGATCCTATCACGCTCTTGCTGCTTCTTGCTGTTCTTGTTGTATGCGGTCGTTGCAGCTCGTCCCCACTTATCAATCTGCTGTAGCCCTTCGCGCCAGATCTCCTTGTGGACATCTCTAGTAGCACTGCACGTCCACAGGTGGTGGTTGTCTTCGTCCTGAACATCGCAGACGCAGCAGACACGGTCAGGATATAGACTCGGGTGGCGAGCCTTCATGGTATTCAGGGTAGGCAGTATACCATGCAGCTTCTTAATATGATGTGTCCTCTGGGAGGTATCAGCAGCACTGCTGAAGAACGTGTGCACAGAGCGCTTGTCGTGGACATGGGCAAGGGTGGACCGCCACTCCACGTCGGCAAGATCTGGTATCGCTCTCTTGACACGACGTTGGGTTGTCCAGGCCTGATGACGCCTGATTGTCGTCTGCTGCTTGAGTAGCTGCCGCAGATCATGTTCCACAAGATGGTCGTGGCAATGTGCAAAAAAGCGGATGTCTTGCTGCTCGCTTAAATCAACCGACCAGGGCATTGACTCGACTCGGACGGCGGCTGTCGCCACAGTGTCTGCAATATTGTTGCCAGTGTTGGTGCTGTGCCCACGGACCCACCTCACCTCCACCGACCCAGACCGATCCTGGACAATTTTGTGTAGTGCTGCCCAGTGTCCAGAGTACGTACTACGGAACCGCTTACGAGGTAACGTGTCCGCACGGGAACGCACAAGCTGCTGGTATTGTTGCACGACCGCTTGGTTGTCGAGCTCCACAATAATGTTTTGGTCTGGTGGTGCAGATAGGATGGCAGCTAGGAGACCCATGAGTTCTGCTTTTGCTGAAGAAGCGTACCCGTCTGTGCGGCCCTGCACACACCTGACCACGGGCTGCGATCGATCAACGACCCCAAAGGCCATGGCTACGTCTTCTTGACCAGTGTTAATCAAAGAGCCATCGGAGGAGATGACTCGCGGTGCTGTGTTGTCGACAGGAGATTCTCGCAGCTGTGACACAGCAACTGCCTCAGCGTGTGATAAGCTGACTGGTCCAATTGTGGTTCTGTCTGGATATAATGTGCCCACCTCCTCAGACAGCTGGTGTACAGGCAGCAATGGATACGTTTGGCGTTGAGGCAGTAGACGCAACTCTCGTTGTTGTTGACGCTGTAGTCGACGTTCGCTGTTACGCAGGCGTCGGCGCTCCCGTGCCTGCTGGGTACCGTACTGGGCATGCATCGCTTGCGATGCACGTGCGCGTTGTGAGTTGATGTCTTGCAAAAGTGCTTTTCTGCGCCGAGCAGCAGAGTCTAAGGCAGCCTGTGCGCGTCCTCGTAGGCGAGCCAGGACGGTGTGATACTGCGCGCTGTTAAGATCCAAGAGTGGTGAAAGGCTGCGGACAGAGGTACGGCTGGCTATCTCGTATCGCCTGTGATTGGCGCGCGAAGCACGGTGCACGCTGTTGACCTTTTGTTGTAAATCGCTGGTGATGGCGGCGCTTACGGTATTGTATGCAGCATGGGCGCCCTTAATTTTCAATGCACACCTGTTTGCGAGGCGAGAGAGTGCAGCATCCCTGCTGGTAGCAATTGCAGCGAGGCTGGGAACAACTTGTACCCCATTGTCCGCAGTACTGGGCGCCTGAGGTTGGGCGGGCCCCGTTGGCCACGTGATGGGAGACAAGGCAGCAACTGTGTGTGTGTTTGTTTGTGAGAAAAATATTTCTGTTGGGTCAAAGTCCTCGCGCGAGGTGCCGTTCGCAGGTTGCTTTCCTTTGCTATTTTTTTTTTTTTTTTAATTCAGCATAGAAATACTAGATATGTATGGAAATAAAGTAATATTGCTAGGATTTAACAGGTTTGAACTTAGGGAAATAAATTATAGCCAGAGTCTGGCGCTTTCAGCAAGGTCTACTGGCCCAATGGAAAGGCGTCTGACTACGAATCAGGAGATTGCAGGTTCGACCCCTGCGTAGATCATTGTCAATAACTCCAGATCATCATGTGCGATGGTCTGAAGTTCTTTTTTCTTCCTGGCACCCCATGCAACCTTTTGCGACCTTAGGAGAACAATCAATCTATTTGGCAACCCCTGCACAAATCCCATGTAAAACAAGACTCGTATCCTTTGCGAATTTCAAGTCGAAACAACGCGGCGAGAGGTTGAGAACCATTCCTTCCTCCACCTGGCACCCTATGCAACCTTTTGCGACCTTGGGAAAAGCCTTCTTGTTGACGGAAAACAAGGTTTTATCAATGACGGACTCAGCGATGACGAAATAGGAAATCAGTTACATTGTGGAGTCCTTTAAGAGACAGATGACGATCTATCTTAAAGAGCCGGGGTCAGGTACCATAAGGACTACTGGCATAATCGACATTTAAAAAATGTTGGCCTTACATGGAGTTAGTATAGGGTTGCCAAATAGCAGTGTCAACCCGGGTTGTCAAATAAATTGTCCCATTTTGTTTGGCGGCAACAGCAGCATTGTCGGGTTGTCAGTCTCAAAGCTGCTGATGAGGCGTGGGAATTGTTGCAGGTCTTTGTCTCACGTTTCCTACGTCTCGTTTGCTCTACTCACTTTTCTGTTTGTATGGTAGGAAATGACGCGCTCTTGGTGAAAGAAGATCTCCAGCTATCAAAATCCTCTCTACAGGTTCTGTTAGCATGAGGTCAACCATCTCCCGATTCCGCTTGGAGGAGACTGAGTGGAGTTCTAAAGCGAATAAGAAATAACGGTGGTGCGTCTCGAGCGCTGCGGAGAATTTTTGCTTTCTTGTGTCAAGGTTCAATAAAAATCTAGGAAAAAGGCGCCATCGCGCGACGGGATGTTATCAACGTTGCATAGGCGCGCAGTGTGGATTCAATCGCTTATAATATGGTATGAATGTAAAGCTCTTTGAGAATACTCTGGCACGGTGCTATTATTCTGATCTAATTTCAAATACTTACGCATGATAGCTCTGTCCATGCGCCGTAAGGGTAGAGAGAGACAAGTCCTTGCACCCTCCATTCTGGGTCTCATCCCGTTACTTTACTACTGCCTTGGTAGAATAGTGCTTTGCAGTATCCGGAGCGGGCCCGCTGATCATTTCGAACAGGGACCCATCAAGACATGCTGTTTTTCTGGTGTGCATCGGTAGTTTGCTCTTGATAGGAAGGCAGCAGTACAAGGATAGTTTTTGCTGCTTCATTTGTTTCTCGGAGAGTACTTTGTTGTCGCCTTTTTGATCCACTGTGCTTCACAATAAGCGTCGCTCGTTGAACTTTTTCGGATATTAAGCCGAGAAGAGGCAGCTTAGGATTTTATTTAGGCAACAATGGATGGCCATAGACGCCGTGGTTGACGCCATTTTACTACTCTCTCGCATGAGAATATGTCAGATATCGCCATAGGCTAGTTAAAGGAACACAGAGAGGGGTCCATATGGTTTGTTGATAGTTGGCGGCTGTTTGAGCAAGTGCGCGATCGTTGCTTTTCTTGGGAACAAACACTGCTTTTGACGCTTCTGATTGGGTAGTTGAGAGCACTCCTACTCCTTTGTGCTTTGTTTTGAACTGCCAATTTTGTTTATCGTTGTGGTTCTATTCAGTACAGGTCGACGTTCATTGCCTAACGATCCACCAGTAAACAACCAAATGCATTAGGACCGAGGGCAGGTGTAACACCGACGCCTGAAGAGATCGAGAGATCGCATGGCTTAGAAGAGAGACAAGGGCGCGGCGAACATAGGAACCGGGGGAGTAATCTTTGTGCAAGTGCAAGTGCAGGAAAGGAGGTGAATAGAGTTATAGTCTGCCATTCCATGCGCAATATTTCTTGCCAAATACACCATTGCGAAGACGTCAAAGCCTTTTTGCTCACTTCGCCGATTTGCAGCAAGGGCGAGGCTATAGTATAGCTCAATAATGGTCCAATGCGCTTGGCCCTTCTATTCAATAGACCTTTCTCTTCTGGGATGGCCATTCAAAGCCAGTGTCCACTGCAACACTGACATATTCACCTTCACGGTCAATCCAAACACCATCCCGAGTCTCGATCGTATTTTTGTCTCTGTTCCTGATTGCTGGCGCGCTATAAAATGAGGACTCGGTTTCCCTGAAGTCTGTTGCTCTGCCAATCAGATACATCTCAAAATCTCACACTCTTTCCCTCTCCACACTCGGCTGAAGAAGAGTTGGACGTGTGCCTGACCATACTATTAGCTTAATACCGGCCCGCCCGCTCTTACATATACCCTTCGTCCTCGCCTGCACAACATCCCTTTCCTATCGCCATCATGACCGCAGGCAACCGTTCCTCTGCATCCATACACGATGAAAAGATCCCTATCGAGGATCCCGTAGCCCCCATCCCTCACTTCCCATCCGAAAACAAAGGCGATATCAAAGACGAGCTTGCCGCTATCGAGGCCGATGCTGGCTCTTTGGGGGACGAAGAGGAACTCGAAGAGTCCATCCGACTTGTGCCCAAGATCGTCCGCGAACTAGTCTCCATGGAGGATGATCCTACTCTCCCTACGGTCACCTTCCGGTAAGATAGATCGGTTCATACGTCTTTAATACTCGTGATAGGAGAGCGCGGAAAGATTATTGTTCTCATATACAACCGTTTTTTTTTTTTTTTTTTTTTTTTTTACAGCTACTTTGTGCTCAGCACGCTCTTTGTCGCCCTTGGTGCAGTCATCAGTCAGATCTCCTGGTTCAGAACCACATCTGCCTCGTACTCGATGTTCTTTGTCCAAATCGTATCGTACTGGCTTGGTAATCTCATGGCCCGTGTCCTGCCCTCCAAGGACATCAACCTCGGACTATTCAAGTTCAACCTCAATCCTGCTCCGTTCTCGATCAAGGAACACGTCTTGATTACTCTCGCGTAAGTCCGAGTGGGCTGTAGGTCCATGAATGGGATATTAGATGCCTAGGCAACACTTTTTTTTTCCGTCTTCTTATGCTGAATCTTTCTTGTTGAACCTTCTACAGTGCAAGTGCTGGCGCGACCTCCAATTTGGGAGAGATCATCGTTTCGGTAAAAGATATTTTCTACCATGAGCAGATGCATCCGCTGGCAGCCATCTGCCTCATGTGGGCTACTATCTGGACTGGATACTCGTTCGCAGCCATCGGACGCAGCTTCTTGCTCTACGACCCCGATCTGATCTGGCCCTCTGCCCTGATGCAGACTGCCCTTTACCGCACTCTTCGCGGCGAGGGCCAGTCTTTGGACATTTCCCGAAAGCAGATCCGTGTCTTCTGGGCAGTCTTGATCGGAGTCTTCTTCTGGTCTTTCCTCCCCGAGTACGTCTTTCCATTCGCGTCCTCATTGGCGGTCCTCTGCTGGTTCGCTCCCAGGAACGATAGCGTCAAGTTCATCAGCAGTGGCTTCGGAGGCATGGGCTTTCTGAACTTCACTCTCGACTGGTCTAATATCACCTCGACTATCATGGTCTCTCCTTGGTGGACTCAAGTCATTGGCTTCGTCGCCTTTGTCCTTTCCGTCTGGGTCTTGGTTCCAATCGTCCATTTCACTGGCATCTGGAATGGCGACAAATTTCCTCTCATGTCCAACCGTCTCTTCATGGCCAACGGTACCCGGTACCCTTTCACCGAGCTCACTACACCCGATGGCCACTTCGATGAGCAGGCTTTCAAGGATCTCGGAAATGTCTACATGTCAACGTACAATCTCTGGGGAATTTTCTTTGGCTATGCAACCTTCCTTTCGGCTTTTGTCCAAATCTTCTTGTTCGGGCGTAAGAAGATCTGGTCTACTCTGCAGCACCTTCGTAACAAGCAGCAGCACTCCTTCAAGGACCGTCTCAATGTCTTGATGTCGGAGTATGAGGAAGTGCCTTTGTGGTGGTACATCCTGCTCTTTGCCTGCTGCTTCACCACGATGTTGATTTTGATTTTCACCCAGGACTTGTACTTGCCTTGGTGGACCTACATTGTCGGTGTTGTCCTCGGCGCCTTGACCGTTGTTCCTATGGGATTCATCTACGCCGTGAGTGCATATCAGGTCAGCACTGGAACCTGGAATGAACTGATGTAAGATATCCCCGCTTCACATAATATGAGGAGCTTGACAATGCTCTAAATAGTTCGCTGGCCTTCATCGCTGATTATCTTTCTCTCATTCCCGCTAGTTACGGATACATGGCCCCCGGAACCCATCCTGTCGGATCACTTGTCTACCGTGTTGTCGCTGGACAGTGCTGGTACCGTGCGCAGAGTATTTTGCAGGACCAGAAGATCGGTCACTACATGAAGGTCAGCCCCCGCGCCACGTTCTTGTCTCAGCTCTGGGGTAACTTGATCGGTGTCCCAATCAACTATGCTGTCATTCGCTGGGTCATCGACACCAAACGTCCGTACCTGGATGGCACCGAAAAAGATCCTCTTGGGCAGTGGTCTGGTCAGGCCCCTCAGAGTTATCTGAACCAGGGTATCCAGTATGGTCTCGTTGGGCCGACCCGTCTGTTTCAGGATGCCATCTACGGTCCCCTCCGCTGGGGTTTCTTACTAGGAGTGATAGCGCCTGTGGTCATGTATCTCTTACACAAGAAGTTCCCCCGCGCAAAGTTCCACCTCTGGCACAGCACCATTTTCTTCTCAAGCATGGAAAACTTTTATGGAAACGTCTCGACCGGCCCCTTGTCGTCCTTTATCGGAGGGTTTTTCTGTATGTACTATTTCTTCCGCTACAGGCACGCTGCCTGGGTTAAGTACAACTATTTAATCGGTGCCGCTGCCGATACGGGATTGTCCCTGGCGATCCTTGCCATCTTCATCTTCTTTGGAAGTGCAAAGATCATTGAGATGCCAGTATGGTGGGGTAATGATCCTGATTCGGTCGAAAAGTGCTACGGATCCGGTGCATAAACGGTCCCTCAGGCGGGAGTGTATAGAGCATACCACGCACTCCTTAGGCATTACGCCTTCTATTGTACATATAGTCCATTTAAATCCAATCTCAAACATCTTTAAACCCTGACATGGACACAACATCTTGCGATTTTAAGTTTGACACAGCCAACAGCTAAGCGCGTACACATTCCCGATCTATACATTGACAGCTTAAGATCGAGGAAGCAAATATGCAGCAGCACATTGAGCAAAAGTATAGTGAAGGGGCAAGTTTAATGAGGTCGATGAAGAACAAAAAATACAGGCAGCAGAAAGAAAATAACAATAATATAAAAAAGAAATAGTATCGCCGCAAACGGCTCAACAGCAGACTTAGTCCGAATCCGAGTCCTCCTTCTTGACCTTCTTCTCCTTCTTCTCCTTCTTATCCTTCTTGTCCTTCTTCTCCTTCTTCTCCTTCTTCTCCTTCTTCTCCTCCTTCTCTTCGGTCTTGACCTTCTTAGCCTTCTTCTTCTCCTTCTTCTTGTCAGAGTCAGAGTCACTCGAATCGGCAGCCTTGCGCTTCTTTTCCTCATCGTCCTCCTCCTTCTTAACTGCAACAGCAGCAACAACAGGTGCGATAGGGTCATCGCGGTTGTAGTCGACATAGCCCTTCTTCCAGCCCTCAGGTGTCTCATCAGTCTGGCGACCATACTTGTCCAGCTTGCCATCCTTGATCAGCTTCTTCTTCTCCTGAGCCTTGGGTCCCAAACCCCAGCGACGGGGATAGGTATCGCGCTCCATGATCACACGCTTGATCTTGGAGACAACTCCGTGGTCGCACGTGGCCATGACAGCCGTCGTCATCTGAGCAATACCAAGAGCAATGGCCTCTCCCTTGGTGGTCATAAGCACAACCTCCTCGTTGACCTCAATTCCAGATTCGTAGCGGAGAAGACCGGGGATCATGAGCTTGGCTCCGTAGCAGATGGCATTGACGGCGCTGTCCTTGACAACAATACGCTTGTAGGTGGTCAAGAGCGTCTCGAGAGGGCGGACGACCTTGCGCAGGTACGACTCATCCTTGGTGTTGTCGTACATCCACTGAGCGTCCAGAACATCGTGCATCGTCACAATATCATCCTCCTCGCCCATATGTCCTGAGCGCACACGACGAAGCTCCTGCATGTGTCCTCCAACGCCGAGCAACAAACCCATATGCACGCACATCGTACGCATGTACGTTCCAGCCTCGCAGGCAACCCAGAAGACAGCCAAGTGGCGGTCATTGTCGAACTCGAGCAGCTTGGACTCGTGGATCGTACGGATACGGAGCTGACGCTTGACGGCAGAGATCAGAGGAGGGCGCTGGAACAAGGCGCCAGTCAAGGTTTCGAGGGTCTATTGAGGCAATCACAATTTTGTCAATTGTGTAGGCAACAGAATCAGTCAAGGTAGTCCGTCAACCCTAAGCATAGATATCCCATATCACAATGTCTATGGTATAAAAGATTTCGATCCCATACCTGTGCCAACTTCTTCTCGGACTCGATGGCGTCGTGGAGACGGAGGATACACACGTACTCCTTACCGGCACCCTGCTGGGACTTGACCAGACGGGTAGCACGATCAATACACACGATCAAGCATCCAGTGACCTTAGGGTCGAGAGTACCACTGTGACCAGTCTTCTCAACACGAAGAATGCGACGGACCCAGGCGACGACCTCGTGAGAGGAAGGGTTGGCGGGCTTGTCCAAGTTGATGACACCGTATCTATACCGACAGACAGCCGAGGCATGATAAGTCAATTGATCTGCATGCGAATGTATGTTGTAACAATACGACCTGAGAAAATATCCTGCCATACCTGACGTATTCAGCGAGCTCACGTCTCAAGGGAGAGCAACCACTAGGGATAGGGGTGTAGTGAGCGGTGCGGACGTTCAGCTTATCGTAGTTCTATTCGGAGTAATAGAAGCAATCGAAAGTGTCGGTGGGCGTGGATCAAAGGATGGCAAAAATGGAGCTGACGTTAGTCGCTGTATGGTCCTGTTGCAAGTGTCGCTTCAAGTGCAGCTGATATGTTGGGTCGTACCTTCAACAACAAGGGCCAGTCGGCAGTGTTCAAGGTGGGGGTTGCATCCGAAGGCTTGATGGTAAAGTCGCCCTTCCGCTGGGTTTCCTCAATACTCTTTGACTTGGTGGACATGGTGCCGGCTGGGATGTGTGATTCGACAAGGAGGGAGAGCAGGGAAGCATGCACTGAGCGAAGGCGCTTTTTCTTTTCTTTTTTTTTTTCTTGGATTGTTTTGGATCGGATGCAAGCCACAACTCCGGGTGCAATTGTCACGTTCTTTATTGGGCGCTCTTTTTGAGCTTACAAAAAATAAGATATTGCTGCAAGAAATGAAAGAATACGATGATGCGATGGTATTGGGAACGCACAGAAATGAGCGAGAATAACAACTGATAGACTGATAGGCAGGGTAAATGCTTGATGCAAAAATGAAAGAAGAGTGCGGACAAAATCAGGGCATATTTGTACAGGAAGGCGGTAGCAAATTAGGCATTATTCACAGAGCGGCTGGAGCAGGATTAAGGAAGACAGAGGATGCAAAAATGAATGATATAAATAAAGCAATGAAAGAGAGGAAAGAAATAGAAATAGCATGTACAAGAACAGGAGACAGGGGACAACAAGGCTTTTAGGTCGTGCTCAAGCAAATGGAAACATAAGAAAACAGTGATAAGATGGTAGATATGAAAAAGAAAGGACAACAACAAGAAAAAGGTGCAAAAAATAGTAAGGGGATGGGATATGGTGCTGCTCATATGATGGACCGTGCGCTACTCTGAGAACTGGAGGGATCGTCCGACTGTGAACTCCTCTGTTCCTTAAGCATAAATCGCTCCGGATCCTCTCCAGCTAGCGCCTTCATCCATTCGGTCCATAAGCGCTTCCTTTCTTTCGACAAAGGCGCGGTTTTGGTGTTCGACTGGGATTCTCTCCATAGGGTCCTGTAGCGACTGCGTTTGCATCATGCCTGGAAGTGTCGAGCCAGGCATAAGTCCTGGGTACTGAGAGTGAGGAGCAGGAGTCCTATTTGGACCAAGTCCAAACTGATTTTGCATGGGTGGACTATTCACGAAAAATGAACGGCAGAGCTATATTAGCTCTCTAGCTTATATGCGGTCAAAGAAAGAAAAGCACTGGACACCTACCGAAAGTTAGGCGCGCCCATCATTGAGGTCCCATGGGGCGACATGGGCTTGGGCTCATTTTGAGCACGTCCCCATGACAGACGGATACGTGAATTACCTAAGTGGAGTACAGAAGAAAATAGCGTTGGTGGGGAGCCATAAAAACAACCGGGTTATCCAGTATCCCAAGAGGGTGTCTTACCAATCTGGTAGCCGTTCAGTTGGTTAATGGCCATTTCCGCGCTCTGCCTGTGCACAAACTGAACAAAGCCGCAGCCCTTTCCTGGTGGAATTTTGACGTAGGTGATCTCGCCGTATGCGGCAAACACACCTCTGAGCTCGTCCTCATGTGTCATTCCTGAAAGTCCTCCAACAAAGACGGTCGTGTTGTTGGGGTCCGTGAACTGGTTCAAGGTGTGCTGAGGGCTGGTGGGTTGAACTGGGGTTGCATAGCCGTAGCCTGCAGAGGCCATGCCCATACCTCCGATCATACTCCCAGGTCCAGCAGCTCCCATGCCACCAACGGGCGCTTTGTTCTTCGGAGTTGCCATGGATACTCTGATCGGACGGCTGCCACAGTAAACACCCTGCATTTCCTGAAGGGCCCGAAGCTGCTCGCTCTCGTCACCAAATCGGACAAAGCCATAGCCTATATGAAAGCGATTTTGAAGGGAATCAATTCGAAGAACAAAAATCATTTGATACGACAGAAGCAGGCAGATATCTGCAGGCTGTAAGCATACCTCTGGACATGCCTGTGGCGGGGTCGGTCATAATCTTGGCCGATCTGCAGGACACGTATCGTTCCTGAAACGTGGCCTAGATAATAATTAAATGCGGGTGATGTCGATTAATAAAGACGAAACATTATCATCACCGCATGAGCTAGTACTCCGCAGCGTGTCATTCGCGTCGGTTTCTTGTAACGGAGGGAAAAGATCAGTGTCGACATACCATAAGCATGTACTCTGTGACCTCAGGTGAGAGGTCCCCAACAAACAACGAGTACTCCTGACCAGCAGCCCCGCTATGCAGTAGACCAAAACAAAAAAGGGCAGAGAGGATGTCAGTAGAATGGAGCAGACCAGCTGTCAGCCGCGTAGTGACAGTCAGTTTGAGGGGCAAAAGATGAGGCGATGGCACTTACGCAGTCGCAACGGGGCTTCCACCTGAGGCCCAGTTAAGCTTGAACACTTTGTTGGTGCCAGGAATCAGAACGCCATTAAGAGTGCCGATAGCCTTGACTGCTGCCGCAGGGCTAGAAAGCTCAACAAAGCAGTAACCAGCACTCGCTCTAAGAGAAAAGATAATAAGAACAGAGTCAGTTTTGAAATCATTTCGCACTTCCGACCATTGGGACGCCGTTGCATCTACACTTGAACCGACAGAGACAACCTGAAAATAGGTGCCTAAGAGGCGCAAGCGGAACACTTACCCTGTGTACTTGTCGCGAATCATTTTGACCGCAACCTGTTCACCAGCGCTGTACCAGGCACCGCGAATCCAGTTTTCATCCATCCAAGGCTCGAGCTCACCCATCCTATTTGCCGGTGAAATATAAATGACGCGTGAGGGTCGTTCGTTAGCCGAAGAGAATCCAAGTAATCCAACTTACAGCCAGTCGTTTTGTAGAAACGTTGATCTGAGTCCAGGGCACAGACAATGGGAGGTGTTGCAATTACCAGAGAGAAGCTGACGAGTTACCGATGCCGGCGTGCTGTGGTTGCTGCTGCTGTTGGAAAGCAAGTGGGTCGTAGTAGGCCATTATGTCCGAGGAAGTATTGTGGATACGATGGTTACTGAGGTCAAAGTGTGATATTGGTCAGAGTAATAGGCCAGAGGAAAGAGCTGAAGAATGAGCCGAGGGGAAAGACGCCGCGGGGAATGGCCTAGGTAAGAAAGGTGTAGGTAGTAAGGAGGAATCAGTGGATATTAAGAAAGAGTATAGGATAAAGACGAGGGAGAGAATGAGGGTGATGAAGATGATGAGATTAAGGAGCAAAGGGAGCAAGAGGAGCAAGAGGAACGAGGAAGGATTTGTCAAAGGCGAAGGAAAAAAAAGGGGTCACGACCACTATGCCAGCACATACACCTTTGTCCGACACGTTCTTTCGCGGTTCATAAAATCGCTCTTCATAATGCCTTGTCCGTTTATTTGAACTAGGATTGGCTATATCGAACAGTTGGATTCGATGCTCCTCCATCCTGTATCCTCTCCAGCTCTAAGAGATAAAGACGACGATGTGAGGTAAAATGAGATCATAGCTCGATTAATAAACATGACCCAAGCATGTCGCGAAACCACTGAAGTGCATGGATTTCAGCGACTTGCCTGCCTGCACACCCGTGGGCCGGGAAAAATCCATCCGGGCCCTCTTGAGTTTTGGTTGCTGATGCTCGATGTCCAGTTGACGCGCATCATTGAGCGTGATATGAATCCTATCGTATTGTTGTCGTTGCGCATCCGACCGCCCTATAGAAAGAAGGTCCAGCATCTGATGACTATAGTCTAATTATTGGGGCCGAACGTGCAAGTGCAGTGGTTAGGATGGATATTCCGAACACCTACGCATCGAACCCGCGCGAAAAGTTTGAGCGGGCCAAATACCCTCAACATCAATCGACCGTGTCCTGAAGGTTTTCATCCATGGTTCACCTCGCACAAGGTCTGGGAATGGTTCGTCAATTAGCTTCGAGGCCAGATAGATTGACCCTGCAGCTATTGTGTGGGGTGGATATTCAAGACAGACTCCTATCTTGTAGCTGTTATCACAATGATGAGCAGAAGACCTGTTAGATCTAATGGCCTTACCATGTTGAACATTGTCCCAAGATGGCTCCGGTGCGTAAAATACCTATCCCGTGCAATGTCCCATGCATGCCGTGCCAAACGTTGCGAACCTATAGTAAGATAAGGAAGTATTCAGTGTCTGTTCCAGATTACAGCGCCGTAGTCGCCATAGTGGAGGATATGTTTTCGATGGATGATGGTACGCCACTGTATTACCATTCATAATTCTGACAAACTTGATGATATATTTGTATGGGTGGATGATGCGAAAATCAAAACAGATCGATTCTAGAACCATTTTCTCGTATGAAAGAACCCGCTTCCGTTGCTCCTCCCCTTCCTGTAATATGCGATATTAATAGATAATGGGTGAGGATGTCGTTCACAATCCCCGAAATCAGTTGTGTTGTGCATGCTGCCACGGCGTCTCGCAGCCTTACTTTGCTTTCAGGGTCCCAGTCCGTCGCATGTGGATGTCGATAGCTGTAGTTCACCATCATGATATCTTTCAGCTTCTTGATCGTGTCTTCGACCTTGGATGAGACAAAAAGGCATGCCATCACGACCTACGAAAAGGCGAAAAGAGGAAAGGACAAAAGATCAATATCTCGCGACATACTTGACTAGTGTTGTATATCCATTGAATTCATTTGATTGTATTTACCTCGCTTCCTGCATCCGGTACAGAGTTGAACATGTAGAAGCGATGAAGTAAAAGTTGTGCTGTGCTGATGGTGTGCTGAGGACTACAAACATCGGTCAGTCCACATGCTCAAGTCCAGCTGGTCCGTTTCAAGTTAACCGAGTGCCATGTTATGCTCTTACAATCCAATCCGCTTGCCGATAGCTGCAATGACTTCACATAACTCTCTCCTCATGTCTGTCTGCCGATGTAGACTGATGCCAGGGTGACGAGCGACATATATGGTGACCTGGTCCTGTTTGCTGTAATACGTCCGTGAGACGCGATTGATAGAATTGAGTATAGGTACAGACTGCGACGGTTGCTGTAATGACTGCTGCTGTATGTCTGAAAGTTGGGACCCGAGTTGTGCGACAGGCTCTGGCATGTTGGCGCTAGGGGTTGGGATGGCAGCCTGTACTTGGTGCTGCTGTGGTTGGGACAGAGTGTGTCCGCGTGAGGGTCCCGAAGACGGCGTGCTTGGGCTGGTGGAAGTCGGACGACTAGGCGAGTACATTGGTTGTTCCAGTCCAAGTCCAGTCTTGTCGGAGAGGGTCAACAGCGTGTGGAATGTGATCGACACTGAGTTCGTTGTGGTGATCAGGTTGAGTGGAGACAAGGACACCCAAGAGCAAAGAGGAGGTTCAGCATTAGAGTGGCTTGTCATACCTAGCCTCGCTTCATGTTCAAAGGAGACTGGCCTCGTCTCTGCATCAGAACATGACCATGGCCCAAGCACCGCGACAGCGCCATCACAGACATCACAGGGGCGCACCGGCGCAGCGAAGGGTCGATGCTGAGGAGCCCACAAGGCAGTGTCCCAGCTCCAGGGAACCAAGGGAGACAACATCGCAGAGTACAGGCAATAATTTGCCTGAAGCACCGCAGGATATGGCCAGTCTAAGAGAGGATTTGGGCCGGATATTGGAGCAGACAAAGGATTTAGAATCCGACAAAATCAAAAACGTCGATGACACCCAGCAATTCTCACAGGTGAGTGGTACTATGGATGTCACCGCTACCGAGACGTTTTCGAGAGCTAGGAATCCCAGGCGGAGCTCAATGATGGCATATTTTAACCATGGATCGCGACCTTCGTTAACTACGCAGGCTGCTCAGAAAAAACTTGTCGTTGCATGTCAGGCGCTGTCAGCTAGATCATCGGAGGATGTGGATATACTTTCTAAGGTTGTTTTCGCTTTGTTCAACCAAGATCTGGTCAAGGTAATGGGAAAGCGCAATTCAGTTTCAAGGCGCAGAAAGATCTGTCATCTTCGCGTATATCTTACCTCTCAGATCAACAATATTAGCCACTACCACCAGAAGGCTCAAATAGGCACATCATAGACATCCTGTGCGGTTTTTTCCTAGCTGCATTGAGATACGAGGAGTTACAGGAATGCAAGGACAAGGAGACCAAGAAGAGTAACGTCAACATCAACAACCTCTTGACCGAGACCTTTGAGCGCGCAAGAATCGACATCCTTCGTGCCCTAAGCGCAGTTCTATTCGAGAAAGGAGCATATGTGAAGGATGTAAAGTAACGACGATATTTAGCGTTCCCATGGATGTCAATGGCTAATGCCTTTGCAGAATTGAGGCTGATCTTCGTCCTTTCCTATAGTCGCTTCAAGACCTATTCCAGATGATCGTTGCTGTAGGAGGAAACACAAGGTCGCACGAATATGAACTACGGCGCATGGCTCTCAACTGTATGGCCAATCTGGTGCACAAGACTGGTACATTATTCTCATCATTCCATGAACGGATGTACGAGGTGCTTCTGTCAAACCTCACGGCGATATCTCAACTCGAGCCCTCCTCAATATCGGGACCACTGAGTACAGCACGGCGCAAGGATCGTGGATCAGAACGCAAGGTAGATAATACATGCGGATATGCCCTTTAGCAAAGGTCCTGTTGAGTCGATCTCCTCAAAGAGACCAGTATACCAGAATTAGGTATTAACCAGTGCTCTTCCTTCTTTCACAGCTTATTAGTTCCGCACTCAGGGCGCTACACTTTCTACTGCAGGAGGACAGAAATGTTGCGACGCGATCTATACCGCCCATCATTAGTGTTATCTGTCGATTCATGTTCTTTACATCCGAAAATTGGATCAACCAACCAATTGCCTCCTCATTCTCGAGCGCTTTTAACGCCGGCATTATCCAGCGATCGCCCTATCTCACCCCGAACAACATTATACCCTCCACCAAATTTACAGGCGGTCTCAGCAACACTTCACAGCTACAGGACATTTCTGAATCGCCACATACGTCCTACCGAAGCCTACAATCGTCGGATTCTGAATATTCCGACTCGGAGTCAGGCCTGCACCAAACTCAAAGGAGGCAACATGACGGCAAAGTACGACTTAACGCCCTTCTATGTCTACAAGCCCTCGCACGGGCGGCCCCAAAGCAGCTTCAGCCACACTGGCCAAAATTTTTGACGAGCTCCACTTTCACACCGATGATGGCAGGGACGTATAGGTCTTCATCTCTCGTCGGTTTGATCGCGTATGATCCGATCCTTAGCGTGCGTTCTGCAGCCTGCGTCGTGCTTGGAAACATCGTAGAGAGCTCAAAGCAGTACCTTGCGATGGCGGAAGAAAAAACTGGCCTGTCGGGAGCAAAGAGTCATGCTGGTTTGCTTGCCCTTTCAGAGAGGGTCGGCTTGATGACAAGAGAGATGCATGTTGGTATGGCCTTGGCCATGGACGGTGTGGACGGCTCTCTGGACCAAAATATCACGATCCAGGTGATCAAGTGCTGCTCGACGATCGTGGCCAACTGCTCGTACGAAAAGATGATACCAGGGCTGTCTCTCCTCTTGCTGAGGTCTATCGAGAAGTTTCTGGACTCTAATGGTAAGTACCTCGAGATTTCTCATTGACCGATGCATTGAAAATCTGAGAGTTTGTTACTAACACAGATCATTCATGTTTGCCAAAAAAAAAAAAAAAAAAAAAAGAGCCTGGTCTCCAGGCAGCAACACTATTCTTTCTGACAACATTGATGAGCAACACTTCTGCGCAAAGAGACGTGCGGGATAACGTCTTTGCGCGCTCCAGTGTATTACACAGTGACCCGTTAGATTTCTTATCCCGCCTCCTAATTTTCGTTGAGGCTCCAGATGTTGGTGCGATAGTTCGTATCGAGGGCTGGAGTACGCTACGAGCCATCGCCCAGTTTCATTTTGAAGTGATTAGAGAAGTATGGCCTCGACTCGATGAAGCACTAGCGAGCGGACATAATTCAGAGGACATCAGAGTTCGCTCCGCAGGCCTTTTGTTCTTGGAAGAGTATTCCAAATCAGGCGTAAAGGCACTAGATCCTCTGGTACGCTTGGCTTATTAGCTCCTTGACAGTTACCTGATTTCTTTCTTTTTTTTTAATGTCTTGCGATGTCATGATTTTTTCAGGGTTTACTAATGGCATTTGTTGTGATAATAGACGTCCGAATGGTGGAAGGATGTGATGGAGAGACATATTCTCAAGGCGTTTGCGGAAGAGAGTCCAGCCATTAAAGCCCTAGGATGCGACTGCATCTCGCACCTATCTTCAAATGCCTTTAATGGTCTGCCTGTATGTGTAGAGGGCGTTCCATTGAATCCGGTTCTGGGTATCTTTAGAAATACTAACAACAGTTCTTCATGCCGCACATATTCTTTAGGACCGTCTCGAGATGCTAATCATGTCCTTAGTGCTCGGTACGGCAGTAGACGAACATGCAACTGCGAGAGCTGCAGCCTGCCGTGCAATCGGAGTGTTCATCCTGTTTCCCTCGCTCCGTGAAGACAGCACGCATGCATCGGACATGGCAAGCGCTGTTTTGGGCCTCTGCCAGGACCCCAATCTCAATGTCCGGGTCAGGGCCAGCTGGGCTGTCGGCAACCTGTGTGATTCCTTGGTGCTGCTGAAGACTAGTGAACAGGAACGTGTGCTGGATGAGCTGCTGACACTGGCTCTGTGGACGAAAATCATGAAAACTGCATTGTTGATATGTCAAGACCATGAGAAGCTGAAGTCGAATGGGATTCGCGCGATCGGAGGATTGCTTCGTGTGACATTTCAGGGCATATTAGAGCGCGAGAGACATAGCCTAGTCAAGGATGGCGTGTACACACTAATCAAGTACATGGAGCAAGGTTCTCTCAAGGTAATGAATGATTTTTTTAATGGGCAACATGACGCTTGACATAATTTGACACCAGGTCAGGCTTTGCTTAAAATCGGACTTTTTGTTTCTGTGTTTTGCAATAGGGTCGCTGGAATGCCTGTTACGCGATGCAAAATGTACTACTGAACCCGGACTTTCCGATTGGGTCGACGGCTGGCACAAGTTATGCCCTAGATTCTGATATGGTGTCGTGGACAAAAGACGTCTACGACGCGCTTCTACACGCTATTCAGCAGAGCAAGAATTTTAAAGTCCGAATCAACGCGTGCGCAGCCTTGACAGTGCCCAAGACGCGCGCCAAGTATGGTGACCAGACCATGCTCCGAAAGATGGTGCAGGTTCTGATGACGGCGGTCCAACGTCTGGATGAGGAGCAGGAAGAACACGACTTTGGAGAATTCCAGTATCGTGGGCAGCTCGAGACAAAGATCTTGCGGTGCTTGGATCATTTGCTCCAGCTTACTGGAGGAGTTGCCAGCTTGGAGCTGGAGATGGATCCAGCACTGCGGCGGAGGATTGTGGCTAGTCGTCCAGAGACTGTTGAGGCACAACCGCTGCCGCGGACATCTGTGGAGATTGAGACATAGCCGTCGTAGTTGTCGTCTTAAATAAAATGAAAACTTTCCATGCATCTCTTTAAGCGTTCGTTGTAAACCAAGGGTCCAAACGCGGACTGTGCAACATACGATATGCATTTCAGGAATTGAATCCAGGACTACGGAAGGCTGTTGAGATGTATCAGGTAAGTGTTGACAAACAATGCGAGTAAATAACAAAAAAGCGGAGATCATCCCACTTGAGGCGCAACCAATGATGAAGGTAAGGTGAAGGAGGAGGAGGAGGAGGAGGAGTGGAGGGAACTGCGTGGACATGCAGTGCACATTTTTTAGAGGATCTGTCAAATATGTCTATCCGCGTGCGTATCTTTGATGTATAAGCCCAAATGCAGCACTTGAGCAGAGCTCATCCAGGGTCCAATTGAAAGGGGTGGACATGGCATAAGGTGCGAGAGCCATTTCGTTCTCCGTTCTGTTTGGCCTATTCGTCGTCCCGGTGGTCCTGTCCCCTTGGATCCTGTAATTTCTCCCACCAAGAGCGAAGAGACTGCGCGAGGCAGGCGTAGGAGAAGGCCAGACTGCGTAGTCGTCTCCTCACATCTGACGCTTGGCATATGTTGTAATAGATCGGAGGGGGGATGAATATGAAGGAAGGTATATAGCATGTGTTTGTGTGAAGTGTGTGTGTTATCTGCCCATCCTCCCCTCATCTTCTCGCCATCCATTTTATCCACCCGCCATTGCTCCTGTTTGCTTGTTTGTTTGCTTCAACTGAATTGCTCCCTTGTCCATCTCTCCGCTTCCCTCCCTGCTCAATCTTCTCCTTCCTCCTCAACGCTCATTCCCTTTCTCTGCAATCAACATCCCATCTCCGGCCTTGTCTCATTCCTGTCTGCTGGCCAGGAACTGTTATTTCCATTCAACATTTCCTGTCTCCCCTCCGCAAGGCCCTTCCTTCCGCATTTAAGGTTTCGCCTTCTCCCCAACAGACAATGCCAGTGCCGGTGCCAGTGCGCTGGAGGATATTGTCGCGGCTGTTGACAGGCACAGTCGTCGCATTGGCTGTCGCAGGTCTGATCTCGGCACAGTCCACTCTTATAACCACAACCGTTGTTGCCACCTCAACCGTTACTGCCACTGTCACCTCTACTGCGACCCCCTCACCAGCAGTCTGTCAGCCCCAGTACGACTGTTCTAGCTCTCCCAAGGTAAACCTGCACACCTTTTCGTCACCATGGACAGGTCGCTTTTTTCAAACAAACAGACAAACAAACAACTGATAGTCCCTCTTATTTCAATTTACTGGATATCATATTAGGGCTGCTTAAACAATGGTGTCTGCTCAAACAAGATGTGTACCTGTATGCCAGGGTTTGGTGGAAACGACTGCAGCCTCTTGGCCTGTGGGTCGCCCTTGACCGACCCTTCACAACGACCTACAGCTCCTCCTAACACGGGCTGTTCCAAGTGCGACGACGGATTCGGCGGATTCAACTGCAATGGTAGCGATACTCTTTGCATACCTGTCTCCTTGCAATGGAGGTGACACAGACCGTTGAAGCTGACCGTTTTTTTTTTTGGTTTCTTATTCACATAGTCTGTCAGACAGATGCTGGGTGCCAGTCAAAACCACCCTCTCGCACATCCTTCCTCGGCAACGAGAACATGGTCTGCAATAAGGATCCCGAGGTCTATTACGACTCTTTCATGTCCTGCGCAGTCCGCGCCCCCGAGCTTACGGGCTTCTTCCCTGGAAACTACACCCTCACGCTCGATCTCAATTCCGTTAACAAGAGTGTGAATGCCCAGTTATGGTTGGGACAGGCGGAGCAGTTCTTCTGTGATGCCCCCAATTGTACCCTCGCGACCACCGAGCAGAATGGAGTCGTGCAGACCAAATGGGATTGTCCAGTGCTCAAATGCAATTGTATCACGCCCACGTTGATGTGTGGAGGGATCCCTGGGCCGGTCATTACATTGGGCGATACGATCGATTCTCTCCATGGACCGTTCTCGCTGACGTGTCCACATGGCAGTAAGGATTGCGACTTCTTTATTGCGGATCTAGCAGGATTCTTCCCGACGGGTTTGAAAATGGTTGACTGTGATATGGGCGAGTGTGTGTTCCCGTCCGAGATGCAGTCGTCGGTCACGACCGTCAAGGCGACGATGGCACCGGGTGTGATTGCTTGCCTGGCGATTCTGGGTGCTTTGATCCTTTTGTTGATCGTCATTTGCGCGGTCGCTCGCAGAAACCAGTTGATTCTCAGCCGCACGCCCTACACACTCAACACCGAGGCCGCATCGCTCGAGTTCCGCAATGTGGGGTACACGCTCAACAAGGATGGATTACAGATCCTGAATGGTATCTCGGGTGCAGCCCCCGCAGGTGTGGTCCTGGCAGTGATGGGTCCCTCTGGGGCGGGTAAATCAACGCTGGTGGATATTCTGGCGGGCAAACGCAAGGACGGAAAGGTGGCGGGTCAGATTCTGTTGAATGGCAAGCAGGCTCATGAAAGCGATATTCGTCGGGCAGTTGGATTTGTCGATCAGGAGGATACGTTGCCTCCGACCCAGACTGTGTATGAGGCCGTGCTGTTCTCGGCCATGTTGCGTCTTCCGGAGGCGATGCCGGTCTACCAAATCCATGAGCGTGTTGCGGAGGTCATTGAGATGCTGGGCTTGACACACTGCGCCAACCGAAGGATCGGCAATGTGACATCGCGTGGTATCTCTGGAGGCGAGAAGCGTCGAGTGTCGATTGCGCTAGAACTGATCACGCGCCCTCCGATCCTGATCCTGGACGAGCCAACCTCTGGTCTGGATTCATACAGTGCCCATATGGTGGTTGAGCAACTCTGTAAATTGGCGGCTAGCAAGACTACGACGGTCATTTTAACGATTCACCAGCCTCGCTCGGATATCTTTCACATGTTCGATCAGGCCCTTGTTATCAGCAAGGGCGAGGCGCTTTATTTTGGAGCTACAAGCACGGCAGCGGAGTACTTTCGACGACGGGATCTGGTTTGTCCGGCCAACTACAACATCGCGGATTACTTGTTGGATATTGCGATGGATCAGGACCTGATTAACAAGGCCAAGGCCTTTGAGGGCAACGAATATGAAAAGGATGGTGTGTCGTCTGCACATCAGACCTACGTCTCCGGAAATGTGGTCTCACGGCGTGCAGTAGGTGCTAACAACAACAGCAACAGCAATAACAGCCATACTGATTCCGGCGACATCACACTAAGATGGATCGAGCCATCGCCGCACGAGACCGCAGTGCGGATAGAAGACACAGGGTCTTCGGGTTCGTCAACACCATCGCTCTCGGACAGTGTAACCGCTAAGCGCCAAAAGACCGTTTACTCAACCAGTTTCCTCACCCAACTCCGTGTGATTATGAAGCGCAACTTCCAGACCCTGATCCGCGACAAGTCCTTACTGGTGCTTCATCTGGCGGTGTCGATCATTTTGGGTATCTTTATTGGCGGACTCTATTTTAAAGTACCCATGAACCTGGCAGGCTTCCAGAACCGTGCTGGTTCACTGTTCTTCATGCTTGCTCTTCTCGGTTTCAGCAGTATCTCTGCCCTGGGCGCATTCACGGACATTCGGACGCTGTTCATCAAGGAGCGCTCGAATGGTTACTATCCGCCGACACCGTTTATCATCTCGACATTGCTCTTCGATCTAATCCCTCTACGCATCATCCCCTCGCTCTTTATGGGCTGCATTTCCTATTTCATGATTGGTCTCTCCCCAGTCGTGGAGACGTTCTTCAAGTTCCTGCTGATCCTCGTGCTGTTCAACGTCGCAACCGCACTCTTTTGCCTGGTCATTGCAGCAGGCGTCCGCACCACCGGCGTAGCATCGTTGGCGTCATCGATCGTGATGCTATTCATGATGTTATTTGGAGGGTTCATGATCAACTCCGGCAACATCCCTGCGGCCCTGACCTGGATCCAGTACCTGTCGATGTTCAAGTATGGATTCGAGGCCTTGGCGGTGAACGAGGTAGCGACTTCAAAATTGATTGATACGATCCAGGGTGTTGCGTTTAATGTGCCTGGATCGTTGATCTTGCAGAAGCTGTTTGGATTTGACTTGGGCGGGTATTGGAGGAATATGATTATCCTGGTTGGGTTCATCGTACTCTTCATTGCCATGTTCTGGACACTTGTCAGCACCCGACTCAAAGAGCGGAAGTAGTCGCACAGTTCTACATCTTGTATAATATTCTACTCCATAGTCATAAACAATATTCATCCTTCTGTTCCTTGCTCATCGCCATACTTGCGAAAAGTCTTTTTTTTTTTTTTGTGAAAGGATGCCATAGGGAGACCCCCGTTTTTGTTTATTATTATTCCAGATAGAAGAACCCTGCAGAGGCGCATGGGTGATCGTTGTAATGGAGAATATCATTTCAAAAGCGGAGCAAACCATTGACGGTTTAATCGAAAAGACCGAATCCCATATCGTCATCGGACTCCTCCTTGGGCTCCTCCTTCTTCTCCACCTTCTTCTCCTCAGTGGCAGCAGCGGAAGCACCACCGGCAGCGGGGGCAGCAGCAGCACCACCGCTGGGGACGGAGGCGAGCTTGGAGGTACCCTCAGCAATGAGCTAATTCAAAAAGAAAGATACAAATAAGATGTGGTAGGATTAGGAAACTGAGCCTGAGATAACAGTGGATGTTATTTCCAAAGATGATATCGTTTCCCGGTGAGTGTTTAAAGGGTTGTTGAAAAGTATTCTGTGTTGCTGTTGACTGCCGTTCGCTTCACGGTCTAAAACAAAAGGTTTCGCCGACAACACCTTGCAGTCGCCAGATCCTTCTTGCTTAAAAATAGTCGCCGATTCCTGATATATTGCTTCATGCTCCTGCAATGTCTTCACTCAACGCCTTCGTTTATGCTTGCTTCGCCTGATTTCCCTATCCTGTACTCCTTTTCGTAAATCCTTCTTCAGTTTGCGACCTTATCCGTACCTCGTTGATGTCCTTGCCGGAGAGCTGGGCAATCAAAGACTCAATACGCTCAGACTCGGCCTCAATACCGACGGTGCCGAGGAGGGTGGTGATGTCCTTGGCGGAGGGGGTGGCGTTACCACCGAGGGTGAGCAAAAGGTAGGCAGCGAGGTACTTCATGGTGACTATAAGACCAAAAAGTGAGTTGGATTAGAATCACTGCACGCTTGCTGATTAGGAGACAGGTATATCCTGGTGGTGTCCAATGGTTCCTGTAAAAGCCGGATAGTGTTTCGTTCATAAAGCCGCCAGCACGATTGTAATCGGATGATCTGAATGTCGCTAGAAAGCAAATATGTCGTTCCTTGGTTTCTTTCTTCGCCATGCTACTCAAATGCGTCGAATCACTCCAATGGTTCCTTGGCTCCGTATGCTGACTGTTGGTTAAAATCGATGGACGAACGCATAGGATAGATGGATGGATGGATGGATGGGTGTACGCACCTTCTGTATCGAAAAGTGCGATTTAACTCTTTGCGAGAACTATTCGAATTCGAGAGAGGGGACAAAATTTCGCCTGCTTCTCTGCTATATACCGATATGCCGTGCGCTTATCACGTGCTATCCATTGCCCAATGCCGAAAGGCTTCGCAAGTCCTTTTACTGCTTGATTTTTTAATTAGGAAAAATGGGGTAATATACAGGAGATATGACTATAAATAAATGGCGACGAATGGCAGTGGTGTATGTACAGAACCGAATACGACTATGGCAACTTTCTAGGACGAACCAGTCAGGCTGGAAATAAACTCTTTGATGCCGTCTCTAGATAGCGCCTTCTGGCTCCCAGTCTCGCACATGGGAGCGCTCCTTATGGTGCCTGACCTCTCGACGACGCATATGGTGATGATCTCCGCGGCGACGATAATGATCCTCTCCTCCTTCCTCCTCCTCAACTATCACTGCGCTGTATGCTTGCTCCCGGTGTTCCTGGTTTTCTCCCCGGCGAAGCTCCTGTGGCTGATTATACTCGGGAGCTACAGTTGCTGCATCTATGGTTCCATTGTTGATAGAACCTCCAGAATAGGACTCCATGTCCTTGGTCCAGTGTTGTGGCGGTGGGGGAGGTGCTCCGTTCTCGATAGCTTGAGCAATTTTGATTAAGAGGATGGCGTTGACAATAATGATGGCTGCGATTTTTAATACGCGCCATTTACTGTAAAGATGTAGATTGAAGATAGGAAAAAGTGGTTAGTAAACGCCGAAAAATGAAATATTGCGTGGCGTGCAGACAAGCTAAAGAGCTGAAAACGAACCTGTCACGATCTGCCTTTCCGTCCTTTTCCTCCTTCAGGGATGCCTTGCGCTGTCGTGGAGAGGTAAGGCGCAGTGGCAATGAGCGCCAGCGTCCCTGCTGCTGCTGCTCTGGACACTCGTGAGCACGATACACTTGGACCATCTCACTGCGGACCATCGTGTCCTCATCTACCTCATCCTCCACTCCCTCGTTCATTTTTCTGTACATTCGTGCGCGAGAGTCACCTCCCGAGACCTGCTCTGAGCGGTAACGTACCACTAATTCCTCCCAACGAGAGGTACCCTTTGATGCACCCTCCAGAGGACGCATGCGAAGATCCAACCCATCGCACCACCGGACCAATCCTTTCAGCCACAGATTGAATTGCTTGGGCAAGAATGCAACACGATCGTACTCGCCCTGACCGTATCCGATGCGGGGTCCGCGAAGGCGGTTCATCATGTGTTCGAGCTGTCGTCTTCTTGTGCGTAGAGTGGCCGTTCCAGCGTTGCGAATCGCCTCATCGTCCTCCTCCTGGATGAACTCGTACTCGGCAATGGTGCTATCGAAGACAGCATATTTCTCGTGGTGACTCTGGATGCCAAAGTACTCATGCTCCATGACAACATCGACCATGCCGATATAGAGGGACCAGGCCGCGAAGGTGATGAAGACGGCGAGGACGACATCGACGGTGTAGTGTAGACGGGTGGCGACAACGAAGTAGAGACCGACGCTGATGTAGAGGTAAGAAAAATAGGTGATCCACTTGTTCCTGCAGTAGAGTCGCCACTGGATTGCGCAGGATACCCTATGAGTGATAAAGTAAAATGAAGCAATAAGGTCAGGATTGCTTTTAGGATTACATTAACAGCATTAAATGGCGAGAGAGGGAAAAACCATAAGAAGGACAAGAAATGAGAGCACTACACTGCAGCCGAAAAGAGACCGACCAATCATTCGCACACGAATAACATCTGATGGCCCTTCTAGATGTGTGTTTGCTTTTGTGTGTGTTTGTGGTTGAGAGTGTCTGTACAACTCACGCGCCATCCCTACATTGGTCTTCTGTGGCGTCTGTTGCCACTCCACTAGCCCCTGTCCTTCATTTGCCCCTATGTCTAACTTATTTTAGCATGCTGACCACGCTACCTTATTGCCATTAACCTCTTTCACAAACGAACCATACGCATAAACGCTTGCACACTTACCCCCACCCCCACCCCCACATGCTGAAAAATAATAATGCAGAAACCCATATGAAAAAACCAATGGAATGCTTCAAAACAAAAGACCAAAGAAATCTGCACGCCCTCCATCTTCCGTCTTCCATGTCCACCATGCACCTCTTGCACCATAAAAATATACTCATGTCCATGTACACATGTGCCATAGCATACAATTGTCTCTTGCTTTCCCTCAGTCTCTGTTGCTTTTATCGCGGCCGCTGAAAGCAACAAAAATTAAGATGCATGTTGACATTCCACTCTCGCCAAACTCTCGTCTGCGCCATCCAACAATCTTGTCATGATAAAGAGGGGGTATTCTCTCCTCCCTCCTCCCCCTCCCCCCTTTTTTCACTGCAACGCGGCAGCCAACCCACAATTGCATCAACGAACATGCCATACAATCTTGCTTGCTGTCTTAAAATTACTACCGATCAAACAAATAACTAAAAAAAAACCAGGCTTACATGAAAACGGTGTGTCCTGAAAAGATATCGTCCGTACAGGCCTCGACCGTACCGGGAATCATCTGTAACGCAACAATGAACATTTCCCAGAAACCCGTCTTCAAACTCGGACGGCATTCCTCCTTCGGTGTCGGCAGCGTCGTAACTGAGAGTGTCATGGCCCTGTACACGCTCAGTGTTCCAATCACCCAGAGGATTCGTCTCAACACAATCGCTCGCGTAGTCCAATTAGGACAAATCATGCCAATCCCTAGCACCGTAAAGACGACCGAGGTCATCACGAAGGTATTGGCGGGCTGGATATCAGCCTGAGCTGCAATCACATCAAATCCACGGTCGCGCAAGAGAACCTTCGTGTAGGCAGTCTCGACCCAGCGATGGTCTGAGAGTTGATTACAAAAGGCCATGGCGATGCAGACGAAGAAGAAGTAGAGGAAGGCGCAGGCGAGCCGACCGGATTCAGAGTGGGTGAGGCGATACCAGAGCCCTCGCTTGGGTTGTTCTGACAGGGTTGAGTCGGATGATGAAGATGACATTTTGATATCGGTAGCGAAGAAGGAGGAGGTGGAGGTGGATGAGGGGTTGAATAAGTATGGGTGCTGTTGGTGCTGGGAAGGAGGGGGGCTGCTTCCACCGACGAGAGTGCTGGTGTTACTGAGACGGTTGAGTCGGTCGAGTCCGGTTTCGTCGTTGAACTCGAGGGAGTCCTCAGAGTATGAGGAGTAGGCGTAACGGATGTGGTCGTGGTCATCATCGAGTTGTTCGATGTGGATATGATGGCTGCTGCTGTGTGGATCCATTGAGTGAGTTTGAGTGAGTGAGAGAGGGAGTGATAGAGGGAGGGGGTGATGGTGGCAATGAAAAACAAATTATATTAAAAAGGAAGAGTTCGCTTCAGGAAGAGGAATTAAGGAAGGAAGAGCACGCAGCCTTTTATTTCCTTTACAAGGAAAGAGTCGAGGAGGAAAGAGATGAAGAATGAGGAATGAGGAACGAGGAACGAGGAATGAGGAATGAGGATGAGGTGAAGGGAGTGAAGGGGCGATGAGGGGACAGGACTGATGAGAAAGAAAGATGAGCAGGGAGAAGAAAGAGTAGAGGGAGAAGAGGGGGAAGAAGGAGAAGAGAGCAATTGGGCTGGACGGGGCGAACTGAAGGCGGGGATAGGGACTGAGCGGCCCAGTGTCTCGCTTATATACACACACATGCACACTTGCATGGATGAGCTTGAGTGAGAGTGTGTGAGTGTGTGAGTGTGAATGTGTGGGAGGGGACATGAATTATTCTTTATCAGTAATAGAGTGAAACCGCACCTAACAAGTTATATTACTGCCCTGGATTTGCTTGTTTCATCCCCCAGTTACTTGGCTGCAACGACAGCCTAGCAGGGCTGTCGCGATAGACAATAGTAATAATTGAGAAAAGGAGGGGCTGAGAATGACATGCACTTTCTATATAGTAAGCTACTCCAGCCTCATCCTCATCCTCGTCTTCATCTTCATCCTCATTCTTATCCTCTTCTTTGGATAATGATCGTCTGCGTTGAACGAGACTCTTTTTCGCACACTCTATTTAGATTTAGCTCACGCAATCGAATCAAACTAAACTCATTTATAAACCTAAACAGCGATTGAATGCCCACACGCGATGAGCATAGCAAAATATAATCTGCATGAGGAGCGATCAATTACTTCTCCCGCATTCCTTTCTTTCCCTACATCCTTCTTTTGTCTCGTCTCGTTTTTATTTTTATTTTCTTCACTTCCGCCATTCTCTGCGCTACTCATTATTACAGAGAGAGAAAAAAGGCTTTTTTCTTCCTGAGAAAAAAAAATACACAAAATTTTTTTGTACTCATGAAAGCAGCTATTACGCCCACTATCTCATTTTATTTTTAGTACTGATAGGCGATCTCAAGTGGACACACACCTCCCTCCACCGCATCCACAAGGTCCTTATACTTGTCCCGATCCGCCAATGCTGCCTCCAGCTCACCCTGCCAACCCTTGCTAACCTGCAACCACCTAACCCGACACCGATATACTCTTTCCTGCTCTTGCGGTCGCTGTCGCAGACTCGGCAACGCGTGGATTAACCCTTGGGCTGTCAGTGCTTCATTATCACACCGCAGAAGCGACAGCCGTGTTAGTCTTGGCATCGCATCCGCAATTCCTAGCAGCGACTCATCCGTCAGACCCCAATCTCCGACTAACTTGAGTTCCTGTAGCCTCTGAAAGGGCGTACTGCTGTTGTTACCATTAACAACGCTGCTGCACTGTGACGGGATAGGGCTGACTTGACGACCAAAATAGTCTGCAAGAGAGCACAACGGCTGTTCTCTACGTTCGCATGCCACGCCGCTCGTCAAAGGATGCACATCAACAGCAGCAGCAGCATCGTCATCATCATGTTGCCCCGTTGCAACCACAGATCGCGCAGTCGATGACCGCAACACTGAATGTGGGAGCGACAGCCTTAATACCCGAAGCATCGAACAGTGCTGCAATGTCTGAATCCGAAACCGAAACGCAATCTCGCCCTGCAGATCCAACACCTGCAGCTGCGGCAGACACCACGTCCAAGACAGATTCAGGCAGCAGGACAGTGTCTCGGTCGAATCCATCCACGAGGTGCTCTGCAACACCTGGATCGAATCCCGAAAGGCATCGACCACATGGATCAACGTCGAGATCAGCGGGCCAGTGCTCGTCCCGCTCAAGTGAACGTTCTCCAGTCGCACGGGGCTAGGATCATCCTCTCTGAGGTAGTGGAATGATGCATAGGTTCGAGAGACACGTGGGCTTGGGCATGTGGAGGGGGAGATCGACTCGACTCGATGCTGACGCTCCTGAACGGCCCATTCGAAGAGACCATCGATCAGTACTGGCATCCGTAGCTCCCGGAGCTGTCTGCATCGCTGTAAAGCCTGAATCTGTGGATGTTGTTGTCCTTCTTCGTCTTCTTCCTCCTCATTTGCCGTATTGCTAGTTGTGTTGTCGTCGTTGTTCGCATTGGACATGGTCACTGAGTCTGAGCCCTGTATCGTAGTCATCCGCACATTCCCCAAGAGCAGCGTCTCCAAATGTCGAGTCGGGATCTGATCCAAGTACTTTGTCGCCTCCCTCCACTCGATCATGTCCAGCAGCTTGACAGTCCTCAGGGCCTGTAGGATCTGGATTACTCCTGGATGGCTCCATCGTCCAAGATCGTTTGGTCCACCCACCTTGACCTCTCGAATAGTGTCGTAGGTCCTGTCATGCAGCGTAAAGAAACTGACGACGGCCTCGACATCAAAATCGTGATGAATGTCGTACAGCTCGACCCGATAAAGGCGGTTCAGCTTGCTAAGCGAAGGTACACCCGTCCATGAATAGGATGAACCCGCACAAATGGAGGATGGCGTAGTAGAGTGGTCTGACAGGGACGAGAACACTGTCGAGGTTGACGCGGAGGAGTGCCACGATGAGGCCGAAGATACAGGGGCGGTCGAGGATTTTGAGAACGGTGACGAGGAAAGGAGAGACATTAACGATGAAAACGGCGATACAGTAAGTCGGCCTGGTAGCATCGACCGAGACCCAGTCTTCGAGGGAAGAGGGTGGCGCTGCGGTGGAGGAGTAATAGCTTGGATCCGAGATGCCGACAGTGAGAGTGTCCTGATTCTCTGTGGAGAATGGTGTAGCAGATCCCTTTCCACTCGGATGTGTGCCGAGTGCGCCCTCTCTAGGTTCTGGGCGGTCTTATGCGATTGCTGGAGCGAGTGAAAGATACTGAGCATAGGATGACTCGGGGATGAGGATCCTTCTGAAGACGGAGCGGCTGCAGAGGGTACCTTTGATGTAAGCAGTTGGTCAAAGCTCTCTGCAGGAAGATTGGGAAAGATGGAGGGGAGAACTCGCGCCAGCCGCGGATGGTCGTGCTCGACATAGTAGGCCAAATAGTCAGTCATCAAACGTGTGTCCATGGCGGATGCCGACTCCTGACAGCTGTAGCCACCGTCATTACTTCCGCTGATGCTGCCTAGCCGCTGCTGAAGTGTCTGCGCCCAGTTTCTAGTGCCGCTATTATCTTTTTTCGGACTGAAAGGACCAAGCTGAGGGTCAAGAGTGGTGAGTCCTGGCGAAAAGATTGTCTCCACAAACGAGTCCTCGTGCTGGGCATCATAGTCGTATTCGATGTCCGTAGAGTCTGCAGAAAACTGATGGCGGTCATAGTGGTCCGTGTCCTCCTCATCTGTGAGCGAACTGTCTGAGGCTTCCCCTAGAAAAAATGGATCGTCGCTTGCAGGTGTGTCGTTAGAGTCACTGTGCTCGCACGTGTCAGAGATCCGAGATGGACCAAGATAGATACTGACATGGCGCTGGTCTCTTGATTGGCGGCTCCCCCAATCTAGAAGGTTGGGTTTCGGGAACGGGTCACTCTGTAGATTGCTGCGCCAGGGTTGGCTGTGATACTCTCCAGGGATCGACATAAATAGATCCGTAGATTGCGTGCTACCATCCAGAGAGACATATACAGTTGAAGCCTGTTGCTGTTGTCGTTGCTTGGCTGTTTGCTGAGCAGATGAATCAGAGAGACCATTAGTCGTCGTTGCTGTTGTTGTCGTGGGCGTTTGTGTTGCCGTTGATGATGCGGCTGCAGGTGTGTGTTCGCGAAAAAGGGTTAGTCCCGTCTGTCGACCTTCCTGAACCTTCCCAGGGACATCAGTAAGATTGCTTTCCTTTTTTGAAATAGATGGCTGAGAGAATGATTGACCGAACGACAGGGATGGGGACGGAGATGGGGACGGAGATGGGGACGTGGAGGTGCGTCTCTTGGACCACCACTGCTGTTTCCTCCTCTTCGAGAGCGTGGTGCTGAAGCGCAAGGACCTGGTCAGCTGCTGTTTCTCCTCTGCAGGATCATCCCCTTTCACCGTCTCTGTTCCAGCCTTGCTGCTGTCCTTGGCCTTTTTTTTGTCTTTGTCGCAAGAATCTTTAGTGTGAGTGCTGATCCGGTGCGGGTAGATATCGTTATCGTTGTCCATTCTATCCTGCTGCTGCATTCGCCGCTGCCTCAGTGCATATTTGCCCTCTAATCGATCTGATTGCTTGATCTGGACAGCACGCATAAACAATTGCAGCAGGAGAACCTGTCGCTGTGTTCTCTCGACCCACGACCATGACTCTGCTTTGGATTCAAGTAATCGAAAGGGGGATCTGTAGAGAACGGGGACAGCCAAGCGGAAGAATTGGTGGTCCACTTGAAGGAGAGCATGGAGAGTGGACCGGTCATGACGCAGATGCTGGAAAATCATGACAAGGCATTCTTCGGGCAGGTTGGACCTGACCATTTTGGGAGAGGGCAGCGGGTAGTTCGATGACGAAATTTTGTCCATTGCGGAGGTTTGTGTGAAAAAATGCTTAATCGAAATAAACGAAATAAACGAAATAAACGAGAAACAGGGGTGATAGGACTGGCCAATTAACTTGCTGTGCCTGAGAAACTTAACGGGAGGGAGGGAGGGAGAGAGGGGGAATGGTTTCTGTGAGGAATGGGAGGAATGCAAAAAGCGAGGAGAGGAATGAGAAGTCGAACTGACTGGTGTTGTTGGGTAATGACTGAATGAGCTGGGCAGAAGAGCTGGAATGTGATTGTATTCAAACAAAAGAGAGTCGGTCGTTAATGAGTGTCGATGGTATAGATGATAGAATACACGGCAACCCTTTTACAACCCAACACATACTACAGAGCGGATGAACATTATTGCCTTCTTTGTTCCGTTTGCCCTCTGGCTCCTAAAGAGGAGGGGCAAGCTCTTCATTCTATTACTGTTGTCATGGAAAACCTGCCTTAGCATTCGGGCGTAGTAGTAAGTAGCATAATATTCAGCTCTGCTTGATATGTCATGTCATGTCATCACCGCCTGCCCGCTCTTGTGCTTGCGCACCATGTGCCCATATCTGAGCCATGGAGCCATTGGATATAAGGACCATAAAAAAATAGCCTGGGCCCAAGCCTAGTCCAATGCGTTCTACTACTCCTTGTCTTCGCCTGAGCTCCCTAGCGGGGTCTTCAGCGCTCCCGAATTCGGTCCCTCAATTATAGCTCTGACGTTTCGCCTTCCGCCTTTGATCCGCAATAACCCATAGCCGGAATGCAATGTATTATCACAGGCATTTCCATCAGGAGAGCCGTGATTGCTCCACGAGTTGGATGGAGCACAATGAGCGATATTGATGACCAAACAATGGAAAGGAATAGCCAAAGGGAAAAGAGCGCAGCGTATTGACATGGATGGTATCTTCTATCGCCCCATTGCATTTGAAACAGCCAGTTTTGGGGCCAAGAATCGACAGGAGAACATCCCCAATTTTACGCATGCCAAGCGCCAGGCAGGGGTTCATTGTCCTCGATGGAACAAGGCTGAGAGGGTGCCGTACGTAAATCGATGTTGCGGCGATATGCATGGTAGATAACTGAGGAACAGGTTGCAGTTGTTGGGTGGCATGACCCAACTCTAACACGACAAAAGTCGCAGCCAAAAAAATAATTAAAAGAGGGACCAAGCAGAGGCCAAGGTACATACATACACAGCAGCAGCAGCTCGATCGAGGGATGTTTCCACGAAGACAACAGTCAGAATACGCATATTTGACAACAAGAATATATTTGTGTATGCATTGCACCTATGCAACAGCAACAGACTCCAATGTATCGGGGTCCTTCAATGGCCAGCATCAAACTCGACCACGGTAGTGCTGACGCGCCGAGTGCCTTCCAGGAACGTGTGCCCAATGGCTTCAGTACCCTCGGCCTCGATGAGTGTCTCCTCTTCCAATCGTACTTCTTCAGCCTGCCATTGGATCTCAACTCCTACTTCGCCCACGTCCTCCCACCGCTTCTCCAGCACATATTCACCGCCCTCGTTCTCGACTACAACGTTGTTTCCTAGCAGGACTTTGACATTTCCTCCAGTCTGTCCCAGCTTGCCCTCTTGCCAGAACATAAATCCTGCAACTACATCCTCCCACTTGGCAACCAGGTTGTTCTCCAGCGACAAAAACTCAATACACGGCAAGTGTTGTATGCCCTCGAGTCGCTTAATTAGGTTATTGGATAGGATCACACGGCGCACATGGATCAGGTTACGAAGGAAGCGAGTCGACGTAATTTCGTTTGAGTCCAGGTTCAGGGTGTGCAGATGCATCAAATACGACGAGATTGGGATGTGTGTCATTCCACGCATCGAGAGGTCCATATCTTGCGGCTGTTCATCTGCGAACTCTATCTCGGGGAAGCGTTTCGAGTCCTTGATGATATGCGATGTCTCACGGTCAAAGACTAGCTGTGTGCCTGCAGTATCATAATGATAAAATGTGTGGTTAGAATGGCATTGGGTGCTGGAAGATCGTCTGCAGAGGGCCTTGAATGAATGAGAAAAGGACGACTTACGGCGGTCTTCATATCGCTCCTGGCGCAGAGGATCGATGAGGATCAGCTTTTCCTGCAGTTCAATGCACTCGTCGTCGAGTTGCTTGGCTTGTGACGACTGGATACTGACAGTCTTTCGCAGCTCAGAGAGCAGCTTTGAAAGGATCTGGATCGGCCCTACAGTATGACAGCACAAAGTTACACCCGTCAGAATAAAGCCATCATTTGTATCCTTGAATCAAGTAGCAAACATCTTGGCGCCCTTCTTACATTTGCAATCTGGTTCCAGCTCGACAAGCTCTCTGACCACTGCAATCTCGCGCTCTAGCAATTCCACTCTGTCCTGAAGCGAATCTGAGGTCGTCAACGAGGTCACCCGGTATTTTCGGTTCGTTTTCTGAGGATCCAGCGTGCCATCCGGGGGTGGAACAGATCCAATACGCTTGCTAACGTCGTACATCAAGTTCATTCCGATGGCCAGTCGACCTAGTTGGCCAGAAATCTCACGTAGGTTCTGCTGCGATGTCTCCAGTTCAAAGCACACGGCAGAAGCAAGTCGTCCTCCTGTCTTCATGGGAATAACGTCGTCTGCGAAGATGATAATCTCGACTGTCGGTCCATATGCAGTATCCGCTGTCTGCTGAAAGATCCAAAGGGTGCCGACCGTAGAGTCTGTTCCTGTGGCCTTCCATTTTCCCTTAAGTGGAACTGGAATCTCGTCGAACATCGTGGAGACTGTAGGTGGATTACGCAGTTTGACCGTTTCATCAAACGCAACCACGACCTCCAGAGGATGGAATGAGATGACGGTAGCACCCAGAATTGAGACGCTCCTCTCCTCTATTTCATAAATAAAAAGCCGAGTTTAGCGAGGAGTGCCCATAACTGAGGCGTTTTATGTTGTCAAAAGCGTATCGGTTTTCATATCCAAGGCGAAAAAGGGCGACTGTACCTTTTCCAATAAGCCATTGACCGTATAGCCATGCGCTCTGGTCTTCAGGATCCTTGTGGATGGCATTCTTGACGAGATCAAACTCATTGTCAACAGCGACCATCTTTTCCTCTTCTGTCATGTTCTCGGCCAACTTACCAAGGAGAGTGCCCCTGTTGTGCCATGCAGAGTAGTTGGAAGAGTTTTGACTGATCTTTGTAGTTGTAAAGTCGAACTCCGACTGTGCGCGCTCGAGAACTTTGCCGCTTGAACCCTTGTCCTGCGCATCCAGCTCTCTGATGATATATCTCCTGTGGTCCCATCCATGGACTATACGTTGCAGAAAAGATGACAGCCAAGCAAGTTAGTGGCAATTTCAAGCACTCAGTTTACTATGCGCATCAAAGCACTATAGGGAGACACAGGCGCTATCAGCATGACATCACTCAGGCTATCTCCCTTATCATCCAGGAGACACAAAACCAAGGACCAATGGCGAACAGGGTCTTACAATTGCGAGCATCGAGCTCGAGGAGCTTGTCGATCATGGCCAATTCCTTGTCCCAGCGAGGCTGGCTCATATGCTCTAGACACCAGCGGCGATGGTTCCACAATGAATACGACTTTGGGCTCTGCTCCAGAATCCCTTCCACAAACTCGAGCTCGCTGTTGTAGATCTTGTTGGCGGCCTCTTCGTTCCTATTTTGGATCAGGGATAAATATGACATCGTTGTTGTTGGCTGTCTCCAGAAACACCTTTTATATTCGCCATGCTATCTGCATTGCTTTTAACGCAATGACGGCTTACGCGTCATTCAGGAATCCTTCCAGAAGGATGGTTCGTCGTACATTCCAGATGGAGTAATAGTCAGGGTTCTTTTGAAGAAGCGCTTCCGTAATTTGAAGTGCATCGCTATCTTTTCTCTTGGAGTCAAGCTACCCCGCAGAGTTGCAGAACCAAAGACGGTTCGAAACATGGTTAGTAATGTGCCCGGACCACTTTTGAGAAGCAGCACTTGTTTTTGTAGGACAACGACATGGTTCAGATCGACTTACGATCTCCTTGAGTGAGTTTTTGAGGCCGCGATATTCCTCCACGAGAACATCCTTACGCTCTTTCCAAGCCTTGAGCAGGTCTACTGTCTCGACCTTTTCTTTCTTTCGTCCGTGTAGAACTTCCTATGAGCAGCAATGTATTATATGACAAGTTTATTTTAAGTTTGGTAGTTGCTCTTTTGCAGGTAAAGGCCTTCACATGCGTGGGAATATATTTTAAACGGACCATGGTGGTTGTGAATGAGTAAGGAACCGAGTTTGAGGCGAATGGGGTGGAATGGAGTGAAGAGTTGACAATGGGCTAGCGGACGGAGCTAACAACTTTGAGAGGGCATGGATCAGAATCAGATTTGCCAGTAATATTAGATTGCAGGAGGTTGCCGCCTCCGCCCAATCATCCAACGCGTTGGTCGTTTACGCGCCGTGGCGCTTTGAGCAACTGGAAGTGTTTTTCAGTCGCACAGCCCCCATCAGGAGGGATATGGCGTGCTCTTATTCTTGCAGAGAATAGAATGCTCAAAGACGCGTGGGGTTTCGATCTTTTGCGGCGCATGGTACTACGCGGTAATCAGACGCGCCGACTTTGGCCGGCGCGTCATAGGCAGTAATATCAAGTATTGGTGCAGGACTAAGGCACCCATCGCCTCATAATAAGAGCTTACGGCGCGTCAAAACAGACACGAAGGGATCTCCATTCTCACGTGAGAATGAGAGTTTACCAACCCATCAAACCCGGAGAGCCTTTCCCCCAATCGTCTCGCTCGCATTCATCATTCCTCTGTCTCTACATTCCTAATTCACTCTCCTAGCCCATTCCTCTCACCTCTTCCCGTCTGCAGGACACGAACGATTCCCACTAATGATATCTGCAGTCCAGGGCTTCGTCAGCAGGCACCGTCGCGGTCTGGCTGTCACTGCCGGAGTGACAGGCGGCATCTACCTGATGGGCAAATACGCCAAGAGCAAGCTGATCGAGTTCCAGGAGAAGAGTGCCGCCAACCGGACCGCAAAGGAAAAGTAAGTCGTAACGCTCAATTGGCTCAATTGGTTGTTCGTGTTGTCTTCCACGCTCAAATGTCGACTGTTTCCTCTTTACTTTATCCCCACATTTCTTTTGACTAATGCGATATTCTTTGTCTGGATCAATTAAAATTTGCCGCTCTTTCATTCACAAACTCGTGCGAAAATGTGATCGGTCGGAACTTGACTTTTAGCATGAAGCGTCGGTTCGAGCAGAATCAGCAGGATTGCGTCTTCACAGTGCTCTCGCTCCTTCCTACGCTTGGCGATCAGCTGCTTCATGAGCTCAATGTTGAACTGATCACAGTCAAATTGCAACAGACCAAGTCCCAGCGTTCGACCCCCATGCCCACACCAGACAGCTCCATGATCTTGCCACCCAAACCTGCAGAAGGTGAAGCAGTAGCGACAGCGACAATGGCCACGACTACGACAACAGCTGAAACAAATGCCAATGGCGATGAGAGCGGCGAGAAACCAAAGACCGAGGCCGCAGAGGAGCTGAGGCAGACGGAAGAGGCTACGGAAAAGAAGGACGAACAAGAGTCAGGAACAGAAAATCCTGATTCACAGCATGAATCGGAAGAACAGTCCAAGGTCAACGGCGGTACAACAGAGGCTGACAACACCGCCTCCGAGACCGTCGCAAAGGAGGCTTCTGACGAGGGAGTAACTGCCCACGGATCAGCACCCGAGATCCAAACACAACCCGAGGAGAAGGATTCCGCCCCAACAGCAGCCACAGCCGAAGAAACCTCAACGGACCTTCTATCAGCAGCACCAGCACCAGCACCAGCACCAGCACCAGTATTGATCAAGGACGAGGTCCAGGCAGCCATGGATCGCCGCACCAAGCTGGAGCTCTGGAACGAGCTCAAGATCATGTCGTTCACTCGCACTGTCACCGCGCTCTACTCGCTCACATTCTTGACACTGCTCACTCAGGTTCAACTCAACCTGTTGGGCCGATTCACATATGTGTCTTCGGTGGTGGCGCTCTCCAATACTACGGACGCATCCTACCGCATGGAATCGCCCTCGACCAAGGGATCGCTGACCTCGACAAACGGATTGTTGGACTTTCAAACTGAGAAGAAGTATCTGACGTTCAGTTACTGGCTCCTGCACGAGGGATGGCGCCGATGGAGCGAGAAGGTCCGAGTGGTTATTGAGGATGTCGTTGGAAGGTAAGCCGTTGTCGATTATTTGAAAGGAGCTTATTTTTTTTTTTGTGCGGAATGTGGTCCTAATTGGATTTGATCTTCACGTTGGGGGAAAAAATAGCATTTCACTGAAGAGGACGTTCAATGCCAAGGAGTTTTCAGATCTATTGGGCGAAATCCGCGCCCGACTCGAGTACACCGAGGAGAATGGCAAGCGTGTCCCTGTCAAGTAAGTCGGCGTCCTAGAGCCGCCTAAAACTAAAGCTGGAAAGAATTTCTCTCATTAACAATATTTTACATTGTACTGACACCACATAGCATGCGCGAATACATGCTGCCCGACGACCCCGCAGAGGAACGCGAGGTACTCAGGGCAGGCGGTGTGGACGAATTCGATCTGATCGTGGACCCGGTGCTTCGTAATCTGCTGGACGAGACACGGGATTTCATTGACAGTGTCGACTTTGCGACTGTCCTCACATCGACCGTGTCCACAACATTTGCACGGTTTAACCTAGCGCTTCAACCAACGTTCAATCCCTTCCTGCTATCCCCACCAAGGATGACGAGCGGGATCGAAGAGATTGAAGACGATGAGGATGTGGATCGGGAGGTGCCGCTGGCGACGCTTCTACCGCTGGTTGCACGACAGGTGCATTTGATCATCAACGGGGTCCCGAACGAGTATGTCGAGAGTCTGGCGATGGTCAAGGAGCTCCAGGCTTTCTCGGCGATTGTCTATTCGTCCTTTAGTGAACAAGTTCTTAACAGCTAGACATACACTTGTATACAGTCAAACCTCCCTTAACTTAAAGTGCCGGGACAAGACCTAAAGTTTTCTTTAAGCCAGATTTTTCGTTAGCAGATATGCAAAATCTGCGATCAAAAGTTCTAGACAGAGACAGTACTAGTCTAACACGGAACTTCTGCGCGTTCATTCTAGTGCATCCGTTTCCCTTGTTGCTTTTCTTGGTGGGAGCCCCAAATAGAAGACAGTAGCGTTTTGAGTCTTCTAATCCTATCTACCTAACACGTTTCTACAATGGCTCAGAGACCAAGATCTAACACTGACATTGCCGATATCGACCAATTGCCCACGCAAGCACGGCGTTCCCGCTCCCAAAAAAAGCTCACCAATGCACAGCGTTACTTCATTCACCAGATCAAACAAAAGAACCCACAAGCTACACTTGAAATGAGTGGGAGCCTCTTTTATCAAGAATACAACAGGACAGTGTCCGCTGGCACCATATCTAAAATCCTGAACGGATTGGAAGAAGAGATAGCGGAAAGGAATGCCCTGGAGAACCCAAATCAGATGCGTCTTGCGATAAATTAAGATTTATACGTACTAAGTAAATACAAGTAAGCACGAGACAAGAGAGATCTTTAATAGCACCGTCCGGTCCCCTTTATATAAGTTACTGGATGGTCTTTTCTACGTAACGTGATCCTAGTAAAGTATCTGTCCAATATGGCACAGGCGAGGAGGACGAGGAGGGCGAGGAGGACGAGGAGGGCGAGGAGGCAGACGGTGACGATGACACAGCAGAAGAGCCTATAGTGAAGTCCATTCTTGCATGCCAGTTGCTGGATACACTTCGGCTTTATTTCGAGCAGCAGGATACAGATCAATCAAAAAAATTGCTGCCATCTGCAGAATGAGAGACTTCGCCGACAGCAGGCGCGTGTCTGGTCTACAGCAAACGACACTCTTCAAGATGTTTGCCAAAGGCAAATAAACTGTACGCACAAATCCCATGTAATTATTTTTGGATTTAACTTAACCAAGGACCAAGGACCAAAGAATCCTTTGTTTTTGCCTTTAGCCGGATTCCTGAAAACTCCCATATGTTTTTCGTTGGGACCGAAGAAAAGTTTTCTAGTTTTTTCGTTATGCCAGTTTAGGTTTAGCCAGGTTTGACTGTAATAAAATGAACACGCGGGTGACTGCCTCAATGGCGCAATTTCATACCCATCAGATTCGAGTCGCGCGGCCACTTAGATTCCTTTGAAAAAAACAAGGGGCGAGCTATCACCCTAGGAATATTAGCACCAACCCAATGGGCAAATCTCTCCCTCTCTCTCTCTTTTCACAATCAGCATCGACACACTCCCTCTACTTCTCATCCCCATCTGGTTCGCGACCGACGTTTCTGCCTTCTTGCCTACGAAAACACCACAGAAATACATATACCATGCCTTCCTTCACCTCTCTCGCTATCCCCGCTCTTTACCAGACCTCGCGCCAGTTTGCCCCTCGCTCAATGGCTGCACTTCGCCAGGCACAGCAGCTCTCGACCAGGGCTAGCCAGAAGCCCGAGGTGGTCACCTATGAGGAGATCGACAGCCTTATCCAGAAGAAGGACAAGGTAGAGTAACCCAGCGCTTAGTCAATTGAATCCGCAGCGTGGTGTGATGTGTTTGGCACGCACGCGTCGTTATGCCCTCTTTCACAAGTATTCTGTTACTCACTCGTGCTTGTTTTCGCGTTCATTTCAACAGAACGTCGTATTGATCGATGTCCGCGACGCAGGCGAGGTCGCCCAGGGCGTCATCCCTACGTCACACCACGTCCCTTTGGCCAGCATTCAGGAGGCGCTTTCCTTACCCGAGAAGGAGTTTGAGCAGCGTTTTGGTAAGCCCCGGATCCAGTCCAATCTCCCAAGATGCTTCTTCCATTTTTGTTCTCCTTGCGATGATGATCTTTTGGATGTTCGGGAAGAAGAAATATAGCGCAGCAACATTGAATGGAAGGCAATCGTGAACAGTCAACATTCAGAGCTGGATTGGAATATCGGTTCCGGAAACTCGATTGAGCGTCTGTAGGATCGATCATTGGCAGTGCGGCATGAAAGCTGGAAAAGAAAGGCTGGATTGCTACAAGGACTTGTCTACCAGTGAAAGGGCGCAACCTTGGTTCTTTTCGTGCCCGTGGGAAACCGGATGGCGTCAGCTTTGAGTTCATTCAGCGCCCTGTCTGCTATTTCAAAAAAAGAAGTGCCGCCAGTGTGGAGTCAGGGCTCAGGACTGTTTATGGCGGGGGAATAGAAGTAAAAGACCTAGCACGACCTTTTTCCTTCATTTGAGGTCTGGCACTCGTGTGAGTCAGAGGGTAAACAGAGCGGAGACAACGGGTACGGAAGCAAGTGGAGGTGGTCATCATCGGAGACAGGCAACATTTAACGCCACCAATAATATCTTTTAGCCACAGACTCCCAGCACCATCACATTCAATCCATACAGAGCAGCATAAATTAACTTCCCTCATCTTTGTGATTTCAATATTAGGCTTCAAGAAGTTCGGCAAGGACGACGAAGTGATCTTCTACTGCAGGTCAGGAAGACGCTCAGGGATGGCCTTTGACCTCGCCAAGCAGCTTGGATACAAGGGCGTCCGCAACTACTCTGGAAGCTGGCTTGACTACGAGGCCAAGGCTAAGAGCCAGTAGTAGAAAAAAAGCAAAGCGAGTGAAAAAAAAAGAAGAAAAAAAAAACGAAATCGATGTTGATGGAACAACACTCGACGGACAACGCCTCCATTGCTCTGTAGATTCATTGCAGACACCTGTACAGTAAAAAAACTCCTCAATAATATATCCATATCCATATCCAGTATTTAGCATGGCGTGCTCCATGGTGATACGTGCACTTGCTTGAAAAAGAAGTCTCGACAGCGCCTAGGGAAGGAAGTTGTCTAAGGACACATGCGGTATCTGTTACGTATACTAATGCAGGTACAGGGCGTGAGAAGTGTGGCAGACCCTTTGACGCGTACACGCGTGCGCCTGCGTTGGAGTCGCGTCTGGTCTTAACAGGACGAACAATACTGTGTTCGCTCACAGTACGTTAGTGTCGACAAGTTCATTTCATTCGGGGTGCATGCGTTCATGAATAGCTAAACGAGCATGCGAAAGCACGGTGCGACGGGGGGGCAATATAAGATCTGACTAAGTGAAAAGACCGACGAGAGCTTTTTAGTAACGTAGCAGAGTGCCGTGCCCTGCTGCAGAGATGATGACAAGGGCTAGACTAGAACCCGCAACGCTGCCTCTCAAGTCATTTACCGGGCCAAAGGGCCAGAGCCTGCATGAATAGAAGACAAAGATTGATGAGCCGAATAGAACAGCAAGATCCCCAACCTTCCTATTGTTTTCTATCGAGCTCTCATGCAGAAATGAAGTGAGGCGAACAATCGAAATCCAACCTTTTCTGGAAAGAAAAACAACAGTACTCATGACAACACAAAAGAGCTCGTTCGGGCCTCCATTGTTCCTTACGGCGCATCGTCATCAAAAAAGCGATATAAAGTTTTTTTGTAGCTGTCTATGGTCTTTGGGAACGCCTCCTTGGATCGGAGTCACTTTGTTTGATGCATTTCATCCACCCATCATTCATGACTATGGCCTAGGTTTTACGTGGGTCACCCGGGACAGGGGAGATGGAGACATGAGGTGGGTAGCTCACAAACCTCCCTTCACCTCTGCATATCATCCTCCCTGCAACAATCGGACAGCCCTAATGTGGAATGGTATACAGCAGACAGACCTTCATAGACATGGTCTTGTTGTAATATCGGAAACAAAAAAAAACGAAAAAAAAACGGCGCGTCTGGCAAGGGCGACACAGGAATGAATAATTACACTAAGCTATGATAGAAGGGATACAGGGAGGGGATCCGTGATCCGTGGGCATAATTATTATTATTTATTTATTTGCTGTGCATGGTTTCACAGACAGAGAGATACGGGGATGATGGTCCTGATGGACACTGAAACATGGCGTACATGGTTCCCAGCACCCTCGAGTACTAACGGTGCCTGAATAATAAAACGAACAATGTCTCGCAGTTTGCGGACTAGCAGTTGCATTTGCATAGTAGTTGTCGTTGAGTGCAATTGGCTAAAAGACGCGTCTCTGATTTATAGTAGACTACGTGTAGAATCTGTATAGTTTTCAGCTGAGAAATTCTGTTTGCCCAGCGTTGTTGATAACTCAGATAGCTGGGTTAGGGGTAATGGAAAAGTGTCAGGTCTAGAGAGATGGGGACTAGAGAGATGGGAATGAGAGAGAAAAATTGCAGAGGGCTCTGAGCAATAAAAAAGTGTTTGAGGCGATGCACGCCAGAACAATACAACATCTGTTGCCCAAGGCGCGTTCCTTCTGAACAGCTGTCTTGATCGGTCTAGCTTCCTTTGGAAGTGCTGGGCCTTTTTTTACAGAGCAAATTAGCTGAGGATGCATTGTCCACCCGCAGCAATGTTCATTTCTGCATGTTTGGTGAGAAAGGTCGATTGATGGTCTTGCAGTATTATTCGGTTAGAGATGGCCTAGATTTGAACCAGATTGCTCTTCTTTTTGATGTTTTGTTTTTGGGAATGCTTGCCCTACGCCCAATGGGCCCGGAATGCAATTGAAGAACCTGTTTCCGAGGAGAGGGGAGAATGAGGAGAGAGCCTTTACTGTTCGAGATGCAGCATGTTTTTTGGTCATCTGTGGTGTAGCACAAATGCTCACGAACATCAGCGATAAGCGATCAATGTTTGGTCCAATCAATTGAACTTTAGGGGTGGCGGGCAAAGTTCATGTAGATGTAATGCACTGTGAGTGAGTGTAAAGATAAAAATGTGCGAGGATAGAAAGAATATGGAAGGAGGAGTAGGTAAAGAGATAGAGCGATGGATGAAGGAACAAAGGTAATGGTGTTTTGGGGATACTGTGGGTGGACGGTGCACATGAAGAAGCAGGAAGAGGTTTCGCTCCGCACCATAGAGCGATAATGAACTCGTTCCATTTTCAGTCTCCACCGCTTGGGCTTTGCGGATTGTAACCGCCGCATCGGCCTCCACTCCACTTGACTGGACTCTTCGTTCTCGCGCGGGGAAATTCTTTTGCCTACAGCAGTTTCCATAACCATGGACTCTCTCGCCTGAGGAGAGTGTATTTCCTGGTCACTTGTTTCCTTCTGGAATAACATGTGTGCATGTGTCTATGAGAATAATAGAGTATAGACTATTGGTAATTTAATAAATGAGTAAACAATAGCAATAGCAATAGCAACAGCAATGTTCCCTTGTATACCTTCGATCGTACTGCACTCTCTACCCCCACACTCACTCTCACGCACACATTCGCACTGGCACGCATTGCCATTTCAGCCCTTTGTGCAGCCTGTGCCACTTTAACTGTTATCTCCTCCCTCTTCCTTCCTCTTTTCTTCTCCTTTCTCTTTCCCCTCTTCACTCGGAGGATTTTCATTCCTGTCCCCTATCCCGCCTGTCTGTCTCATCAGCACTCCCCACCTCACTCCCCTCCACGCCTCCTTCCGTCCCTCCCCCACTTTACACCCACACTCACGCCTTCCCTCCCTCCTTTAAACGCCACCATTCAATCCACCGAATAACCCCCCCTTCTACCCCGTTTATTTCGAAAGTCAGCTCCGTACTTCCTCCTGCCCTTAACGCGGATGGTCTCAGATGGCGCCAGATACCCGCCCCACGCTCGCGCCATCGCCATCCTCCTTTTCCCCCTCTATTCCATCCACCTCACTGTCGCCATCAACACCGCCGCGCATCCCCTCCTCTTCCTCTCCCGCCTATTACCTTCACCTCACACGCTTCCTCTCTCTTTCTCTCCTCCTCCTTCTCTCCTCAACCAACGTCGCCCATGCTGTCCAATGCACCTCTCCTAGCTACAATACCGAGGTCCAGCCCGGTCAAAGCACTGTCCTGACCTGGCAAGCAACCGGAAGTGACCTTGAGGCATACAATAGCCTCTCCGCAACCCTCTACTGCATGGACATCGACGGTTCCAAGGGCGGAATCTGGCGTACCGCCGCAACTTTGTTCCAGGACCGCGGATTGGCTGCAACACATGGCCAATACCAGTTCTCGGTCCCAAATTGCGGTGCTCTCGCCAGGGATGTTGCCATCCGGATCGTCGCCACCAACAAGGCCGCAAACAGCCGAGTCGATACTGCGTGCTACTTCACAATGAATCCTCTCGCTATCATTATACCGACCACGACCAGCAACGTCGTTGTCCCAACTACGACAGCTGCCCCACCCCCCGACATAACCACAGTCGCACCGCCGGTCTCTTCAGGCGTGACAACAGGAACACCCACAACAATTGCCACAACGGCCACAATTCCGTCCAGTGGCACCAGCACCGCAACACAGACCTCATCCACCTCAGGGACGAGTTTAACCAGCATACCCAACCCTTCCAACATACCCTTTCCTCCACTGCCACCTCTTCCACCACTCGATGATCCATCATCCACATCCGATGGGTCAGGCTCTACACAAGGCAATACTCCTGGTAATGGGCCTGTCAAGGACGGACCGGGCAGGACGATCGGCGTGGCCTTGGGGGGTGTGAGTGGGATGTTGGCACTTGTCCTCTTGGTCACACTCTTCATCGTCAGACGGCGGCGGCACACGCGGTCAAGGGAACCTGGTCTCCTGGGTGGTAGTAAAGGAGGTGGCCAGTATGGTGGGTTGGGTATGAAGGAGAAATTAATGATGAAAGGCCGTCGTTTGAAGGGCTCAAACAAGGGTCAATCTGAACGAGATTTCTATCTGATGAGGGACGACGACGATGATGATGATTATAATGACAACGCTTCAGAGACTTATGACAGTGAGGTCGCGGCTGCGGTGGCCAAGCACAAGAAGCGCCACACCCTGGCGGATCCTGAGGCGGGTTCCTCGGAGAAACAGTCAAGTGAAGCGGATAAGCAAGGAGAAGCGACGGAGCCAAGTATGCGGGGCCATGATCGGGACTCGACGCTGTCATATCCACCAAATGCTTATATCGATCGGTATCTATCCCCCTCAGGGTCGCACCAGTACATGTATACGGACGATGAGTCCACCATGTCCTCGATGCGCTCAAGCTTCGAGTCCTCCTCGGTGGTACGGCAGTACTGGGCCGCATCCATGGCTGCTCGCACAGAACGTCGCCTCGAAGGGTTCCCTCCATCCGTTAGCTACTCTGAGGGGGACTCGGTCTTTGGTGGCCATCGAAGAACTCCTTCCATGTCATCTCAGTCCCGGAAAGCAGATATCCTGAGTATGGATGATTCATCATTTACAGAGAGCTATATCGATGGACCAAGGGTTGGAGCTGGAGCTGGATCTGCGGCTGGGCCATTGTCGTTCAAGGAGGGTATGGTCAAGCGGCATTACCGAAGCACGGTCAATTCGGTACAGAGCTACATCCGTCGGTCCATGTCTATGAGTCTTGCCAGCTTCCAGTCTGGAATATCTTCGACCGATGACGAGGGCTGGCATCGCGGACACGGATACCGGTCATCGATCAACACTGAGTTTCTAGACCACCTAAACATCAAGGCCCTTCGTAGCCATCAGCACCAGCTCGCGTACTATCGGCACTACTACCGCCAGAACCCAAGCCTAACAGCGAGCACTATCGATGAAACTCCCGTGATGGGCGCTAATGCCAAAACCATGACAACGACGACGAGCTGGAGGACGAGTTCGGCGCCCTCGCTGACATCGACAAACGATCCGTTCCAGACGTTTGATTCGAATGAGATCCTAGTAGATCTGAGCCCGTTCTCAGATCTGCACGCGGTCCAGACCAAAGACAACGAGATGGATCAGACCCTGCAGCCACCACCGAAGCTGTCTGTGGTAACAGCCGAGGATAGGTCGAATTCCTCTCTGCTTCGGTCGTTCCCGTCACCGCCTCTTCTGGAGCCTGCAGCTTCGCCAACGGATTCCAAGGTCTCGTCGGCAAGAACCTCTGCGATTTCTTCTCTGCAGTTGAATGACCCACCACGTTCTCCACGATAAGTTCTCTTCTGAAGATACTAAAAAGATAATAATCAAAATAATAAAAAAAAAAACAATTGTAAAGAGGTTCATTCAGCGGCTGTTCATTCGGAAGGTCCGGCAGAAGGATATGCGTGAAGTTGCATTTCATCGGCGATATCGATCAGTATGCAATATGTCCAGAAAATGAGTTCCAAGGTTGTTGTTGTTATTGTTGTTGTTGTTGTTGTTGTTGTTGTTGTTGTTGTTGTTGTTGTTGTTGTTGTTTCTTTAATTTCGCAGGATGAAAGTTTTGTTATCTTTTGTTTTTGTGTGCGACGAGATACAGTGCGATGCGATGCGATACGATATGATATACTCCTGATAAATAACGTCGGAGACAAGATTGAACATTGGTTGCTTTATCTATCTTCATTGAAGGAACACAAGAGGAGGCCTGTGTTTTTAATATATTGAATGTATTTTTTTTTACATCACGTATCGATGCATCCACATCTCTTCATTCCTTTTGTGGAGTTCGTGAGAAGACGATAAAACACCCGGACGAATCTGAGCACGTTCATGATGGCCGTATTATGTCCTCTCTGTTTACTGATTTATCTCAATCGCGATCTTTTTTTTTTTTTTTTTTTTTTTTCAGGGGGTCAACGGAAACGCCGTGAATCCGATGGACGCGTCCTTTTTGAACTGTCCGTGCGCGATAAGGAAAAAAAATAATTAAAAATGGCACTTTGTCCACAGCCTCACCCGAGCGCACGGTCTTTTCAGCATTTTGCCCATCCTACATTCACATAGTCCTCAAATCATGCTGCTATATAACATATCTTTTCTTCATGTCAGAAAGAGACTACATGCATCTCATTTCGCATTCCAGAGTCACCGCCTGTCGACGACGGACGGGCTTTCATCTTACTTTAGGTTGGCGCACGTGGGGGGTTAAGCTTTTCCTTGACTGCAGGCTGTCTATAAAAATAACCAGAAGAAATAAATCACGAGAACGGGGGCCGGATTTTAAGGGATACCGACAGAATCTACAAAACGAACGAAAACCACGGGGCTGTAGCCATACACTGATTAGGCTGGACACAACCATCTACTTTCGTGGTGTCGGAACCAAAAGGGCACAATGCCAAAAATAAGGAGGAAAGGGTAGCAGTCGCCACATAATATATGTATATGTATATTTCAGGGGGGAGACATCCTTCTCCACGACGTTCCTATTTCGCACGTTTGCAAGTGCCCATCATGTTCATCCAATGTCCTATACATGTATATATCAAAGAGACAATGATGATACTGACAACGATAGTTTGTTGTTATTGTCGAAAATTACTTATTATTAGTTGTAATAGAGTACTGGCATGGAGGGACGAGTATTAATGACTAAGGGCTGAAGTGTCAAAATAGCGTGGCCGAGGAGCAACCACTCCGGTATCAGTCTTTTTGTATGCGCGGAGGAGGGGAGAAAAGAAGAAATCAATGGACTAGTTATTAAATAAATAGGTAGATACTATGCGGTGTGGGTGCTGCCAAAGATGTTTTTTTTTTTTTTCTATAAGCGGACTGTGCTGCTGTTTACTGAGAGTAAGACAACAGCAAAAACGTCGACTGCATCATAGCGTCTCTTCCATTACAACATGACCTTGCGTTCAGAAGGCTATGTCGGCATTAGGTCCAGGTGCTGGTGAACTGGATGGTGAAAGAGCCATGGCAAAGGCTGCAGGCGAGTCGGCCTCAGTGTCGAGCGCGATTGGCTTCAGGGTGGCCTTGGGGACACTTGTGACGATGGGTAAGAGCGTTGTTGGCAACGTGACGATGGATGAGTGCGAGGCTGGTGTTGGGGTTGTGGGCGTTGATGTTCCTGATGTCGTAATGTATCCATCAGGGTTTTGGGTCTGCCACCGCCAGAGGTCATCGCACATGTCCTGAAGTGTCTTTTCTGCCTTCCACCCGAGCTCTCTCTCAGACAGTGAAGGGTCGGCAATCACACTGCCGACATCTCCAACTCTCCTTGCTACGGCCTTATAGGGCAGCGCACGGCCGACGGACTTGGACATGGTGTGAATCATATCCATCACAGAATAACCGACGCCAGATCCGAGGTTGTAGGGCACGCAGCCGAGGGCACTGTTGGCAGCCACCGTCGACTGGATTTTGTTCAATGCCGCGACATGTCCTTTTGCCAAGTCGACAATGTGAATATAGTCCCGAACACCGGTGCCGTCCTTGGTGTCGTAGTCGTCTCCAAAGACGCTGATGACTGGTCGTCGGCCAATGGCCACCTGAGCCACAAATGGCATCAGGTTGTTGGGAATGCCGTTGGGGTCCTCGCCAATGATGCCGGACTGATGCGCGCCGACCGGGTTGAAGTACCGGAGCAGGATAATATTCCATAGGTTGGGCTCACTCACAGCAATATCTTGAAGTATCTCCTCGATGTACTGCTTAGTGCGCCCGTATGGATTCAGGGCTCCTATGGAGGCATCCTCCTTGATAGGAGCTTCGGATGTGGGCAAACCATAGACAGTTGCGGAGGATGAGAAGATGAAGTTGCGGCAGTTGTACTTTTGAAGCAGTTGAATTACGTTGAGGGTGCCGGTGACATTGGTCTGATAGTATCCAAGTGGAATCTGCGCAGACTCGCCTACAGCCTTGAGCCCGGCGAAGTGAATGCAAGCTGAAAATTTGTGCTGCTCAAAGACACGTTCTAGGGCGATGGCGTCGAGAATGTCAGCCTTGTGGAAGACCAGCGACCCATTGTTGTTGGCGAGAATTTTGGCGCGATGCAGGGCCTCCTCTGAGGAGTTACAGAGGTTGTCGACGATGACGAGGTGCTTGCCCAAGGAGAGGAGCTCGACGACGGTGTGTGAACCGATGAAGCCCGCGCCGCCAGTGACGAGAATGGTCTCCTGGTCGTGTGGGCGGCTTGGAACGGTCATCGGTTCCTGGGAGGAGTAGGTGTTGTGAGGAATGTTGGATATATATGTATGGGGATTGTCCTGGCCAGCAGGACAAAAGGAGGGCTATTAAGACGGAATGAAGAATGGAAAGGAAGAGGTGTGCCTGGGAGTGTGAGGAATCAGATTCGGATGAGGAGAGATGAGATGGGAAGGAGGGTACAAAGATATGGTTACTATTATTAAAATAAGTTCGTGGTATTAATATGAAGGATGCAAATAGGTGATGGAGAAAGAGGAGATGAAGCGGGGATGGAGGGAAACACACACACTGATGAGGGGTATGAATGAGAGAACGGAAGAAGAAGGAGGAGGAGGAGGAGGAGAAGGGGGAGGGAGATAAAGGAAGAAGAGAAAGAGAAGGGAAGAGAAAGAAAGAGAGAGAGAAGGAGAGATAGCGAAAGGGGAAGAGAGGGACCAGGCCAGGTACCAGCTATATATTATCTCAAGACCTGACCATTCAGGGAGATGCTGCTGATGATAGCGAGAGCACACTCTTCTCATTCTCTTTCATAACCCATTCTTGCCTCTCTGATTGCTTTGAAGTAAGAAACTGCCCCTCGAGTCAAGGGAGACAAACACGACTTGGGGCCAGGAGGAAAGGGGACTCATGCGCAAAACACTATCGAATTTATCCATACTCACTTCAATATCCTGTCCACAGCCATCCCCATACCGGTAGTCCTGTGCTTGTGCCTACCTACCTGTCCCAGGCAGTACAACGCAGGAGGGGCTAGCTTTGCAGAGAAAGTAAAAGGAGAGCGAGTGAAGGGGTAGACCTGCTCTACATATAGTCCAGGACGGCCACCTAACCGTAAGCCGAAAAACGGGTCTTATCCATGCGTGTAGACTAACTAGGCCACATCCCTACATTCCTGGAGAACATGGGAAAGATGAATTTATTTTTATTCTCCAGAGGACATGTAGGACAAAAACCGAACCTCTGTCCAACGGACATGAAAAAAAAAAAAGAAAAAAACGAAAAGCGAGCAGTAAAACAAACAAACAAACAAACAATCAATCAAACAGCTCACGAACAAATGAACGAACGAAAGAGCGAACGGACAACCACCCAGACGAGTACATTTGTCAAAACTATATTGAGCACAAAAAAAAAATAGCAAATTGTATACACACGTTCGCCAACGGAGTGTGGGTGGTGCAGCTTGCTTACAACTGCGAAGCCAAAGGGTACACTCTTAAGCCATGTGCAAAGAGCAGAGCTTCTCTTCAATTTTCTTAGTCCGCTCTTTCTATCCCTGTCCCTGTCCCTGTCGCTGACCCTATCCCATTGACCTTTTAGTCAGAGTTAGTGCCATTGAGCGCTATTCTAGCATAGATGCCCTGAACTACTTTTTTTATTATTATTTATTGAACCCAGTGCAAGTCTGGATACTAATTCCTCTTGAACGAAATATCCAGGATGATAGATAACCACACAATCATCCCAATGACTTCAAGTCGCTGTAAAGCCCATTACTTTCAATCAGTCGTCTAACGGATGGCAGCACACACCTCTCTACTAGCTTCCGGTCCTGAGTCTTCACCGCGTTCCTAACCACCGTCGACGACATTTCCTTGATTTCGATTCCCCCATCCTTCTTGTTCCTCTTCGCATCCCCCTCCACTTCTTCCTCCTCTTCTTCGGCGACAATATCGACCAGAGTGACCTTATCCACGTATCCACTCTGTTCCACAAACCGCATCATCTCCTCTCGACTGCCATACCCCGGTCGAGAAGAACAGATCACATCACACCGCTCAAAGAACGGAGCCATGTCAGTGTGAACATCCTTGTAGTACTTGGGATCAAACAGTCGGGTCATCGTGTCATGGCCCATGATCCAGGACAATTGTACGGTGTTGGGCGGATAATAATCAAGAATCGGTTGCGCCTTGTCCATGAACCTGGCATGGATCTATAAAAAAAAAAAAAAAAACATAGACGAAGAACCAATATGAGGATCCAGGCAAATTGTATCAGCATAATGGTACAAAAAGAAAACTATTGTGTTACATTGCTTACTTACGGTTAATCCAACGGCCATACGTCGCAGAGCGGGATCCTCCTTCTCATTGTGAATCGAGTCCATGGCCATGGCCTCCATCATCTCTAGTCGCTCAACTGCGCCGGCATTAGTCTGACCCTTGTCCACGTTGTTGGTCGCTAACAGCAGCAGCACCGCATCACATCCAGCTCTGGCTGCTGCCTTCAGAAGGTGGTAATGTGCCTTGGTGGGTGGATTGAAGGACGAGTCCAGGACGGCGATCCGAACAGGCCGTGTGGTTGAGGCTGGGCGATCAGCTGTGAAGGGCCAGGACCTGGTTGAGGTCAGGGTCGTCTGGAATGGTTTCGGTGATGTACCCGTGGCATTTGCGAGTGTTGACCGAAGGAATGATTTCCGCATGGCGAGATGGAATGGTAGGAGAAGAAAGTGAGATGCATGCTATGGCTCGTTTCAGGTCGTACCTGTTCCTGTCCACCGGGCGCATTTAAAGTGTATGTATATCGTTTTAGCATCCATTACTAGGCTTTTATTTTCTTCGCTGTGCGACCTTGTTCCTAACCTCAACGTAGCATGCCTTGGCGTGTCAAGACCTAGCACCAATAAAAGAAGCCAGGGGGATGATACGACACTCTCTCAGTAGCTGCTCGAGGCTCCAGAAGCTGGGCCCGAAGTAGCGACACCAGCGGTTGACATGCCTGGCTGGCTCTGTACTGCCTGGCCGACATCAACTGCACCAAACGCGGTGCCAGTAGCAGCAGCGGTAGTAGTAGCAGCTACGACGGCAGCGTTACGACTCCACAGCTGCATCTGCTGTTGATGATGCATCTGCGCCTGCTGTTGATGCCTTAACGAACTCGGTCCGTTCATGGAAGCTCCGTTCAAACTAGCCCCGCCAAAGGGCCCTCCAGCTCCGGCGCTCACTCCGCTACTGACTCCACCAGCATTGCCCTTCCCAAGCGAAAATGCCGGATTGTTGACCACTGCCAGTGCCGGTAGCGTTGTAATAGGACCTGGGGGTGGACCCCATGCCTCCCGAGAGTTGTTCCAGAACTTGGGCCATTCAACCACCAAGCCCGGGAACCGAAGCATCATCATCTGCGCCATACCCGGATAGATCCATTCGTCTTGATGCTCGGCCACCACATTCGCGTCCACAACCCCGCCCATGCTCAGGCTGAAGACACTGAAGCCGCTAAACGTCTGTTCATCCGCATTACCAGAACCACCTGGCCCCAGTCCGATTCCGGGCACTCCTCCTGGTTGACCCTGTCCGGCAGCGGCAGCGGCAGCACCAGCACCAGCACCTCCACCATTAGGGTTGTTGACCATCCGAGATTTGATTCCGTAGGCATGACATTGTGCCAACCAGTCCACATACTCATTCAGCACCGTCGTGTGCTCCAGTATCGACCGACCAGCATATGTGGTCAAGTGTTCAGGATATTTTCGAGAGAGTCCATAGCGCAGACTGGATGAAAGCTGCTGGTTACAGTAAGAGCGGCCAGCGCCATTGTGCCGGTAGATATCTGATGACTGGTCATTGCCACTCGTGAGCATAGTCAGCGATGTCGACGAAGAGCTGGACGAGAAACTTGCTAGGGAATGATGCGAATTAGGCTGTCGATCCTCATCCTTACCCATCTCTTGACCAGCATATAAGTTCACACTCGACCCTCCACTACCACAAAGCATCTTGGTATTGCTGTTGCTGCTACCATTCTGACCACCCAGGAACATCCATCGAAACAAACTACCGGCAGTGAGCGAGGCTGACCCTGTACTAGCGCGTTTGCTGACTAGACTGCCGCCTCCGACAAGAGTTCCAGTCGATGTATTGCAGGGCATGGAATCTCCATTCAACGAGCCTCTCCGCTGCATGTCGTTTCCTGGTCGAGGAGATGATGCTTCCGTCTTACTGATTCGCCTAAATTTCCTGCCGATAAGACTTGATCGACTGTTCAACTTCTTGGTCCGGTCTTTCGTCTTGCCACTTCCATCGGACTGGGCCAGCTTCTGGTGCGACAGGTAGATCTGGTGGGCCTGCAGTTGATAAAAGGCGCGCGTTTTTTCCTGGCTTTCCTCATCCTGGGCCGTCCCATTTGAGAGAAAGCGTTGCCGAGAGGATGGTGGTGTGAGCGACTCCCCGACCGTGGAACCAGAGGGTGTCCGCTCAAGTCCTGGAGAAGATGGTATGGAATCAGGTGGCGAAACCTCTGAGTCCTTGTCGCTGATCTTTGTCGACATCCCCTCCGTGAGCTCTCCTGCGTACTGTCGCTTCACCATGTCGATTCTGCTCTCCATAACCTCAAGTATATTTCTACATAAGTGTATCAAGTGTATCAGTTGCTTTCTTAGTACAATGGTTTCGAAGCAGGATAAGTAAATTGAGAAGTTGGGGTAGACTCAGGTGGTCCCTATTGTGCTTACCTGACAATCAAACTGAGGGAATGTTCGATGGGCAACCCTTTCAAGGCTTCCAACGCCTCTTTCGTCGTCTTTCTCGTTGAGCTGCCTGAACTGGGTGCTCCGTTCGAGGCCATTCCGCCTGTTGCTTCATGTTGGTCCTGCGTAACAGAAGGCTCTTCAGGTGTCCATGGTCTCCATCCAGGCAATATTCCGACACCGCCGCCAATCCTCGCTACCCTCCAGACTAAACACCGCATATAGTAGAGTCGAACGTTGCGCGCCCAATGAAGGAAGCACCTCTCGAAAATATCTGGTGATAACAGTATACCCAGCGTCAACTGCTCCAGTGTCTGGACTGTGCTCGTGAGGAGTGAGAAGTTTTGGTAGATAAACGAGATGGTCCGCATCAGTGTTATCGTGTGGTCCGAACCCGTTAAAAGAAGGTGCAAGGTTGAGAGAATAAACTGGACATGAATCGGCACAAACATAACGGCGGGTCCGCGGTTAAGTGGCACTGTCGACAGTTCGCTGTCGTAAAGACGGATGCACTCTCTATATTTTTCAAAGAGAAGCACAAATTGTAGAGACCGGAGGTGAAATTGCTTTTTTAGCTCCACAGAAAGGCCAATTTCGCGCCACTCATACTCCAATAAACGCGTTTCTTAACGAACCTCGACTCCAGTTCAGCGATCAACATATCCAAAAAGTCCAAGAGACAGAACACGCTCTCGACCTCGTAAACGCTCGTCCTGGTGACGACTGCCTTGATCCAGATATCCAACATCGCCCCATAGATTGTGCCGTGGTCCTCCATAATGGCTACAATAGTTTCCACAAATCTCCTCGACGCCATATCAAGGACTTTGGGTTTACCGTTCGTCGGCCCGCCGTTGGCATTATCTTTACCCGCATCCACTCCGTTCGGTAGCTTGACATCGGGCGGAGCAGCTGTTCCCGGAAACTCTCCCGTTGCAACAGATGCCATGGCACGGTCCCGCTCTGCTGCCCCTGTGCCACTTCCGTTGGCTGCATTTGGCTCGAATTGGACGATGGTTGTGACAGGATGAATCTCGCGATGGACGAGCCCTTCGATCTTTGTCAAGAAAAAGGCCGAGAGATAAAGGTATCCTGGCGCCCCTGCATACACTTTCGGTGTGACAGCCGTGGTTGCCCATCCACCGGCCTGAATCCTTTGCAATGGCACCTCCAGATATTGAGAGAGACAATGATGATAGTGTCGATAAAACGCGAAAAACAGTTCACTATCATCGCTTTGCCACCGGCGCACCCAGTTTCCAAACATCTCCATCGGTAATGATGCCTCACCAGAGTTCATCTTGCGTTTTTGCTTCTCAAATTCTCTCCACCAGGACCCCGTCCCAGTGAAACAGATTGGCGAGAGATGCTCAGGAAAGAAGGTCATAATTTGAGGCATCCCACAGTTTTCTCTAGGTACATCGTAACGAAGATAAGAGTGTAAGGACACTATCGAACGCTTCGATGCACTGAATGTTGCAATCAACTCACAAAAGCTAGTACATACCCTTGGAGATCCATAGCCTTTACCATACGACCGATATAAGATCGACTTGCTGGGAGTGCATGCAACAGTCCAAATGCAACGCCGGGCAGCTTGAAGAAACATATCGCCAGAATTTTTGCGCAAAAAGTGATTACGTTGGAGTAGACACCCTTCTGGTTCAGTCGTTCAATTGCATAGTGCAGAGACTGGGTAAGTAATTTGCGGTATTGTTGAAACAATGACCAAAATGCACTGGAATCAGTGAATGGATATCCGGATCCGAGAGTCGTGCTAGATGATACAGACGTCGTTGAGGAGGTGTGCTCGGTGACGGAGCCAGTTCCTGATCCCTCAATAAAGGTCCTCATTGTTGACGGCGTTGTTGGCTTTGACATCATGTCCTCCACGCGATCTACACATGACATTGAAAGAAGACATAAGTCCACCAACTTCTGATAAAAGTGCTTCGCCCTTGTACACAAAATTGTCGACCTGATCTGTGCGCAAATGTCCTACCAAACTCCTCGAATTCTTTTCTATTCATTGGTGGACGTTTAGAATGTGTTAGAGTGGACAAAAAGCAATCTTTAGCACAGCCTGTACTTTGCAGCTAGGACAGTACCTGGTCATAAGAGCGATGATGCAGTCAAAGTAGTGGCATCTGTCCGTGTATAGCGCATCCGGCAGAGCAAGAAGCAGCGCCGACCACCTAACAGCATCGCCACAATAGAAGATCAGCCATCCATCATGCAAAATAAGGCCATCATCTCATCTTCCATCTGTTTCGTGCGCCTCCTGGTGAATGGTAAATGCTCCCTCTTTGCTATTGTCACGCTCTTCACACCTCCAAGTCCAGATGCTGCAGCGATATCCCTTTTTTTTGTGCCCGTTTGTCAGGATTTTTTTTTAGAGACAAAGATCATCCCTACCACTGCATAATAAGCTGTCGCCCTGTCTTGAGCGATGCCTCAGACAATGAATCTATATGAAATTGAACGTAGAGAGCATTAGAGCACAAAATGTACATTCTCGCAAGTTTGGAAATTAAATATATAGAACCAGATATCGCGCGATGGATGAACTGATGAGAGGAAAGGGTCGATCACCATTTCTCCTTTGTCCGAACCCCCCTCCCCTCTAGGACAAGCCATGGCTGCATCTTCGCCATCGGCTTTGCCCTGCTGGCCGCGCTTTTGCAATGACTGGCCTGTTAGTGACGAGATCATCCATCCCAGCCCTCCTTTTTTTTCTTTTTTTTTATTTATTTTAAACATAGCGCTCGCTCCCGCATCTTCGCAAGGAAGACAATTGGTCTCAACATACCCAAATTTGGTTGGTCCTTATGGAGCCAGGGCAAGAGATTTGTCTTGAGAACATCGATCCTGTATCGGTCCTTCTGATGGAACCTACAGGTGTTATTTGAGAGAGAACATCAATGATTTGCCAGTGCGACCTCGGAACTTCTTTTCTCCCTCTCAGAAGGAGTGGGAGCGGGAGTGGATGAGGACGATGTGTATGGGAGGGGGCATGGTGTGTAAAAATAAAAAATAAAAAGATTGCTTTGGCAGTGTATGAGGGCAGGCTGTCGGTCATGCATCGCCAACCAATGCTGCCTGTGCCTGACATTGATCAAGCTGAGATTCTTTTCCATTTGCAGACTAACTCGTATTTTAAAATCGACGGCAAAAAAAGCAAAAAATCAAAACACAGCAGGAACTGGATTCTCGTGGGGAAGGGCAGAAAGAAGCAATGGGTTCAGCTGTCCTTGCATGTACTGTCTGCTGATATGTCGTTGTGGATTGTTACCTGGAAAGGGAGCGCTCTAGGACCTTGTATTGCTGCTGTCCGCTCTGTCCCATCCAATTACGCAAAAGGCGGCTCTTCACAGACGACCGCATATCTGTGCTGGTCGACTTGGAGTGAGAGCTGGCCTTGGTGACAAAGGGCGGGGAGGACGAGCGGGAGTAAGGTGGGATGATGATGGATGTGGGTGGAAGGTCACTGCAAGACTGTCGTCGAGCCATGTTTCCTTCGAGTTCTGGGAAATGGAGTGTCTGGGCTTTTGGCACTGAAAGCGGGGGAATGGTGGTGAAGGCAGCCTTAGCGGCAGTTCCTGCTGCTGAAGGTGATGTTGCACAAGTTGCTGTGTTCCCTGGTGACAATGCTGCGGTGCTTGAGAACGGCGAAGAAAACGAAGACAAGGAAGAATGACGGGAAGCAATTGGGAACAAGCTAGAGTCCACAATAGCGGGTATATCGATGAGCGCAAAGGTTGAGATGGGTATAAACTGAGAAGAATGTCGACCTGTGCTTGGATTTGTTAGTGCTGTGGTATTGCCGGCGCGGGAGTGTCCCGTTGACCTTCCTGTCATACAAATACCAGCCTTTTTCTCTGCACCGGCAAATACTGATGAGGAAGAAGGTGGTAGCGAGGGAGCGGGGCCAGAGGGGGAGGAAGATGGCGACGATGGAACTGACGACGAGGATGCGGATGAAGGTGTGGACGAAGGTGTGGACGAAGGTGTGGACGAAGGTGGGAACGGCTCGAACAAAGGGAGGGAGGATGAGAATGAAGAGGAAAAGGAGACTGAGAACGAGAGTAGGGGGGAGGAGAGGAGTGTAGGCGAGGGTGAATGGCTGGTGCGGGACGGTGAAGACTGAGGGCATTTGCGATCTGTTGGCGCAGGTGAGGGTGACGAGGAGCCTAGAGTTGGATTTGGGATTGAGGTGGAGGTCGGAGAAGCCGGAGTTGCAGTAGAGCTCGGATGGGTCATGGTTGGGTCAAGCGTGGGTCGAGGCGTGTTGGGGGCCAGCTGTGTAGGACTGTAAGGACTCAGGAACGGGTAGCCTTAACGGCACTGGCAATGATGGGGGCGATGAACCCGACTGGTTTAGAAATTGCTCACTGGCTACTGCACCAAGTAATATCGAGGCACGATTGAGTGAGTCGGTGACGACGCTGGTGTGGGCTGCAGCGCCGGCAGTGCACACTGACAGGCTCAAGGCAGAGTTAAGGAGGAGGGCGATGGGAGCACTGCTAGACAAGGAGAGCAGGAGGAGGAGGAGGAGGAGGAGGAGGAGAGCGGCAAGATCGATATGGATGAAGGAGACGATGGATCGGAAGACGGAGACGGACTGTTTTTGAAAATGGAGGTGGACGTTGGGATCCCGGCAGTCCAAGGGTTGGTGGTGGAGGTGGAGGTGGCAGTGCCGACTGGAGGGGGGGGGGGGGGGGGGGGGGGGTATATCCAGGCAGGCGTGGTTGCAATGGATGCCGATAGCGGGGCTGTCGAAATGAACGGTGTTGGTGATGGTTCCGATGTTTGTGATGTTTGTGGAGCCGGCACTGTTGGGTAAAGGGCGATCTGCGAGGAGGTGTTGTTTGAGCCCTTGTTGCTGGCGTGCCTGGTCTGGTGAGGAGGAGGAAGAGAAGGAAGAGGATAAGGAAAGAGAATGGGAGAGAATGGGAGAGAATGGGAGAGGGAGTGGAGCAGAAGAGGGAGGAGAGAAACAAAGGAACGGTGAGCAGCAGAAGGGTATGGGAGGATAGGACTGGACTGGCTTCCGAATCACATCCACCCATCCACGTATCCACGCAGCGCAATGCAGTCCCCCAAAACAGTCAAACCAAGGCATCCAACCCCAGGGGGAGGAACGCTGAGAGGGAAAGGAGGGTGAGGAGGCAGCAAAAAGGGAACCCAGGAGAGCGACAGAGAGGGAGGGGCGTCTTGGAGGAATGGGCCATGGGCCACTACAGATTTCGCCTGAAATACGCCCATGGTCTACTGTACATTAGACATACAGTGTCGAACCCAAACCACATCCGACACGGCAATCACCGCCATTTATACTGCCAGTATGGGCGATAGTAACTGATGCACATGCTCATCAACTTGTTAAAATCCATCGACAGCAGAGGAGGCGCCATCTCCCATCCCTAGCGATCTGAACGCGAAACCAGGCCGCCGCGATCTGGTCTTGGACATCCCCTCGATTTCGAAGGGACGTTTTACAAAGTATAAAATACCAACCGCGACTCGCGCTGCTTCCCTCACTTGACCCCCTTCTTTCGGCACCTTTTTTCCGTATTTACTGGTCGTGTGTGTGTCGCATTTGAGTTTGTGGGAGTGTTGTGTGGAGGATCTCAGCCTTCATCGCCGCTACAAACACCCAAAGCCGCCCTCCTTCTTGCTGTTCTTCATTTTCTCGTTAAAGCTCTCTTGACAGTCGCAAAATATAAATGCATGTACAAAAAAAATATAAATATCATAATGGTAAATGAATTGCCTGGATAAGAAACAATAGGCTGGAAAAAAAATGAGCTTATCCGAATACTGGAACACACTCACTTCCCCCGTCAGCCCATCCTTAAACAGTTTTCTCGCCTCTGCTGCTGTTTACCGCTCTATACCTGAAACGCACTAATGCCGCCCTCCATGGCCATTCTGCTCCTGACACTTGTTTAGCCTAGGCCGTCAATGCCCGTCGGAATGTTGACAGTCTCGTCAACCTTTTGTACCCTGCTGCCTCTTGATCGCAAGCTTGAACTTAATAGTAGCATGGAGTCTTTCCCCTCCCCCCTCCCCTGATCTGCAACGGGATCCTAAATCAGCACTCGACTGCGGTAAGAGTGTGCAAGGTTCGCGGGTAAAAAAAATGGAAAAGAGAATCGACAGGGGTGAGATGCCACCGACAGGACTGGTGGCAGTGATGATGTTGGTGCTGTGCATCTCATTAGTCGCCTCGCAGATAGCGTTTATTGATGGCAAAGATCCCACGGTTAGACCATCTATTTGTTCCACAAGCGTAGATGAGAGCCGTTTGTTGTTACTATTGTTGTTAGATTACTACCTGCGTAACTGGATCCTTAAGAAGAGGTTTCGCACGCTCCGTTCCTTGGTGTTGCGACGTACTTCATCCTCGTTACTGCAATTGCACTGCATCGCGCAATAGTTAGCATCTCTAATTCCAGTAATGACTTGGGTCACAGAGCGTTAAACACCCCCCCATGGGACAAGTTGATAACAGTGATAACTGCTAGCGTGCTCCTGCGGCGGGAAGTATTAGTATAGGTTAATCTGCCCGAGAATACCACCCAAGAAGCAGTAGATTGCCTCCTCTTTGTGAGTGGTGCATGCATGCTGTCTTTTTTACGAAAGCAAGGTTTTTGGGAAATGAACCCAAAATGGTTGGTTCCAGAAAAACTCAAGCTTCAGATACACCATTTCACGCAGAACGCGACAAAAAGGAACACGCATGACCATTGGCGGTGTCCCCCACCTCTGAAACGTGTCTCCTTAGTCTTTCTTTCAAAAATATCCGTTTTATTTTCACTTTCTCCTGTATCTGCTAAATCTCTCAGTCCCTCCAATGTCATTGCAGAATGGGTATCTATGTTGGCGAGAGGGGTCAATCAATAATGACTCCTCGATAAAATGACTACGCTACTATGCTACATGATGGTGCATACGCATCCCGTCTCACTCTCAGGCTTAACGCGTTCTCTTCCATATACTGCCTCGGACTTCAGCTTGGACGGCTCCTGCACCTTCGACATGTGGGAGCGACTGTAAGGCTCAGGTGTCGTCGGTTTGCTGAGAGATGTGTCAGAAGAGTTGTTATTGCCCATGGAGACGAGCGGCATAGCTCCGTTGAGGGGCTTGATCTGGATCGAGTGCACAGCGCCCGGTTTCGTGTCATGATGTCTATAATACAGAGTCTGGCGTTCCTTCACATAGCGCCAGTCACCATCGCTCACTAAAATCTCAAGTCCAGTCTCGTCGTAATGGTACGAAGGGACGAAAACTTCGGTCTCAAAGGCCATCGCACTGCCCTCCGGAGGGTGTCCAATAAAGGACGAGTTCATCTCAGGATTCGAATATGGCAGCTTCAGTGAGTTCACAGTCGAATCGTTTGATTCAGATGAATCCGACGACGGCGTGCGCGGAGTCCGCGTCTCGGGCGACGACACATGGACGACGGGAACGGGTGTTTGGATATAATTGCAAAACCTGAATGTGAACTGGAGAGTCGCGAGGTTGAACTCAGTCGAGATTGGCTCTCCGGCAACTTTGGCGGCATATGGTCGCTATAATTACCAGCGGGAATGATAGAAAAATAGCAAAATTAGCGTCCGCCTGTCATTACACGCCGGTTTACAGGACGGGGATATGATCCAGCATGTGGGCTTACCACGACAGCATCGAGGGCCCGTCCGCCGACATGCGATTCATGATACCGGCCATCGTCCGATTCCTCATCCTCAAAGCGAAAGTAAGAGCGGTCGAATGGCGAATCGATGGGTACTACATCCTCTTCATTGATCGGCACCGACTCGAATTCATCAACCTGAACTTCCAGCTTTTCTTCTAGGTCAATCTGAGCCAAGGATTCGTTTCCTGCCCGCCTGATTTGCATCTTTGACGAGAACTCTGCACTAGAAGTGGCTGACCGCTTCATCACTTCCTTTGCAAAATTTGGTGCCTGTTGTCGCAATGTTACACGCGAGTCCGATCCAGGGGACCGACTCCGGTTGAGGTCAGGAGAACCTTGGGGGGAGTCGAGCGAGAAGATGGAGAAATCCTCTCCGTTCCAATGATCTCCGTACGTGTTATCATTCGTCGCATTGTAGTTCCATAATCTAATTTGAGAAGTGATGAGTGAAGCATCAAAAGTTAGCCTCCAATCTTACTAAAGAAGCACCTCCTGGTACCTCCAAATGAAAGTTGATGTGTGTCTCTTACGTGAAGCTAAGCAAGTTCGCCTCCATGGCTGAGAGCACAGCATCCAGAAATTTTGAATGGTGGCCGAAATCGCCATTCAGGAACGCTCTGCGCCGGTTGATGTCCATAGGAATGCCGCACTCTCCAATTAGGCAGGGCTTGTTGCCAACGTTCTGCAAACCTTGGTTGAGGAGGTTCGAGAGCTGTCCACGATAGTTCTTCCTTGCGCCCTTCAAACCAAAATAAGTGGCCGCAAACACATTCTTTCCCTGTGCGTGTGTCCAAACATTGCTGTGATTAGCAATTTATACACATGATACAGTAGGAGGACGGATCATTGCTGCAACCATTGGTGAATATTCCATACCTTGCTTAACCCTTGTACATCGTGAGTAATGCGGCCATCGAATGCTTTGTTGAAGACTGAATGAAGGTCATACCAATGTGGTGCATAGACGATGTTTTCTTCGTGATCGCCTGGACCCCAAACCGGTGGTGGTTCGTTGGGGACGGGCTCTACGAAAACGAAAGCAGATGGAATAGCGCTTTGGATTGCCTTGGAGTATTTTCCGATAAAGTCGAGGTAGAATCTCGAAAAGTCGATAATTCGGTTTGTAATGGGGTCTTTTGTGAAATAGTCTGGTTTGTCGACCTGAGGCTGTCCTGTCTTGGGATTCACGCTCCACACACCGTGCTGCTTCCAGAGACACTCTCCTTCGAGCCATGCCGACTCCTTTTCCGTGTTGATCAAACGCGTCCTGTGCTTCTTTGTCGGGAGCGGCCACGACTTGACCCAAACTTCGATCGGCACCGTCATGCCATCCCCCAAAGCAAATCCTTCCAGCGCTGAGGGCGAGTCGCCAAAAATCAGGTTTGAGTTGAAGTCGTACTGTTTGAGATTTTCCAAGCCGATGTATCCGGGACTATATAGATCAAAAGAAATGTTCAGGTTAGTCGATAAAGGATGAAATGGCAACTATACCTGAAAGAGTCCGAAGAGATGGGAGTAGAACACTTACTGGGGCTCATTCATGATCTCGAAGCCGATGACCGCGTCAAGATGGCACAGTCGTCTATTTTTCAATAACCATTGTTTTTACGAGAGAAAAAAAAAAGACGAGTTGTTAGGATGATGAGTTGCTTGAAAGACAGTTCAACAGACCGCCTGCATGAGACTCTACTCACCTTGCGAGGTAGTTGTAGCACTCCAGGTATCTATTTTGCAGGAACTGCTGAATCGGCTCTCCTTGGTATGTCTTGTTGGGTGCAAATGTGTCTCCTGCCCAGAAGAGCGTGAACATGGTGCTGGCAGCGAGTTTGGTGTAGTTGGTAGGCCAGACCATGGGCGGTGAATCCCCAGGATATTGGTTCGTGTTATGAACGTAGGCTGCTCCTGTGGCCTTGAACTTTGTCATGTCCAGTCCAGCTGCCTCAAAAGTCCATCCTGGTGCTCCTGACCCACCAGAAAACCGGGACCAGCAGTCCTGATGTGGATCGATGAAGCACTTGATGCCGTACTTGGGCATAAGCTCAATCAGCTCGACCAACGAGTCGATAAACTTGTCGTCGTATATTCCACTGCAATAAAACAATAAAACAAAGGGGATTCATTATTAGCCAGTCTACATCCAGACGGCTTTTGTTCATTTCCGCTTCTTTTAATTGCAAATGCACGACACACACACGCCTGCACCCAATTATGCAAAACGATATATTTAAATCCGAAATTCGAATGTGTCCCTTGGTTCATCGAGAGCGGAGGATGGATTACAGTTTTACGTTTGCCAAACCTTCCTTCACCCTCTCGCAGAAGCTATCGCGATAATTCGTTTGTTTGAAGCCTAACAAATAAGCATGAATGTCTGCATGATATATGTTTGGAGGGCATCTCGTGTGAGCACTGCAAGACTGTAGTAAGGCCGCAAGGAATTGATAACAAAATGTGTGGTACGATTAACAGGACCATTGGTGGCCTGAAGGTTCGAAGGAAGGGAGGAAGGAAAGGAGAAGAGCGTTTCGGCAATCGGTACCATCCAATGAGCCGCAAACAAAAAAAAAAAAAAATGTTCCACTATCAAAGCTTGGCAGATCAGCAATCATTGATGACTTACGGCCCAGAGTGCTCTAATGCTTCCCAGGGAACCAATAACCGCACAAAGGTCAGGCCCCATCGCTTCAGTCTCGAAAAGTGTTCGTCTGCTTGATCTCGTGGAAAGGGTCGGCCCAAGAAGCAAACGTTGCGGTGGTCAAAGAACCCCTCGTTTAGATGCGAGCTTCCGTTGGGGGTAGTCGGCAGCTTTGAGCTCCCGCAAAGGTTGACACCTCGAAGCAGCAGTGTCCTGTTTAATGAGTCTCGGAACCAACGTCCGTTGGAGGAGATCCGCCCTCCAGAATACCAATCTTGCGCCTTTCCAGCAGGTCGGAGTGGAGTGCCTCCACCGGGCCTGCGCTCGTTGTTACGCTTCGAGGCCGAGGCAGCTTTCTTGGCGGCGACGGTCCTCTCCTCCTCTGAAGAGGAGGTGGGGGAGGAATTGTCATCGCTGTTGGATCCGACGGAGGATGCGTAGGAGGACATGGAAGAGTACGAGTGGGTGTGTTTCAGCTCCTGAGCTTTGAGGTGGTGGGGGCGGAAGGTCATTGCAGGCAGGGCTGAGGGCTGTTCGATACGAGGGCCAGCAGCTGCAGGAGCTGCTGTCTCCTGGTGTGCGGGGTGGTCCTGTCCGCTCGGCATTGGTGCTCAGGACAGATGAAGGGGATGATGGTGAATGGGGATGAGAATGGACAAGACAGAGTGGATATAGGCAGTATGTGAGAGGGAAGAGATAGAGATGTTGCTAAAATTGCTTTAAGTTTGTTCCACAAAAAAAGGTCTCAGGTACAGTGCGAGAAATGAAATAAAGAGAGGGAGTGGGGAGAGGGAGTGGAGAGAGGGAGTGGGGAGAGGAAGTTGGGAGAGGGAGAGGGAGAGGGGAGAGGGGAGAGCAGTGCGAGAGAAGGAGATAAAGAGAGCGTGGGGAAGAGAGGGGATGAAGAATAGGAAGAGGAAAGATGAGAGAGAATGGAGGAGAAGCGATGGATCGGATAAGATCGAGAGTGGGAAAACGCAAGGAAGAAAGAAAGAAGAGTGGGGACTGAAGCGATGCTCAACCACTTTATTTTTGGGATAGGACTCAAACGCTAAATGGGCCCCAGCAGGAGACAAACGAGACAGATCGTGTACTTCAGCCTTCATCTGCTCCTGCTCGCGCGCTTTATTACCTCTCCCCTCCGCTCTCCATATGACATCTTAGATGGCTGCGTCTGGCATGGTCCGTTGGATGAGAGAGCATCAGAACCAAAATAGGGCGGAGAGATCGGACCCAGTCTTTCCGACGGAGACAAAGGGCTCCATTCGTCCCCGCCTAAACTCATTCTCATGACGTCCTCAAAGTGTTGCCCATTCTCTCTCTCAAGCGCACGCATTTTCACTCTTCTAGCCATTGTACAGGGAAAAAGGAGTAACATCGCATAGTGTGGATCAGCAGGTGCCTGCCATCTTCTACTTTGATCATAACGTTAGCTATAGCCGACGAATGCTGTTGAGCACTGCCCATGCTATCATGTACATATTAGCTGCTAGAATAGGAGTAAACAAATAAAACTATATATGCCATGCTGATGAACTATTTGTTGTGGTCTCATTGTGCACCATCCTTCTGTTCACTGCCAACGCACTCTGGCTAGACGACGTCGTTTCGTAACCTCGATTGCTGCGGCAGCAATGAGCGCAATGCCCAGCAGACACCCTGCGGGGACTATCAACTTTGGATTCTTGTAAAATGGCACATAGGGGTGCAATGGGAGGTTTTCGTTGTAGTGGCTATCACCAGCATTCGATGGCAAGCCGTCGAGACCCGGAGTATAGTATGGGCCCGCGTGGGTCTTAGTCGGACCATATCCAGGCGGGGGCCATTTCAGAGTCCCGTTTCCGGTATAAACTGTCCGTCGAAACAGAACAAGTTTAGGGCAAGGGAAGGGCAAGAGTCATCGTCAGCAAGACAAGATTTATAAAGGGGAAGGGCATAGCAAAAAATAGAGACTGCAAACTTACAACATTGAATATCGATATAATCGACTTGAATCTCATACATCTGGTTTGTTTTGGACCAATCCGTCGGATGGCCCGCCCAGGCAGCCGTACCCTCCTGTCCTTGGCCTCCATCCCAGATCCCGAACTGAATCCTTGCCGGTGTTGATGGATATTTCTTTCTAATCTGTCCTGTTGCTTGGTCGATGATGGAAGCGCCAGATACAGGATCAAAATCGTTCTTTGTCTGGTTTTTGAATATGCTTCGGATGACCTTACCATCGACCCTCCATATGAGGTAATCTGGCATCCATTCAATTTCGTAGTCATGGAAATCCAGCACCGTGTTCACTCCCAGTGGTTCCTTGCCTGAGTTGCTGTAGTCGATCAGGGTCGTGTTCATATCTGGCGGAGTCCTGTAATAAAAATTGGTCTGTGCTTCAGAAGGATCGCGTCCCACAAACTCAAAGTCGATCTCATCACCTGGGTCCTCATTCCGAATAATGAAAGCAGACACCACTCCTGGAGAGCTAGATCCGGTCTTGATTCGAGCCGCAACTTTGCCATATTGCATGAAACGTGTGGTTGAAACTACAGAACCTAGGCCTTGGGGACGACCGTAAGAATTGGGAACGCTGTCCAGCTTCATTGCAATTTTGAGTTTCGAGTCTTGCACGGCCACGCTGTCAGCGTTATAATCGATTGCTGTGGTACAACGGTCGTGTTCGTGTTAACAACATTGCGTGCAATGAAGGTGTTTGTCATTTGTAATTGATAAAAAGCTTTGAACGGCATACACCTACTAAAGTCGTAGTCATTGGGATTGCCATCGAAAGTTCTTAAGATTGCTAACCTCGGCTGGTCAAACTCCTGAATTTTCGGGTGAGAACCAGGCTAAGGTCAGCACATTAGATTACTGAGATTGCATCAAACACGGATTGTTTGCGCCATCAGTATATACCTCATGAATATTTGAGCAGTATGTTTGAGGAAAGCAGCTAGTCTCCTTCCAAGAGTTCTTTGGCTGGCATCCGACCGAACAATACCGGGGATCGTCTTCAAAGAGCAATTATTTTGGCAACTTGTCAGAAATTAGATGTTTCAGGAACAGAAGCTATGCCTCAAGCAATTGCATTAGATATAGTATACTCACCGGAACAGTAGCCATTGAGACAACATGGGGCATACTCGGGACATTTGCCACCGCCAGGATGATTGCGGCAAAATCCTTCAGTAACATTACTAGAAACAACCGGTGCCACAGGGGTCAAGTTGACGCTGGTCGATAGAGTAGCAGGTGAGGGCGATCCATGTGTCCGAGCTACTGATAGAGCTACGACGACGACGACTTGTGTAAGAACTTTTAGGCATGTCATTGTGGTGAAGTGAAAAGAAAATGCAATGCGACAAGAAACAGTGTCAATTTGGTAATATATAAGGATGGCGGCAGCGATCCTCGCCACAGAAAACTTTAACGTAGCGAAAAAAGGGTCCATTCCGATTTCGCCATTGTTCCCAGACGGCAACCTTGGAGTTGGGAATGGTATATTTCAAATGATTGAAAATGAGTTAGATGGTACTAGAATTCACAGATGCAGACAACATCGGAATGATGGCCATCCGTCCTGGTGCTCCTGAACGAAGGGACTGCCTGCAGGGCCTCGGGGGTGCCTCAGCTTTCTATGCTTCTGGTCTCCGCTGCTGACCCCGTACTAGATATTTATATTCCTAGACGCAATGGTGTAGAATTTCTTCTTTGTTCTATCGGTACTTTATCTTCATAACTATAGTATAGCCAGCCACCCATAATATCGCGATACACCTTGGATAATCACACCATTTTATGAAGCACTAATACCGTAACATATGCGGGCAATAATAATCCTTTACTAGCTATCACTGCTGGTCTTCACGATACACATGCGCGCGTACATTTTCAGTTATCCCATATAAATGATTCTGAAACCTTGTTGATGTTGCACAAACCGTGCTTACATGAGACTCGTGGAGAATAACGTTACACAGGGGGGAGGGGAAACGCCCCCAAGACCCGCAAACTAGTCCCCGCCGGCACCCATGCATCAGCTGCAAAAAATCCCAGGATGATTGGGCGATCAAGTACCGCCAGCCCCATAAAACAGATAATGTCTAAATTCTATTTATTTGCATCTACATCAGCACTCGGCTCACGTAGTCTCCAGCAATACCGCTGAACACCAAGGCGCCCGTCCACTTGTTGCTTGCAAATTTGCTCCAACAGTCCGCCGGGTTCTCATAATTAACTGTCTTGAGCTGCCATGTCAGATGGGCTGTTGCTCCGCCAACCGAGAGGGCATAGAACAACGGCCCTTGGTCGTTCATATAGCCCGCTAGTGCCAAAAGGGACACCATGCCTGCTGAGAACCCAGTCAGGTATTCAGCTGTCTTGTCTCCGAATCGTAATGCAGTGGACTTGACACCAATCTTGATATCATCTTTCTTGTCCTGATGAGCATAGATGGTATCGTACACAAGCGTCCAGCACACTCCAGAGATGTATAATGGAAGAGCGACCTGCCAATTCGTTGCGCCTAGCATGGCAGAAGACCCTAGCAAGGCACCCCAATTAAAGGCCAGGCCTAAAACGACCTGCGGCCAATAGGTGATACGCTTCATTGCAGGGTACGTCACCACTAGCGATAATGAAGATGCCCCCAGCAATACACTATACGGTTGAATGATAAAGGGATATTAATACTATACGTCAAGGACACTTTATGACAGTGTTGCAATCGGTGCCTCTTTACCTGTACATGTTGAGCTGAGTCAAAACAGCTAATCCTGCACCAAGCTGCAAGCCTAGAAAGGCGATTGCTTGCGACGGCGTGACAGCGCCGGAAGCCAATGGCCTGACTTTTGTCCGCTCCACCTTTTTGTCAATGTTCCGATCCCAGAGGTCATTAATGGTGCAGCCTGCTCCACGCATGATAATGGCTCCTGTCCCAAACAGTCCAATGGTGTAGAGTGTTGAAGTCCATGGCAGATGAGCACTATAAGAGGCCATGGTGATTCCCCACGCTATGAGAATAAAAGCCGCGAATTGATATCACCAGACATGACAATTGTTATAACAATTTCATACAAACTGAAAGTAGAATCACTTACCACAAGGCCAATAAAGCAACCACGTTCCGATCGGCTTATCGATACGTGTCAAATACAGATAGGGCTGAATAGATTTTGGCATGCGGTCCAACCAGGTGCCAGGTGCTGCAAGAGGTGCCGCCTGTGTCTTGGTGTCATCGAGCTGTTGCGTCACTGCGGTTGATAGGTGCATTGGACTTGATCCGAGTGTAATACCTGCTGGTCCATGAGGTCGACGCCTCTGCTGTTGATGTACACTAATTGCTTTGGCCGATCGCGTAAACGTATCTCTATCCTTAATAATCCTCCATGACCGCATAGACAGGTTCCTGGCCTGGGCATGCTTGTACTGGACAGAGGCGTGATTGCAGAATCGGTGTGGCACGAGAGGCACGGAAGGGATGTACTGTTGAGTGTTTCTAGCAAGAAGTTGTCCTGCTCTGGTGGCATTAATCGTGGCATGGTGCCATAGCAAAGTTCCTGCGGCATTCAACATGTCTATTCCTGTGGAGTGGATTCGGGAATGGTCGATGTCAAAGTGAAAAAGGAGGCATTCCTTCCGAAGTATCCTTTTTTTTTTATTTTGTCATCCCAACCCGGGACTGTTGTCATTTTTCCCTCGCTTTTTTCTTCACTGCCACGATTTGCCACCATAACTTTATTTTCAATAAAAGGTTGAATCGTTAGGCTCGCTTGCGCTTCTTGCCCCTTTGCCCCGAATATCTATGCTGACCCTGCTGGCATTGAGATGAGTTAGCCTTGCGCTTTGGAGGAGTGGACTTGAATGTCTTTGCTGCACCAGGTCCCTTCTGAGCTGATCGGCTCGATGTTTGTCCAGAGTTTTGCATGGGAGGAGTGGCGACCACGAGCTGCTTCAATTGGATCGGAAGCGGCGTTACTTGCTCAAAAGCCAATCCATGAAGCATGTTGGCAAACTCGCCGAGGAGCGAATAATGGTCGTTGTTGATAAACGTGATTGCCCAGGCCATTCCGCCCAGTTTTGGGCCTCTTCGGATCCCAGCGGCGGCTTTGGTTGCAGCGTCAGGGTTCGCTCTCCCCACACGGTGGACGTACTCCTGAATGGATGGAGCCATGTCAAAGTTGATAACCGTCGCAACCTTAAGATCCAATCCTCGAGCCAGGAGTCCCGTTGCAACAACCACAGGAACGGTGCCATCCAAGATCGACTTTATAATGGCCGATCGCTCGTCATGAGACCTGTCTCCGTGCATTGATACTGCGGTAATGGAAGGGCATTTCACTTGGATCGCATGAGCCAAAAGCTCAGCTCCCACTCGAGATTCGACGAAAATCAAGACTGGCGGACGAAAATAAGTAGGGTCATGAAGAAGCGATAACAATTGCTTCATCTTGGAGGCGTTCTCGACCCAGAGGATTGTTTGCTTGATCTGCGATGATGGCGAAAATACGCTCGAGATGCGGGCGCAGGATTGATCGTCCTTGAGAACCTTCTTCTTGATATCGCCAATGCGGATGTTGATGGCGTTGTGCAATAGCTTCGCAGTAAACTGTTCGATCTGTTTCGAGATCGTGGCTGAACACATAATGGTCTGCCTTCCACTGGGCGGTTCCGGGAGGACATTGAGGATTCGTACTACTTGCTTCCGAAAGCCCATACTGAACATTAGATCCACCTCGTCTAGGACAAGGCAAAACACGTTGGAGAACGATATTTCACCATGCCTAGCTAGAATATCCACCAACCGCCCAGGTGTTGCGATGGCGACCTGGATGTTTTGCTTCAGTCGGTGAACCTGGTTCGCCATGGCTTGGCCACCTATAAGTGATGCCGTACGCATATTGGGCATGCCTTTGACCATGGACTTAATAATCTCCTCGATCTGGATGGCCAATTCTCGGGTTGGCGTCAATACCAGGGCATATGGACCCTCCATTGCTTCTCCTGGCAACTGGGACAGGCCGTAGGCATGAGTCAAAACAGGGATCAAGAACCCTGCTGTCTTTCCTGCTCCTGTTTCCGCCGATACGATCATGTCCCGCCCACATAGACCTGCTGGAACGACCTGCATTTGAGCCCCGCGCGGTTGAATGTATCCGTTCTCGATAAGGTTCGCATGCATTATTGAAGGAAGGCGGCAATCGTCAAAGGATAGGACTGGCTTTGGAATCTGCTTTCCTTGAACGTAAATTTGATGCGCGTCTCTCAAGTTCTTGACGTCCTGTACTGACATGGCAGCTACCCGCGGCAATTCCACATACCCTGTGATGTTGGCCACTATCCTGGTGCTGAAATAAGGTGTACGGGGACGGTTATAATGATATGGTGGATCGCCTGCCTTCTGTGGGCGTGTTGTTGTTGAGACTGATCCGGATGGTGGCAAGATATTGACAGGCCCATAGGTTGGTCTCTGCATTGAA